AGCTCCTACAACAAGGAAGGCGAGCCACTGGACCTTTGGCCTTAAAGGTGCCGGGTATACTTCTTGGGATGGCTACCGGAATAATCTGGCATAAGCCGCTAACTTAGATTGGCTAGCTTGCGAGCTTTGGGGATCATGCAGCATCTCCTGAGACAGAACTTTACCAGCTTCGTCCGCGGCTTCGTGAGGCCAGACCTGGCATGTTTCGAGGATGCAGCAAAGCCACTGAAAGCCTCTTATTACCGCATGGACCTTCGAAGAAGATAGTGCATGGCGTCCAGTAAGCAGCGGTGAAAGTTGTTCCGAGAGCGTCCGTAGACCTTGGCTTTGCTGGAACGTCTTCTGATTCTGCACAGAAATGAAGGCTTTGCACGAGCAGGACTACTCCAGCGACTGCATGGCAGGGGGCTGGTGATCGCCAGTCGTACGCCGGATCCTCACCCTCTTCCTTCTTCTCCGAGGCCTTCAGAGCTACACACAGGCACACGCACGCCGCAGCCGGAGCAGGGAGCTTCGGAATCCCGCGCCTCACGGACTTGCTCCAGTGGAGCAGAGGCCATAAATGGCAGGAAAAAGTCGTAGGTCAGCTGTGGGCTGGTCTTTGACCTCAGGCGAGCGAGTCTTCTCCGCCAGGGTCACCGGCGTTCGAGACGGTTCTTGGCTGAAGGATGCCCAAAGCAGGCGCGAACTTGCAACAACCCCCCCAGTTTTTGGCAGCAGGAGCCTGAGTGACATTTTTGCTTGCCACCCTATCTGACGGTCCTCTACTATGCATCCAAGGATGACCAAGTAACTTCCTCTTACAATTCCCTGGTCATGGCCCAGTTTGAGCCAACCGGCTCGTTCACATCCGGCAAGTTTGTCGCCTTGGGATCTGCACATCATCGAACTCGATGGTGCAGAGCTTTGGGGTTCAGGTGGTGCTCTAGGACTATTCTGCACACTGCTTGCTGCGAACAAAGACCCCAGCACAGCTCAGATGATTGAACTCAGCTTCGAACTCACAGCCCAGTCTAAGTGATAGAAAAGTGAAGTGGCTGAACTCGACGGTCTCGACTCAGCACTTTCCCACTATAAGAAGAATGGGTCCATGAGTTGGACAGCCGACTGTTTAACATCTGTATACACCTGTATGGATCATGTCTGCATATCCACACAAAGATACCAGACCTTATGACGGGAATCCTCTATGCCTTTGCGGAAGAATATCCCCTTGCAGGCTCCAGCAATGTAGAAACCATGGGCAAAGTGCATCTGTTCTCCATAGGTCAGCACTGCAGTTTGCCCATTTACCCCCAGGTTTACAGCAGGAGCTCCAAAGACCGTCCCAAAAAAAACATTCAACAACCTAAACCCTAAACCCTGAACCCTAAACCCCAAACCCCAGCCCAGTCTCGATGAGCAAGGCCCACCATGCTTCGTCCAATGCTTTGCGCCTGGCTAGAGCTTTGCCGCAACGTTGCACAATGGTCCGTTGCACTATCGCTTGCGGTTGCAGAAGAACTGACCTTTCACGCACTGCATTGTTGCACCGTCCTCATGGTGTACATACTATTTTCGTCTTGTAGTGCGAACTGCCCTAAATCTCTAGGACTGCATTGTTCCAGGACTGGAGATTCCACTGGTACAAATGCTGCAGCTGCGATTGCTTTGTTGGACCGTCGGTTAGTAAACAAGTCTTTTCCTGGCGCGGGACTTCGTCGCTCTACTTCAACTTCCTGATGTTGCCACTGCTCCAGTGTTCCTTACTGTCCGGCACTTGGCTCTGAGCTCTGTACGGGTACAGCGTTCAACTGCGCAAGCTCTCCGAAGTCAGAGTTCGCTAGTGCCTACGTGCAGCAAGAATAGTCCCTGAATGCGGTCTTGTCTCTCATTCTGTTTCTACGGGCGTTCACCTGCTTTTTTGCTGGAGACGCAGATGTCAATTCTGCATTCGCACGGTCTTCTACTGTTGGGTTGACATTCTCTGTCTAATGCGCTACAACTCTACGAAGTACTCGGCCGTAAGTCGTCATGCCTTGGAAGATTCTCCAAGACGATGGGACGGAACTTGATCTTGGGAGGCGCGGCCGCAGTCCTCACAAAACAAGTAAGTAGCAACTTGCCCGCCTTTGGTGCTTAAATGCAAGAAACCAAACACCACTGCCCACGACAGAAACTTGGAAACCTCAATGCAGACACTGCGATTTCCTTACTGACCTCCAGGCTTGCTCGATCAAGATTCCTTATCATAATTATAGTATAAGGGGGGCCCAAAACACCATTCCCGTATATGAGGGTCTAGGGGCAGGGATTCACTGCCCCACAAGAGTAGCCAGGTCGCTTCGGATGGTATTCTCGACTTGGCCCAAAGCCGAAGACCGCAATTCGATAGTTGTCCTCGCCCACACGCTCCTTGGCTCGAAATGAATCTGCAGAATACTCAAGGTTTTAGATAACCGGACTACGAACTGCAATACAGTGAATATCATAACCGTATACTTCCACGATGTCTTCCGTTGCGCAACCTTGTTTAACAATCTGCTACATGACACCCTCGAGCACTGAGGGGCCGTGAACCAAGAACCTTCGTCCAAGAATATTCTCTGCTGGGTCCCGCAGGAGTTGACGTTGGCTCTTCAAAAGCTCGCACTTGATGTCCCGGTGGGAATTACCAATGACGCCCCAGGCCGTGAAATGAAGCTTCGAAGTACCTGCTGTTTAGGTGGTTCCTGGCTTGCAACCAGGCAGCCATCACCTCAGATCTGCTGTCGGATTTCGGAACAAGTCGCAAGATCAAACGCTCTGCTGCTTGACTTTCCAAGGGGTGTTCATGGATGATAAAGGGTTTAGGGCTTAGGGTTACAAGCAAGAGTGGGACTGAACGAGGCAGCAGGTGTAGCAAATCCTGGAAGAAGTAGCTCCAAGAGCTCTAGAGCCGACGACCGGGGTCTCTCGAGAGACTGTGACGATCTTTGAAATTCATGGACTGGGCTGATAAGATGACACGGCTTTAATCGAAGGGCAAGACAGACTGGTGTAGTGGCATCTTATCACGCCAAGACACCTTTCAAAGAAACAGCGACACCCTAGTTTCAGATGCACTAGAACCCTAAATCATGGTGCAAAGACTCAAACACTTGCAAGCAGGCGGCAAAGCAAATGTACTGTCGTGCCATGAAGTCGCCTTGGACCAGCAACTCCCCCCCTCGTTTTATTGCGGGGGATTGAAGGAGCCTGAAAGGAATGTAAGTGCAAAGCAACCGACCATAAGAAGACGAAAGGACATGAGTTGACTGATCTTCAAGTCTCGAAAAGCGGCCCACAGTGGCTACTTTTGGACGCCTTTCCTAAGCACCGCAGCGAATTTACATGACACTCGGACCTTTCATTGAGGAGCATGATTAGTCCAACGTCCGGCTCGGCGAGTGTGAATGTCACGGTCTCTGCTACTCTTGTTGTTCGCATGTCTTAGTCGTAAAATTGGTACTGCTGCTTTGACTGAGAATCTTGTCAGTCTACTAACGGAGATCCATGGAGGGTGGTTACTATGTGCTACTGTTGTTGCTGGAGCTGCGGTTGCTGAATCTTGCTCATTGTTGCGATTATGATCACTCCGAAACTGTGCAACTGCGGCTGTGACTGATTTTCATGACCTCACCATTCTGGAGACCTCTCTGGAGCCACCCCAGGCACATCCGTCACATTAACGACCGGCTAGGCAAGTGTGTGCTGACGGCTTAATCAAGGGTCAGTTCATTGCCTGCACCGCCCGAAGCCAAACCTGGCAGTGAAAGGTTGACACCAGGTCTGCGCCCAGTGGCCACATCCCCACCCGCCGGGCAGGAGTGCGCTGTCCCCAACGTTGAGGTTGGTGAGCAGCCGGCGCAATCTGCCAGGATTCCAGGCTTCGATGTGAAACTTTCTGATTGTCTTGACATCAAGACTTCAAAATCGGACAACGAGGCTACCTATCACTATCTCAAGTTTGCGTACTTGCTAGCAGCTCCCTCCAAAGGCTCCGTAGTCATTCATGCAGCACCCCACCCAGACTCTACATCCTCGAGCACTGGAACCCCAAAACCGAATCCTACCTTCCCAAGTCCTCCCTTAAATGTGACATGAACCTCAAGTCGGAAGCTTTGGCCTTAGAAACCAAACCGCGGACCTCTTCAGGAAGGGCAGCAGTCCTGGCATCTCCGCGTAGTCATCGTAGGGGTCGACCTCTTTAACTGTTTTTTGAATGCCTTTTTCTGCACCGAAGTCCAGAGAACCCATTTTGGGCTTCCTCCGTTACCTTTAGATCCAGCTCTCACTCTTTAACCGTTTGGGGCCTGAGGGTTTAGGGCTTCGAAGGCCTCGGGTTCCAGGCAACCGAGGACGAAGCTTCAAGCTTGTACCCTAGCAGCACTCCCGAAGCACCGACAGCAGGGCAATGCAGACATCCCTCCTAGCAATGTAGCATCCCTTCTAGGTGCTACACAAGGAAAGGAGAATTGTAAGATCGTTCCTGCCAATGGAGCACTGTCAGGGGATCCTGGGTAAGTTCAAGCCTTAGGCTCGAGACTGTAAAGCCTGGAAAGGGTTGAAGGTGTCGGGGCTCTCGGCTTCAATCTTGATCCTACTCTGCAGCCGAAGCCCTCCTGACACCCACATCCCAAAGCCCTACCCCCACCTAAGCAGAACATGCTGGATTTGGCGCCTATGCTAATAGTAGCGGTTCGAGGCCCCCTAACGGTTAACCCTTGTAGCCCGTTGCATGTATCGAACTCTTCGCTGGCCACCTCGCCCTTCGTCCGGTCGTACTTCCGGAAAAGGTCCAAGCCTCTGAGACCCCCCAAAGCAGACACGAAGGTTTCTCGCATCTGAGAAACTCTGAGGGTTGGATAGGGTCGTGAGCTTCGCATTCTCTCGCAATTTAAGGGGCCGGGCAGGGCAAAGCCTCAAACAGACTTGCAGTAATTATCTGTCAAGGGCTTGGCCACAGGGAGACTTCTGAGACTCCTTACAGCGCATGCTGCTTAAGAGTATCTACCTGCGCTGTCATTCTGGCCGTAGTCCTTTGCTCTGTGTTGTGATAGTGCACCAATCGTGCCGAGGTCAGTACTGGAGTCGAAAAGAGCTGTCACCTTCTTCACGGCTTCCTGGCTGGAAGCGGGGATGTTCTGGAACTGTAGTCGGGATTCACAAGAAGGCAGAGGTGGAGGCGGCAAGAGTCTGCAAGAACTAGAGACCCTCGATCCTCATTTAAAAAAGAAACATCGACCCCTACTCCCTCAACTAGGATGGTAAACAGCACCCAGTTTGAGGAAACTGAACTGTAGGGTTTTCGGACCCGCTTTGCCCAACCATGTCGTACCACGAGTAGTTGCATTTCGTCGTCCTCGTCGTTAACACCTAGGCTCTAAACTCAACGGCCCGATGCTTGAACCGTATCCTATACGGGGATCCTTCAAAGGGGTCTATAAGTGCTACTATGAGGGGGTCTATAAGGATACTAGGATATAAGGGCCTTAATAATAAAACCCTGCACCATACGTCCTGAACGCTTGACCAACGCTTGCATCGGCTTCTGCCCGAAGCCCCCAATCCCTTCGCAATCCTCTTCCTCCAAGACACCCCAATCCCTTCAATCAATATATAGCGAACCCCAAACCCTGATGTTAACTTCGAGACCCCAAGCCCGGCTACAAATTTTGAAGCAATAATCGCAATGATGACAAGGAGGAGAATGACGACAAAAACCTAGCGGCCGTCGCAGTTATCATGAAGAAAAGCAGGAAACCGACACCACCACCGAATGGCCACCTGCTCTGCGGGCCCAAGCAAGGCGGACTTCTCGGCAGCGAGCTTCTCGAGGCCCAGGAGAATGATCTGACGCTTAGAGGGATCGGTTCTGTTGTCGGTTGAAGGGTCTGGGGTAGGCTCGGGCTTTCGGGGTGTAGGGGCAGCTGTCTGGTTGACGTAGCATCATAGACATAGACTATGACTAGGTTTTGTGGCGATCCTTGGAATTTGGGTTCGGGAATGAAACTAAATCGCCGAGGAGAGCTCTCGTGCAGTCTCTGGATAACAAGATGCTATCGATGAGGATGGCGGCCCAGATGATGCTAACGAGCCATATCAACATCTACTGTATCACCACTGGGAGGAGAGGGCTGGCGATGGTGGTGGTGGCGGTAGTAATGATGATGAGGATGACGATTACAATGATCCCAGTGATGAAACAGGCTTAGGTAAGGCACCCACCCACCCATTGGCAAAGACCACAAGGGGGATTCATCATATTCAGGTCTTTCCATCCTACCACTATCTGTGTGTGTATGGGGGGTTTTGAAGTGATGCTGAAGCGTAGCCTTGCTGCCAGACGCACGCGTTGCAACAACCCAAACACCACCCGGCATCTCTGTCATCATCACCTCCACCAACATCATCATCACCTCCACCAACATCGCTAGCACCATCAATGCTAAAATCACCGCCATCAGCATCAACAGTCACCAGCATCAAGCAGCTTTGCAAGTGTCATCGCCCATCACTTTCATCATCGTCACGAACAACACCAGCATCATCACGAGCAGCATCATCATCAACGTGGTCACCGTCGCAAGCGTTATCATCACCATCAGCTTCTTCTCCGTCTGCTTCCGCACCAGCACCATCGTCATCGTCGTCATCAATGCGAAAGCATCGTCACACCCGCTAGCCTAGCAACAAGGTCAGTGCCATGATGGGACTTGTGATGTATCGCCGCTCGACCTCTGCATGGATCATCGAAAACATTCGCAACCAATGCACAGCAACCCCATCCTGAAATGAAGTCTGATTTAAGAACCGAAACTGCGAATTCGCCTGCAGTGATCTGTAGATTTTCCCATTGTTGATGTCCATAAACACATCGCAGAAATGAGCCAAGAACCTTGCAAGGGAATGCGAGACGCCTAGTCCTAGCCAACTTCGTAGCTAAGCCCTCGGCGTCCCCTCAAGACGAATGGGGAAAGTCAATAGACTACAAAAGTGTCGACCTGTATGCCTGTCCTACCAGCTTAAGGGTGAGCACGGGGATGTGGGCTGCTTGAGCTCGTGTGAACACGTTGCTCATGGGGACATGTCATCCCTGAGATGAGAGCTGCAAGAAGGGTTGACCTTGCTGTTCCCATCTGGCACCGTCTGCGATGCTTTCTCGACCGCGGCCGTTTCGGGTTTACGTGATCGGCTTCTCTGTGGTACGCAAGGATTCTTCTGTGCAGCACAGAAGTATCGTCTGCCAAATAGACCACTGCCCCGGGGAATCCATGTCTGCACCTGTTTGTAAACGTAAATGCATGCATGCATGCATGTGTATGTGTATATGTACATGTATATGTCAGTATATATACGTATATGTATATGTATGTGTATATGAAGATGTAGTGTGTATGTCTATTTGGCGTGTATGTATTTCTATTTGGTGGAGGGTTTGTATTTCTTAGTCTGTCTTAACACATACCTAAACACAATGATATACTTAACTTATGCAGATAGAAACGGATATTGATATGGATAGATGTAACCTTAGATACTGGTGCAGGAAAAGATTTGGATGCAGATATGTTGAGGTAGAGGTCTAAATATGGACGAAGACGTAGACATAGACATAGATACAGAAGCCAGATATACATACGCAGATACAGATATATATATATATATATATATATCGATTCCAATAGATCGACAGACAGACACACACACAGACACACACACACACACACATGCAGACAAGCAGACAGACAGACAGATAGACATGCAAACAGACAGGCAGACAGACAGATAGATTAGTTACATAGATGCAGGCCGATACAGGTGTAAATCAATACTGATTAAGATACAGATATAGAAATAGATCTAGATGCAGGTGTAGATGCAGACCTACATATACATATAATACATACAATATGCATGCACATTTTCGAACCATGAGCCCGAAACTGCAGCAATTCCAAAGCCGAAACCCTGAAATTATTCCCTCACCGTCTCCTTGCCGAGGCACGAAAGGTCGCACCAGAGGGGTTGCCTTGGGGCTGATACGTTTTAAATGTTAGCTCCGGGATGCGGGGGTTCAAGGTGTAGGCATAGTGGCTGGGCCCTCAGGTATGTTAGCGCATTCTCATGCAAGATTGTGCTCCAAGGTAACACTACAAAAGAGCCCATCACGGTGACTTTTCAACTCCTGTGGTCGAAGTCGCGAGCCAATCTAGGTCTCATCAAGAACGGTCCAGCAAAAACTGCTGAAACACGTGTAATATCCTAGCTCGACGGCAAGCAACCCACACCCTTCAAACCCTAACTGCCACGCTCATCCCAACATATCCCAACTCTCAGCAAAGCCAAACTGCACACGCCTGAATCCGAAGTACTGCACTGACCCTTTGTGGGAAAAGTTCGGTTCTGAGCCCGGCTGCGGCTTCTTGTCGAGGGCAGCCAGCGCCAGTTTGCCACGGAAACGGCGTAAAGCTGCGCTGAGTGCCGCCCCGCCTGAAAAGGAAGCAGTACAGGGGTGTAGGCTTTTGCTGTAGAGGTTCAAGGGGTTTGGATCCAGGGTTTGAGTAATCTGGGGCATGCAACATCGGCGGCTATGAATGCAGCTGAAAAGCGAAAGGACCAGCGCTGGGAAACGTGTGCTTGAATTTCCTGCAGTCGCCACGCACTCTATCTTCTCTAGATGCCAGTGTTATCGTTTAATGCACTGCAACTTCCATCTTCCGTTGTACCCGGGCGGTCCAGTGAGCTGAACAGTCGTCGATGAAGCTCCACACGTTTGATCTCGATGCTGCCCGGCATGTAGCTAGGACCTTGCTGGTTGCATACTGCCTTCCAGCCAGCGTCAACGAGTGCTGAGATCACGAGACTACGTGGTGTGCTTCAGCCGAGCCACTGTTGCTGGCCAGCAGCAACAGGCCCTTGCGATCCAATGCCTCAGACTCAGACGTCGAAGCTTGCCCCTGACGTACCTAACTTTTAACCATTGCCTTGGCCTTCGACCCAAACCAGTGGGCGCTGACGCGGCTCCAGATCTTGCGGCAAAGAAGCCCACCGAGTGGAACCACCCGCCGGAAGAGACCCAACGGCCAGAGCGAGGTCCCCATTCCTCCAGTGGACGCTGGTTCGTCAGCTCTTGTGATGTCAATACACCAACATCTGCATAAACTACATGCACAAAAACAATCCCGAGTCGTCTGACCCCCAAGCCTTGGATCGTGTAGAAATTCTCATGGAGAAATGCTATTCAACTCCCTGTTGGATCCCTACACCTCACAGTCTCACGGAGCACGTTTGACCATCTGATCACCCTGATAACCCTCTGCAGTGTTTCGTCACAGTGCAGGACTGCTTCAGGATCAGGCTTGAGCAAAGAGGAAGCAAGTGCAAGGGCAAGCTTCGAGAAGACTTGGATGTTGCTCTCCGCGGCATTGCACACAAAGTAGAGGCGCACAAAGCGATTTTGTTGTCCTCGCAGTGAGGAGCGAATCAAGCAGCAGCTGTCTATGCCACAGTTTCACGCACACCACCCAACCCCAACACTGATCCCAAAACCACCAATTCTGACCACCACGATGTCAAGCCCTAAACAAGTTTGCAGATGGAGGTTACGCATCCAGCTTCGCACTCGCAGTGGGAAACAGTTCGCAGTTTATTTGTAGAGAGATGCGCTTATACATACTGAATGCTACTGCTATTGCTATTACTCCTGCCCCTCCTGCTCCTGTTTTTGCACCTGCGCCTATGCTTGCGCCTGTGCCTGCTGCTTCAGCTGCTGCTACTACCACTTCACGTACAACTGCGACTACCCACTGGCGCTACCACTACTGCCACCACTACCCGCTGCCACTATCGCTACCACTGCTACTACCACCACTACTACCTCTGCCACTGCCACTATTGACAACAACGAAGATTAACGACCGAATGATAAGAGCAATAGCAGCAGTAGCAGTCGCCCCAGAAGGACAAGACTCAGCAGTGATAATAGTAGCAGTAGTAGTCGTAGTCGCCACCACAAACATAACCATCAACAATGACGGGTTGTACCGGCAGTAGCAGTCACAGAAACAATACCAGTGCTAATAACAACAATAACGAACGACTACAGGAGTGGGATCATAATACAGGGGCCTTAATAATTAGAATAGGGTTTTGGGGCAAATTACACTACAATTACAATAATAAGGAACCCCCAAAATAGTATTGGAAATTATTCCGGCCCCTACATTACATTGTTCAGGGTGCCCCTGAGCTGGTTGCTGCCCAGCCACGGGCCGTTTCCAGGGAGCGGACGCTCTTCTCGCCTCATCGTTTGGGGTTTGGGAGTAAGGATCTCTCCCAGATCCTTCAAATGGAGATCCCGAGTACAAGGATACTTCTAGTTGGGTTAGGGGTCTACCTGATCGGGGCCGCATGGACAATTTCGGGATCATGGTGCAGCGGAAAGGGCTCCGATAGATTGCCGAATTGGGATTCTAGCCGCGAGGTCTCAAAGTCCCACTTGGAGGTTCATGGGCAGATCTAAATAGAGTTATAAGTCCCCCAATATGGGTCATAATTATAGTTACCCCACTTATAACTACCCATGGACCTCCAAGTACTTGGAAGTGTTCTTACTTCTGCTGACGGGCGACAGGTCTTTCGATCGAAGCACCCTCGACAACACCCGGGAAAGTCAGGATCCGTCAATTCACTCAACGGCCTCACGCCTCATGGGGGACTGAAGCATGAAACCCCAGAACCCACATGGGAGTTTCCGAATATAGGGGACCCTAACATGGTACCCTAAATAGTAGGACCCTTCTTACAAGGACCCCGCCAAAATGAGGTACCCCTAGTTTTCGGAAACTCCCATATAGAGTAGGCAGGATTGTATCAAGTATAGTATCTTTGTAGCTGGTTCTAGCCCCACTGATGGTACTTATGTTCCTTCGAAGTGCTTGCATCGGGAGCTGTATCAAGTATAGTAGGATCCTTATTATAAGACCCTAAGTAGTAGGATCCCTATGATAAGGACCACTAAGCTGTATCAAGTGTAGTGCTATTATGTACCCATTATATAGCCCATTACAGGGTAGGGGTCCCCATTAAGGGTCCCTCCTTTTCCCCTTTGATAGTAGGATCAAGACCTGGAAGATTCCTGAAGCAGGCCGCCTCGCTAAGAACTCAGCTCCCGGGTCGGAGCCCGAAGCTTCCGGAGGATTCTGGGAGCTTCCGAAAATGGTGGGTACCTTGTTAAGGGGTCCTTATAATAGGGATCCTACTATTTAGTACTTATAATAAGGATCCTACTATTTAGGGTACTATATTAGGGTCCCCTATTTTCGGAAACTCCCATCTCCCAGCCAGGCTGCTTTCGGCACCGCCGACTACCACGCGGCTCTGGTCCACGAGGCATTCGGAGATGGTTGCGTGGCTTGCCTCAAACCCCAACACTAGACCCTAGCTAAAACCTGTAAGAACAGACTTGATAAGTTTCGATCGTGTGCCTGCGCCCATGCATTCCTGCTGCTTGTGGTCTAGGCATAGCTCAACAAAAAATCAGTGAAGTGGCAACTTCTCAAAAGCGCAGCAATCGTGCAGCAAGATGCTGCTCGCATGCAGACATACAATCCGATGTGCGCGCACGCACCCTATGGATGTCCGGTCAATAATATAGCCAGGGCGTACCACTTTGCATTGCAGAGCTCAGTGGGGTGATGGCCTAACTTTCCCGGAAGCCTCATTCATAAATACATATATATATATATATGTAAAACCCTGAACCCTTGAACCCAAATTCCCCGAATCCTATACCCATGTTAAGACAATCTGTAGCCCAGGTCACCCAGAGGCAACAGCAGTGATGATTGTGCTGATCATGAAATTACAGCGATTCACCATCGTCATCACCAACGCAATGAATACAACAAGCAAGCCAACCATCTATCCGAAATGCGGATAAAAACAACTCGACAGAGCCCTCTTCCCGGCTCAGGTCAAACGGAAACCCCGGACCCAATCCACCTCCCGAACCGCCGGCCGTCCCTGAAGCCCCAAGCCAGCAACCGTAGCCGTAAGCTAATGACAGCATCCATAGCAACAACAAAGCAACGAAAGTCATAATAATCGTGTAATGATCATCAGATCATGACAACCCTCAATGCCCCAAGCCCCAAGCCAATCAAAACCTTCCCTGCCGGGGATTTCTGCAGCCACGAGGCGGAGACTTCCGGCCAGGTGGCCTGGAAAAGGCAGATGCCGACCCAGAATCATTTTCAGAATCTCTGTATCACAATTCAAGTGTTCAGGGGTTCAGTGTTGGGGAATTTTGAGGTTGAGGCTTTGGGGTGTATGGGAAAGTACGTTATGAATGGGATCAAGCAAAAGAGGACCCTTCATCAATGAGATTTGGAGTCAGTTGAGTAAATTTGGCACGAGTACTCGCATTTGGAAGCCTTGTTTACAATACCCAGGTCCTGAATTGCTCTCAGTTCTTCCGGCCTTGCGGGAAGACCCAACCCCTGTGGTCCCGAAACCTTTGGGCAAAAGCAAACCCGATAGACCCAAAGATGCTAATCCTGAGGTGTCCCCCGAAGAAAACAACAAAATGCCTTTCACCCACACCGAAGCAGAAGAACGCAGACCAAACGACCGGGTGCGGACCAGGGTGCCTGGAAGAGGGAGAATGGCCGGGGATGCGAGCAGCGCAGCTCCACGACCAGGGTGTAAGAGGAGACGGTGGCACCATGGTTCTCCTTGGCTACGGACTTCATATATACCCCAAAACTTCATCCTACAAGTTGCGAATTTTGCTGCTAGTAGTCTAGCTTCATTGTAGGCTCGGACCAAAAGGGCCCCAATTAAAGCCCTAAACCGCCACATCTCTTCTCAGAGTTTGGGACACGAGCTTCAAGCTGAATATAGTCGACAGTTTCAAAAGCGGGCCCGGTCGGGTCTCCGGGGGCTTCAGGGCCGGGGTTTGTCCGTGAAGCCCTGAACAACAGTTCTTTGGGCCATGACATTATAGATATGTACACACACTATATACTATATATGTACGCTGTATAAACTGTATATACTGTATACAGACTATATACTCTATGTGTATGTGTATATATATATATATATATACATACATATATATATATATATATATATATATATATATGTATTACTTATGTGTTTGTTTGCTTATTCATACTATACTTTACAGCCAAGAGCGGAAGAATGCAAAGGAGTGGGCAACTGGAAGGTGCAACGGCAAAATGGTCTGCCACCGTGTTCTCCATGCGCGACGCTAGAGCGAAACAAGCTCGACTAGACAGGAATACCTCGGCAAAGATAAACGAATAACAGAATCAAGGCGACGCTAACATGACGTGCCGAGACTCTGGGAAGTCCAGAGGTAGCTTCAGGTAGCCCCCAGCAGGTACAGAAAGAACTGTGGCCTCACCTGGCCAACGAAACACTTTGGATATCCGGCGTTCGGGCTTGAAGGTTTGAGGGTTGGGGGCTTAGTGTTTGGTGGCGACCTGCAGGCGCCGAAGCTCCACGGCAGAATCCAGTTGTCAGTTCTGCAGCCCAGAATACTCGGAAAGACCTTGAGCCAAAGCCCGATAGATAGACTGAAACGCGGAAAGACAGAAAGACAGACAGACAGAAAGACAGACACACTTGCAAGAACAGAGAGTAGGAGGAAGGGTCGCACGAAAACAGTGAATACGGCCCGCCCTCCTCCAAAAAGACGGTGCCTGAATCCGGCGTCCGCATCAACCTTGCGGGCTGGCCCTCGTGCTCCACCCCCGCAGGCAACTCTCCAAGTCGAAAGTCAAAGAAGACCTTCCCGGAGCGAGGCTTCTCTTGTCCTCCCTTTGGTTAGTAGGGAATGGAGGATTGGGTACAATTATAACTACAATCACTGAACAACCATTCTTCACATCCCTACTAACCAAAGGTAAGTTGTTGAGGGCATCTTTGCTAAGCATGGCCGTTGTGTCGGCACCGTATCGTGATCGAGGTTTAAGGCTCAGGTTTAGGGTGTTGGGGCACAGGCATTTCCCGTTACCTGGTTGGCCACTAACCCCAAGGAAGCTCAATCCACGTGCTAAACATGGGAGCCTTAAGATTTAGGATAGGTGAGTGGGGCTCCTTCCTATATTTAATTGAAGTACGGTATGCCCCGAAACCCTGTTCTTGTGAATAAGGCTTCTATTAAAGAGCACATCAAGGCAGCCTTCTCGTTGGTGCGCAGGCAAGAGGTCAGGGCATCTGCATCTTGGTCTTCACCTTCTTCGTCGTCTTCCTCCCAAATACTAGCCGCTACAGCAGCTTCACAGCGTCCGAACCCATTCTATCCTTTTGTAATCTCTACCTCTCTATATATCTATCTATCTATCTGCGTATATATATATATATATATATGTATCAGAGCATATCCCCACATCCTGTGTTATTGATCTTACGTCTTAAGACCCCAAAAAAGCAGGGGCCCCCGCGTGCCCGACCCGACATCTAAACAAGGAGGGGCTCGACCCCAAAACCCCCCAGTTCTTCTTACTTCGACTTTCGGCCACGAGAGTCATCATAGCTGGTATCATGGCCAAGTTAGGACCTGGGTTCACAGTTTTAGGACTTGCGGCTTCTGGATTTGGGGCTTAAGGGCTAGAAGTCAGGACCGTCACCGTGGGACATCTCCAGGATCGGGCCTCCTCACCCTCCTCGTCATCGTCTCCCCCGTCATCGTCAAGGGGGCGTCGGGAGGAGACCTGCCGCTTCAGGCGTGAAGACGAGGGCGACTGGCGGTTAGGCCTTGGACTTTGTGGTTACACTAAGGGGGTTGGAGGCTTTTGCGTCCATCGGCCAGTTGGAAGGCCAAGGATCAGCAAGCTACTCGGGTTCAATCGTGTTCCATGCTTACGCCCACAGAGTAGTTAAAGCAAGAAGCTAGAGAACCGCGATGCAATGTAAGATTGTGATGCCATACGGAACAAAGGGCTCAAGAGACCACGAAGAGCTCCAGTCGTCCATCCCGGCAAAGCCCCATTCCCGCACGAAGAACTAGTGGGGGGTGTCATCTGTCAGGCCCCTGCGAGTTTCCAGCTACTGCCAAAGCCGGCCAGTTTTGCAGCAACTTGATCTTGCTGAAAATTAAAAGCATCGCCCTCACATCGATCAGTCGGCAACAGAAGGTGTTTGGTAATCACTTTTCCACGAAGCGAAAAAAGATCAACAGAACCTTCTCCCAAACCTGGACATGATCTTTCAGATTGAGTTCCTTCAAAACTGGAGGTGCAACAGTGAGGACTTTGGTGCCTTGCAAGCTGACCCATTCGACGCTTAGACATGGCTCCGTGCCTTTGCCGGTGCTGCTCCTGCCGCTTCGACAGGCCACGGGAGGCCTGGACTGGCTCAGGCGGCTTCCTCGGTTTAGGGTTTAGGGTTTAGGGAACCCTAAACCCTAAACCCTAAACCGTGGCTCTCCAACTGATCTGAAACAGCTCCTGAGAAACCCAGCTTCTCGGATTTTCTGGTGAAGCCGGGCAGGTCGCCTGAGGATCCCTGTTCCTGAGACACTTTCCAGAACGAGTGCTGGACCGCAAATCCCAAGCCCCCACTCAAACTTTAGTCTCAAGAATTTGAAAACTCAAACACCTCAGCCGAACATCGTGCAACACTCTGGTCAACACTCAAGCACGCTGCGAAAGCAGTAGAACCCAAGCCCAAAACAAGCAACCTCACCGCCCTAAACTGCACAAGATCCTGGCAAAACGGAAACCCTGCCTCTACCAACGTCTCCATGCTTCGAATGTTGTTGGGAACATCGGCAATATCCCCCGCCCTAAGGCCCGACATCCCAAACCCAACCTCTCTGCTCAAAGGCCGTCCGCAGAGCTTCCACGTAGCCCTGAAGCTCGGATGGCGACCTGAGATTTTCTGTGATCGAAGCACGTACAGCTCGCCAGAAGGTTAGATGACTGAGCCCTTGCGTTTAAACTCATGTTCAAGAAACATTTGCACCGCTTCCTGAATCTGAAACCCTCCAGCATCGCTGTGGCAGTAGTGCAGCAAAACCTTTTCCACAACAATCTGGGCCGACTCGAAACTCTAAACCTTCAACATCCCTCAACTCGACGCCGCGACGATTGCAGTCTTGGATAACTGGATAATCACAGCTTCTACTTCTAACCTCAATGAGCCCTGAATCCGAAACTCGGAACCCCAAACTCGCCCCACCCCAAACGCAAACCCAGAAACCCTAAACACCTAAATCCCGCGAACCCTACAGTATAGTAGTATAGTAGTATAGTAGCATTGTAGTATAGTAGTATAGTAGCATTGTAGTATAGTAGTATAGCAGTATAGTAGCATAGTAGTATAGCAGTATAGTGGTATAGTAGTATACTAGCCTACACTTGCCTTAAACCCACACCCTAAAGAAAGCTCTGACATCAAATTTTCGACGGTCGACAGGGCCGACAGCTCCTCGGAGGTGGGCGTACCCTCCGCCATGACGAGGTCCCTCTAGAATTTTGAGAAGTGAGTGTATTTTCGAATTATTAGAAGTGAGTGTATTTTAGAATCTTTAGAATTGAGTGTGTTTTAGACTTTTTAGAATTGAGTGTATAATCATGATTGGGGGAACTTAGGATTTTCGACTTGGGCTCCTCATTTAGGTTCCAGGAGTTAGGGTTTGGGGCCTGGAGTTCGGGATCTATGATCATGACGTGGGCTCAGGGCTACGAGCTTGTGACCATGATCAGGGTGGAGGGTTCGGGTAGACTTTGCAGGTCTGGGCTTCACGCACGTTTTCCATGCTGGCCATTATGAGAAGCATTTTCATCACAGTGTTCAGTCTTTAGAGCTATCCAGCAAGTGCTTGAGCCAGGATGCAAGGAGAAAACGGAATCTTAGAGCTTCCGCATGTCTGTGTGTATTTAGGTACCTCATGCACTGTGCATCACAGTGCACGTAAAGGAACCTGCTGCCAATTTTGGGAACACTACTTTCGGTCTTGATTCTGCGCCGCAATATTACATCATTGGCCGAAACATTGGGACTACTACGAATATTGCTGTAGACCTTGTCGTTGTTGTTGCTGATAATCGATTCCACTGCTCAACCATTACCGCTATTCAAGATCCTACCTACAACAATGCCGACGCATGACGAAGCTCCAGTGAGAGGATGTAGCTGCTTCCTAGACCTGGCAACACTTTTGGCATCGAAGGAAGCCTGGAAAGCATGCCACATGAATTCGCTACAACTTGACGGCAGCTCCGAATCGCAGGCCATGCTCCTCACCAGCCATCTTCCAAGAATCTGGGTCTAGATACGAAGCCACGAATCACTGCGAAGTCCACTGGCGGACTTGGCGATAACTTAGCACGGCCTCCGCGCATTTTGCGGCGTGGCGTGTGCTAGACTCTCACGCTCTGCAAGTCTATCTGACTGACTGGGGCCTCCGAATACGCTACTCACCAAGACAACTGCGACTACAACTGCTAGTCAAGCGAAACGAAGGCCAAAGCCTTCAACGGCAAGGGGGCGAATCTCAGATTCTCTCCCTCCGGTGAGACTTGAGAACAGCCACTTGCTACTCTAGGCGCTAGGCTTTTGGGTTTGGAGTCACATGGACTGTCCCAGAAGAAGAAGTCTTTGTCAACATCAGAATATTCCACACGCGCGCAGACAAACTTGAAAACACATGCCCACCTCCATATCTCAGAAAAGGTCTTCGTCTAAGGCTGCCCGATCGTTCGCGAAGAGCCTTCTCACCCAAGCGACGCAATGCTGGTGCGCAAACACAACTCGAATTGGGAGAAATGAATCCGCTTGAGTTTGCCAGAAAGAGGAATCCGCACCTGGGTCCGGGCTTCAGAGATTTCGCCATGGCTTGGTAGGTACCGAACTCGTCGTTGCCGAGCGCAGCCTAGTGCGGTGGCGCGAATCACTGATTCCCCGCTTGAGTAGCTTCAGTCCTTGCTGATCGGTCCGGTGGGCACTGGCGGTAAAGGAAACTTGAATGGCCGCGCTGGTCACTGTCATGCCTCCCTGGTTTTGATGATAAATCTCGTTATGTGGCTGATGTTGCTGTTGCTCGTCGTGATGTTACTGACGATGACGAAGATGCTGACGATGCTGATGGTGATGATGACCACGATGGTGCTGAGAAGCAGGTTGTTCATGTGACTGACGCGGCTGAAGTGGTGCAGAAACAGATAATGACTTCATCGGCGGGTAGCCAGGATGATGAAACTGACGATGTTGACGGTGCTGATGTTCACTGCCATTGCTGTCGTGATGAAGGCTATGCTGATGATGATGATCATTGCGAGAGACGCCAGCACTAACGCCAAAAGGCCCTCTCCCTCCGCCCTTCCCTCCCTTCGGAAACCCTAAACCCTAAACCCTAAACCCTAAACCCTAAACCCTAAACCCTAAACCCTAAATCCCAAATCTCCCTCCGCCCCCCTTCGCCCCTCCCTTCCAAGGGCTCTGGCCATGGCATCTGCCAGGCGATCAGCGGCTTGGGCTTCCTCCTGGAGAGTGGAGTTGTGGGTTTTGCAAACTATAGGGGGTACCTTATTCTAGGGGTCCTTATAATAAGGATCCTACTACGGTACTATATTAGGTACTCAAAGCAACATCCTTGCTTGTGGCTGAAGGAGACATGGCTTGGGCTTAGGATCCGTTTCAAGCCTTTCGGGTTTGGGTAGAAGGCTGTTGCCGGGCTCGAGGCTTGTCACTTCTGCTCAGGACTCAGGACCCTTCCCCATCCTTTGAATGTCAACTCCCAAAATCCTGATCCCGTAAGGGGAACTAAATGCTGTATGCTTTCATCGGAATCAAGCTTTCTGATGCTTTCTGTGTAAAGGTACGCAACGTGTCGCCGAAAGCACGACACCCTAGACCTACCATTGAGAGACTCTGCGCAGGGATGTGCACTGCAAAGCTTCCTGAGTTCCTTTCTGCACGAAAAGGCCACCTCGCGTGCCTCGTAAGAAACAGCAACGGAACATACACCCAAGCCGAAAAGCCGCAACCGACACCCAGGAGCCTTAGACAACGGCGTTGTTCGGTGCGGCATTTGGCTGGCCTGAAACGAGGGAAACTAAAGCCACTGGGACATGTTGCGGGCTGGGCGTCCCGGTGTCCATGCTGAGGCTACAGATGTCGCACCAACGGCCGAATAACCCTTCCCATCAAACCTTCTGGGAGGATTCGACATGGAGACCAAGCTCGATTGTCCGACACAAGCACGGCACATCATCAAGCGCATCGCGGAACTGGGAACCCTCGACAGACTGCTCGTTGCGACTGCGCAGACAGAATGTTTAGGAACCATCGCTGGGAACTCAACAACTCCGGAAACCGAGGAGTGATTACGGCCATGCCTGAAGCGACCGGAAGGAGCGAACCAGCCGATCCTGGTGCTCAGTTCGATTTCGGCCTTTGGGCTGGTGCTTCGCAGCAGCTTACACTTCAGGCTTCGGGAACCGGGCTCTCAAATGAATGTGCCCGAACGTCTTGAGCAAAGCTTTTGGCAGCCTTTGGTGTTAAAGTGGTGCATGCTGACGCGCAGCCTTCAAACTCTATCACTGTTAACAGCGGGCTCTGCTTCCACCAGGCAGACTCGTACGTACTTGCATAACTACTATCACTGAGGTATCGGTGTGAGCCACCTCAAAGGCTTCCTGGATTTCTCAGAAGTGCCACCTCTGACGTGCCCCGACCCCTTTCCCTTGAACTTTCCTCGCCGAGACAATTACAAACTTTCGGAAGGGGATGGAGTCTTCCGCGATCCTTGCCGTCCAAGTCATTGGAACAGGGCCCGCCGGCGAAGCTCTCACCTGGAGCAACCACTTGCAAGAACGCTACTAAACCCAGTCCAAAGCGCGATGGCTCCTCGCCCAAATCGCCGCAAATCAACTCTAGCCCTAGCCCTACCATGGCGCACGCACAAATCCCAACTATTCCCAAATCGAGTCCTGCAAGAACCCTGCAACGTCCTTTCAACCCTACTATCTCGAAAGTCTTTGGTAAAGCCCTAGAAGAGCACATGTGAATCCTCAAGCCCACAAACGGCTCGGCCGCTAGCGCTCCATCTGCTCGAAGAGCATGCGGTAGTCATCCTGCAAACTGCGTGAATAGTTGGCTTAAGGCTTTAAGGGTGTCTTCGTCGTCATGTGGCAACGGAAGATGTCGTCGTCGTCGCCGGAAAGATAGCAGTAGCAGTAGTAGCAGTAGTAGTAGTAGTAGTAGTAGTAGTAGTAGTAGTAGTAGTAGTGGTGGTGGTAGTGCTGGTCTAGTGGTAGTGGTAGTGGTAATGGCAGTGGCAGTGGGAGGAGGAGGAGGAGGAAACCCAGCGAGATAAAGCCAAAGGATTATCGGCCGGTCCATCCACAAATTCATGCATTGAGCGCTGCATTAACCCAGAAACTCCAAGAGCTTGGTAATCCGCACAAGACTGACAACAAGGGTCTCCTCCTCGACATCGTCCGGGTCTTGCATGACCTGCATCGCGCACCCCACTTTCCCTGGAAGTACGCGCGATTCAAGAATCGTGCGTGGCCTTGGATTGGACAACATGATGCTGATGATGGGATGAGGCTTACGCTGGATATGAGGATGAGCCCACGAGGCGTCATGCCGGCCATTTGTCCATTTGCACCACCATTGCCGTCCATGAAGACGTATGAAGACCCCAAAATTTCAGGACCTCTGGTGTGTTTGGGTCAACATTTCTATAAGGCTGCAGGTTGCAGAACCTGATGCCCTCGACTGAGGTGTAAGCCCCACCGTTGCAAGCCATGCAGGATGCCGCGGTTCAGCCCATCAGATCGGAGCAGATCCACTCCATCGAACACTCGAAAACTCGTTGTCACGCTGCTTTGGCAGTGGGCGTTCTCTGGGTGCCACGCGAGTGAGTCGGCCCAAGCGCCCAATGAGTTTCAGGGCGTGTGTGTGTGTGTGTGAGGATTCTGGGCTCAGGGCTTCGGCTTCGGGACAGTGTCTCAATCTTGGGAGGGTGATTGGGTCCCACGGCCTGGAATCTTTGTGCGGCAAGCTCGCACCTATTCCCGCAACCCCCGGGCCTGTTCCGCAGTCACTCGCCAGGCCATCTCCGCATCCTGTCACACACTACTCGGCTGCGCAGAAGGTTCGGGCTTTGGATATTAGGGCTGCGGTTTGGGTCTCGTTTGAGAACAGGAAGTGTTGGAGCATAAGTGTAGCAAGGATGGCAAGCAAGCCGGACACAACTGGACTCCGCAGACCCGTGACTTGCCGCCCAACTGGCCTTTCTCTTGGCGGGCTTGGTCTTCATGCTGCTCAGAGACAGCAGCATATCGTGCGCGCTCCTCATGTACCGGTCGGGGCTCGGGACACGGGACACCCGAAAACTGAAAGCTTCTAGACGTGATTTACACTCCTACATGCGGCTAGGACAATGTTGCCGCACCCGACACGTCGCACAACCACCGCTACAACTCTGCTGCAGCCCTAACCCAGCTCCGATTCCGGCGCCTACTCCACCCGCCTCCTGCTCCTCCTACAAGTACTGCAAGTAGTTTAAGTACTACAATACTAGTAGTATTACAGTCCCTCCATTCGCACTGTGAAAACAGTGCATAACTCTGAACACATCCCGCGCATGGACAACACAAAGCTTTTTCGAGCGATAAATCCAAGAGCTCAAGACAGGTTGCTATGGAATGCAATTCTTACAAAGCCTCGCAAAGCAGACACATCATGATACTGCCATGGTTGATGGGCATACAGACCATATGCCTTGCACACAAAAAAATTACAGTCGGCGTATTGTCCTTGTGATCGATATTATTACACCTTCAGTCCTGCAGTGGTTATGCCAATTTCTGTCAATTAGCTTCTCTAATCGCTAAACCCAAAAAATCTGAGCCCCGAATCATGTTCAAGAGACCTGGGCGCTCAAAATATCTAAATCCTGAAAACTGGTTGCAGGGTTTCACATACCAGTAGGTTTCACTGCTCACCAAAAATATGGATATTAATCATCCTGAACCCGAGCCCCAATTCTCCCGAACGTTATGCAAGTTATGGCTGAAGCGATCAACACGCCCTTCTGAGGATGTCAGAAGTTTCCCTAAACTTTACGCCTGGTGCCGCTTGCTCCGTTGATCGGCGGCAGACGCAGGCGCTGCTGGTCCAGAGGCCCGAGCCTGGCAAGAGGCAAAAACCCCGCCAAAGTATGGCAATGATGATGGTCATACTGACGAGGATGCGGATCAGAATGACGAGGGTGATGATGATGATGTTGATGATGATGATGATGATGATGATGTTATCACTTCCCTGCCGTGTTCATCTCGAGACTTTCGCTTCGACGGTTCACTTGTTTCTTTGACAAAACGGGATTGAATGGCAACAACAGTGTCAGTCCGGCACACCCTGCTCCTGGCAGCTATGTATGCCCTGCTCTCTACTTGTTTCAAGATCGCGACCACCAAAAGCCCGACCAGTCCTTCAAGTCCGGTTCTGAGCCCGACACCCTAAACCCTAAACCCATGCTCCGCATGGACGGCTGCGAACCTCTCCAGCAGGTCAGAAGCCTCCTGAAACTTCGCCTTGGCAAGTTCCCGTGCTTATATATTATATATTGTACATTGTACATTATAAATTATAGATTATGTATTATCTAGTGCCACATTTGAGGTTTCTGATTTTGGGGTTTAGAGATAGGGCTTTTCGGGAGTTTAGGGCTTGCTGAGTGCTTCGGGCTACGAGCATCATACACGCCGTTCGGTAAAAGCCTTGATAGAGATATGCTCAGCCCCGCGACAATGATCACAAATGCCAAGACCAATCGCAATAGTATGGTAATGAGCACCAGCCCATGTCAATTGCCAGAATGAATGAATAAATAGAAGTGTCCAATACAGGGGCATCAATCAGTAACAGGGGTTGCAACACATAAGGTTGAACACTATGATAGTGTGCTTATTATATAGAGACTACTACAGGGATACTATGTGGCCCTTCACGTGCGACCGCGCTCGCCGCATCCAGCGAGGATCCATGCCAAATGCGAGTTTTGGGGTCCACGGCCAAAAACCCGAATAAGAGCAGTGGTAATCAGCATGACCACAAAAACAAACTGGCAGTACTGATGGTAGCAGTAGTGTTCATAATCACGCGCTCTATCGTGAGTTCAGTAGTCAAGAGAAGGGAAATCGCCCACCAATCTTTCAAGTCTCAAAGTAATGCCCAGATTCAAACTCGAATCCTGGACGCTGGCATCAACCTTTCCTGCCCTGTCTGATATGATCACCCGCGGCCTCCTGCGTGGACACGGGGTCGTGAGGAAAGCGAAAATGTCGGTCGTGACCTCGTGTAAGGTTCTCCAACTTGACAGCAACAGAAGCGTTCCATGACCAAAAATTTCGGAGGACCGAATCCCCTAAAAGTGCAAGGCATCGCTGGCAGAGGTTGCTTAGGCCAGGCTACGCATCATCGGGGAAGTTTCTCGAGCTGCCGTACAAGAATGGGCCAGACCGACCCCAATTTCCGAAACTCACACCTCGAAAGGACATGCAGGCCTGGAGGAGGGTACGTTTTACTGCTTTCGGGGTAAATGCTCTGTGTCGCGTTTGGGATGAGAATCTGAGCGGACTTGGGATCTGCAAGTAGCATGTCGATTTGCATGTATCAGTCTCCCGTAGAGCTTGCAACAATGGCCCGAAAGCAGAAATGAGTCCTATGTAGAAGCGTTCTCGGCTTCTCTGCTGCTGGTTGAGAGGGATAGTTAGCTGCATGAATGGGATGGCCCGCTCGAGACCCAAAACTGAGAGTCCGGCTTTGCATCAGGGTCCCAAGTCGATCCAACTGTAAGCCTGAGAAGGACTGAGGACTGCAGCTCCGGGGGAGGGTTCTGCAGGGACTTTGCATGAGAGCCTAAGGTCGAGAGCATTCCATGCACGCACACACAAAGAACATGCACATGCGCCCACGTGCCAGTGCTCCCCATGATCGATCGATCGTTAGATGTACATCAGAATGAACATCATCAAACAGCTTCGAGATCACCGTCCCAACGGAATCCCCTACACCTGCTTGCAACTTCAGGCCTCCAGGTTGCAACCCCAAACCCTCCACTCCTGAAAGATGCTGGCGAAAAGAAGCACCCAGAAGAAAATGCAAAAAGTAGAGATTTCAATGAAGACCCCTTACATCGCGCCACCCTCAGCCTCAAAATCCTCAAAAACCCGAACTCTGCATCGGAGGTTCTCCACGTCCGGACCCGTCGGTCCAGGCCGGTGCTCATGAGCGCCGTGGGGCCCTCAGTGAGGTACCTGGCAAGTATGGCTGGCCATCGACGATATGACCAATGATTCGTCGTAAGATGAGCAGGACCATTCAGATGATCAAGCGAGTGTTGGCACTTTTGGGGGCAGGTGGGAACTCCTTTCTCTTTGAGTGGTCTGGTAACTGGAAGCAGTGGTGGTCTCGCTACGGATCTCCTCCTTGGCGACCTCGGAGAGTCGTTAAGCTTTACACGACGCCACAACAGCCCAGCGGTCCAGGGCACCTGCTGAGCGGCTTACATAAAACCATGGCTTCCGGCCAAGTTAGTTTGCAAAAGAATCACATGACCGGTACCTTAGAGCTTCAACGGTTTGTGCGACCTCAGGAATCTGGCTTGCGGAACGGGACCCCGCTTTTGAAGGCCCAGCCCGCAGTTCTAGATTTGCGTCGGATATTCAGGAAAGAGATGCAACTGATCATAATCTCTGCCGGGAGGACATACTGATGATACCGGAGTCATCATGGGCTTCCTCCTCGTAGAGGAGCTGCACCTTCAGCATCGGCTATCTCTCTGTTCCTCTCTCCTTTCTGCCGCTGGAGAGAGGGGTGGAGGTGGCTTCTCCAGCCCTCTGCTGCAGCACACCCCGCTGTGGAGCCTCTGTCTCCCTGTCACTCTGTCTCGCTGATCCCAGGCGCGAACTCCATCGAGTGCTCAGCGAACGGGCAGATCACAGCTTCAACAAAGACTTGACTTGTATACATGCTCAACCACAAACTGGAACATCGTCCCACCGCCCGTCCCTGCGACCTCGGGATCCTGTTGGTTGACCGTCCATGTGCGCATGCCTGGACAGTAAGGACCACAGCGGTGTCGCCGGATGAGAGTGCGGTTGCGGCCAAACGCCCGCAGCAACAAGACCTTTGCACAGCCTGGCCTGACGAAGCGGTCGTCGGAGGAGCAAGACCTCAAAGAACTGTGACAGTGAGCTTGATTGAGAAAGCAAGGCGGCTGCCGAGGAAATGATATACGTTCAGGGATGCGTGTTTGCATGCATGTGAGGATGGGCGAGCTATCCTGAAGCTCGAGAGGGCGAGAGATACCATTCATCTTTGGCGAAGAACTAAATCCTCTGCAAACGTATGTCGCAAAGGAGTGAACCCAGCAAACGCCAACCTCAAGACACCGGGCGATCACAGCTCTTGGAGCCAAATAGGACATGCATATGATCATGGTCGATGTTACTGCTTATAGTGCTACGGTTGGTTCACGATTAGAGACTGTTACTATGTTGCTACTACTTTGTATGTATTTGATTTTGCGATGACATACCACTGTTGGTCCGTTAGTGTTGCTAGTAATACGGTTACGCTACGGCTACGTGTGTATGTGTAGGTAGATAGGTAGGTGGGTGGGTAGGCAGGTAGGCAAGCACGTTCTTGCACGCACAGCCCAAACAATCCAGAGTCACAGCCCCAAGTTGCTCACTCCTGCTGTGTAGGACCCCTCGGGCACGCGCTGTTCGGATAGCCGGACTTCGTCTCTGCCTCCGTCTCCAGGTCAAGGCCTGGCACGACTGCAAGGGCGTTTCGGCAGGTATCATACTGTAGTAGTTGTCAAAACTCATCTGAATCATCTATGGTAAAGACAAAATGTACTCTACTCTACGTTATTATCCGCTATTCCTTTCAATCCTTCTCCTTCTCTTCTACTCTACTCCTCCCTTTACTCAACTCCTCTATTGAAAACCTGCCTTGCTATACCTTGCTATACTCTATCATACCACACCATACCATACCAAACCATGCGATACGATTACTAGGCTTTTGTAGTAGGGGTGCAGCAATCGTCAGTTGTCGATGGTACCATCGCGTGCTGTGCTTGATGCGTTCCTCACGCGGTCTCCTTCACTCCCTCTGCTGAGTAACTCAAAACGAAACATGAAGCGTGGCTCGTTGTCGAACACTCCCGGCAATCATCTCGTCCCAGGAAACTAACCGGGACTCAGAAAGCCAGCGGAATGAACGTCACTAGACCCCCTGCCGGCAGCAACCCGGGCGCCTGTCAGGAAAGCGTTTCCCATCCTCGGGCTGTATTGCAAAACAAGCTTCCTTCCAACTTTCTTCAGGTTGGAGGTCTGAGACTCTATGTGCTTCGCTTCAACCACGGCGAATACCGAGCTTCTTTGCCTATGTTCGTGCCAAATGCGGGTGCCGCAAGATGGACAAAATATGCAGCACAGCTGGCGACATCGTGGGGAGGTTTCGAGCAACAGATAGCAGCAGCACTATGGCAAGCAAGACAGCGACAGAGCCATGTGGACGATGACGAGTGGAAATTATTTTACTTCGAACATCCCCACCCTAGCGCCTTGTCCTTCCTACACGCAAATCCTAAGACCTAAAGAAATTGAGCCTAAACCTTAAACCCTGGTGTTCCCGGGCACTCCAAGGATTCTCACGGTAGTCTGTGGGGTTGAGCACTCCAGGGATTCTCACGGTATGTGGGGTTGGGCACTCCAGGGATTATCACGGTAGTCTGTGGGGTTGGGCACTCAGGGATTCTCACGGTATTCTCACGCTAGTCTGTGGGGTTGGGTACTCCAGGAGGTAATCTCAGCGAGCGAGGAGTACTAGCTGACTTTCTAACAACCCCACACCGAGGGTGGGGCACAAATGCCACCACCTCCGCATGACCCATGACGAAGAGGACGGTGCAGACTGAAGACGACCGACCATGATCACCACAAGGCCACGACAACGACAACCACAAACCACTGCCGCCACCGCCACCACCAGCGATAGAAGCAGAAAGGCATCTAGAATCGCACGACTCTATTCCGACTGGAGAACTCATTGCGACAACCCACCCCCTCAAAAACGTCAACAAATACTACGAAGTCATCACACTGTCTGAGTAGGCCGTGTGGTCGTTGACAGCGTCCGGGGGCCCTGGCGACGTCTGAGATGAGAGCGTCCGTCCCAAAGGTGGCGATGCCCTGAGGGCGTCGTCGGGCTTAGGCTTTATGTGATTTAGAGCTTTCGAGTTTCAAGCATAGGAGGGAGGGATCTAAGTGATCTAAGGGTTAGGGCTCATAGGGCTCATCGGAGTTGACTCCGGTGGGTTCGGGGGTCCAATATGTCAGGCTTCCGTCTTAAACCTATGGCTGCGAAAGGCAAGCAAGGCCCTGCGAGGCTGAGTGCGAGATCTGAGCCTCTTGATTTGGGTGGTTGTCGAAATTATGGTCCCTTTTTGGGTCACCATTTTAGTACGGCAACTCATATTTAGGGTACCCAAAAAGGGATCCTCATTTTGACAACCACCCATTTGTTTTTGAAGCTCAACCCCGGACCCGAACCCCCATTTTTTTCCGTGACCCGAAACCCGAGTTCTGACCCCAGAACCGACCAGGAGAAGCCGGGTGCCCCAAAACTCAAAGCGCTGGGGCGGAGGCTGATTTCCATTCGAGTTTCGAACCGGCCTCCCGAAGCGCTTCGGAGGACTGTCCCGCAGATTCAGGCTTCTGGTTTTTAAAGCTTGAGGCTTGAAGAGTTGGAGCTTAAGGTGTGGGGTGTCAGGGTGCCTGGGTGAGGGCTGAACCTCAACACTTAGCCTTCAGGGTGCGAGAATGAGGGTTGAAGCTTTGGGTTATGGAGTCTAAGTTTAGGGCTGTGTGTCTGGGTTTGAGGCTTGAAGGTGCGGTTCAAGGGTGTAGCGTCTCCGTCATCGGGATCATCTGGTATCGAGAACAGATTGTACAGTACTGAGCCCGGCTTCAAGTATGGAGCACGAGTTAGAGCTTCGAGTAAGGACATAGTGGGACGCAAGCCCATCTGCCAAGTCCCTGTGGCCGACGACCCTGAAGTCCACAGAGTGGTTGGTTGTTTAGGCTCCAGAATTTGGATCCTGCTCTTGTTATCTTGGGTGGTGTCTGCAACTCTGAATTGAACCCGGCACTCGGGGGCGAAGAGCCTCTGCCCCATCTGGCGGCCCTGGCAGATTAGGTGCGGGACTTGGCGGTTTGTCAGGACCTCTGGGGTTTATGGGAGCTCCAGTCGGTTCTCGGGTTCGAGCTGCAGGTTTGATGCTTGTGATTGTGACAGCAGCGGATGCCATGGCAAGCCCAGCCTCTACGTTTCCGCGCATCCTAGTACTAGTGCACCATCTCAGAATGCTCTACAGGCTCAATCTACGTGTTTATCGCCTTAGCTGTAAGCCCCCTGTGAAAACCTCAACACCAAGGCGCCAAGACCGAACCCGCCCCTAAAATCTCCAGCCTCTCAAAACCTAGACATCCCAACACCCGAACCCCAGACAACACAATCCCAAACCGCAAACACCAAAGAAACCTCTTAAACTCCAAAGTCCCCCCCCTAAACCCTAAACCCTAGACCCTAAACCCTAACCCCCAAACCCGCTAGATGAGGCCTTGCTGCTACTGCCCCGTGGAGGGCTGGTGGTGACCAGCTTCCCGGAGCGCTGCTGCTCGAAGAGGTCCTCAGAGGCGCTTTTTGCTAACCGGTTCCGGATTTAGGGCTAGGGTTTAGGTGGGGCGTTCAGGGCTTTTGGGAATTATAGGCTTCAAGGTGTTTCGGGGTTTTGGGCCGAGGGATGCCGAAGGACGAAGACAATGTGTTCAACTCTCCCTTTACCTCTGGGCTGCGCTGGTGTTGGATTTGCCTTCGGGACGCGGAGTCAGCTTCGAGATAGCATGAGCGCCCAGCCTTCACGTCCACAGCATGGACTCCCCTCTTCTTGCACCTGAAGTGACAGCAAAATTTGCGGTGCTTGGGACTAGCAGTGTCAAACCAGCTTACGGGGAACTGCATCTTCCACTTCATCCTCCTCACAACTGAAAACTTGAACCCTCTTGCAGGCATGAGACATCTGCGACACCGTCCATACTCGCAGCACACCTGTAACAGGACGGACAAAACGGCACAAGGGCGGCCATGAACTTCTCGGCGACACAGAGAGACAGAGAGAGAGAGAGAGAGACAGAGAGAGAGAGAGAGACGGAGACAGAGACAGAGAAAGAGACAGGGAGGGAGAGAGCTGCGTGTTAAGAGTTGAGGGGAGGTCGTCTCCCTGTACGGCTGTGAAGCCAGCCTTTGGCATCGGCCGTGTAGATGAGAGGCGGCTCCAGGATTTCGTCTTCCTCGCCATCCTGGCAAGGGAATGGCTACAGGATCTCCAAAATGGAGTGTCTAAGGTCAAGGGTTCATGTAGGTTGATGCAAGGCTAAGGTTCTGCGTCGTTTTGGTGGTCGTCACAACAGTTAACATCTCGCGGGATCGAACATGCCTGCACCTTGCATTCACTTCGAGAATGCTAAAACCTACATGCAGCTCGCAAGAGCAGTGACATGTCTCGCACAGAAGCCTCCCACGGTCACCAAAAGCCTCGATCCCAGATCCAGCTGCTACACCTGAAGCCCCACAAGCCTCGAACCCCACAACCCTGAACTCCAACTACACCCCGAGCTTCAAGCCTTCAACCCATTTGGAGATCGATCCTCCACGGGCCGCGTAAGCTGCTCTTCGGAGACGCGAAGGGCGGCGACCTAGTCTTGCGGCAGGCTCGAAGCGAAGCTTCGGGTATGATAAGGCCCTTTTTTTACGAGTAAGCCTATACAAAACCCAGACCTAATACCAGTGCTACTAGCTAAAACACTATAGTCTATAGTGCTTGAGTGTTTGATATGTTCAAGGCTAGGCCAAAAGTGGAGAGCCAGGGTGTCGGGTGTAGGGAAGTTCTAAGTTCTCAACGATCGGGGTCCGGCTTGCTGGTTTGCCTTCGAAGAACTGATGTCCTCCACATCGCGTGTCACCGCTCAGGGGCTTCTGAAGCTGTGCCTCGAAAGAATCAGGATTTATGCTGTAAAGTCCGACAATTTGTGCGAGACCTGGTGCCTTTACTTCGAGACGGCAATCTGTAGCCGAGGGCGCATCGCGGAGCCGCACGCTGAAAATCGCGATCACCCTCACAGTTACCCTATCAGGCCACCGATTTGTGTTCAACCTGCAGTGGCAGACACACGAATCCCTTTCCGGCAAACACTTCATCCTTTCAACCCCGAACCCCTAGTCCTTCCAACCCAGAACCCCTCAACTTGGACTCTCGGCCGGCACTGCCAAGGCGGCTGGTGGCACCTTCACACAGCTTGAGGGCTCGAAGCTTCAGAGTCTAGAGTTGCGGGTTGAAGCAGTCCTATGGCTCGGGGATGCTCAAGGTGTGGCGCTTGAAGCCTTCAACGCTTCCCTTTGCAGGGGTCGGGGCTTGCAAGCATGGACCCACCGGCTGTCATACACCTGCACGAGTTGGACTGCGATCCATGACTGGACAGTCGCGAGAAAGCCAGGCTCGGGTGAGAGGATGATCTTTCCGCTATTTGTCTGCTGGCAGATCTGAACTCGGAACCGCCTCCGTCACGCTGGGCAGCGAGCCGTTGATGATGGGGAGATTCCTGCTCGCAGCACAACCATACCACCAAGCCCGCAGATGAGGTGCACAGGCTAAAGGGCTGCAGAAGGCAAGCGCAAGGGAGCTCAGCGTGAAAATGCCTGCATTCTGGACGATGGCAGCTATGCTAAGATGGCTCCAAGCAGTGTTCCGGCTCCCTTCGGTTATGCCTACCGTTCTCCTCCTCTCTATGGAACTGCTCCCTACGTACTACTGCGCCATGGGCTGCAAGGCGCCTGAAGTGGAAGGTGCAGGTCCACTGCTCTGGGTGAGGCCGCATCCGCCAGAAGGAGACGTGGCCGCCCTTGCACGAGGAGCTCCATGGATGGAAGCGGCAACCGACAGTTACGGCCTTTGGGCCTTAGGGTCGTCCTACAGCTTTTACGTTCTCAGGGTATCCGAGGATCTGTCCGAAACCCTCAGGCCTGATCTGCAACGACCAGGAGGCAGCGCTTCGGCAGGAAGTCTACGGCTGCCTCAATGCACAGAACACTTCAAAAAGGAGAATTGGGGGTTTTTACGGCTTGGGCAGTCTGTCATGCTCCTCGCCGTCGTCACTGGCATCGGCATCCTCATCGCCACCATCAACATCAACGGCGTCAACATCATGACTATCACAGTCTCTGCCTCCTTTCGTCCCCCTCAGAGTGTTGATACTGCTACTGGCGAGAATCGTAGGAAAGATGGACACACTGCTGATAAGCAAGCTGAATTGCACAGAACTGAAAGAACCTGCGGCCCGGACGATGACGTGTTGAAACCGCGACAACGCCTCGGATGTGGTTTTGGATGGATCGATGGCTTTGGGGCTCAGAAATTTGGAGAATCTGCCTTGTGCTCTTCTGTTCAATTCTGTCACTCGGCTCCTGTGGTTGTGATGCAAAGGAGCCAGTGGAGCGTCCGGGTTCCAGGATGGAGGTTTTCAGGGTTGAAGGTTCCGGGATCTGGGTGTGTGTTTTTGGAATTCAGGGAGTCCTACTGTGGTGCGGAAATGCTGCAGGAATGCAGCCTGCTGGGCCCGCCTTTTTACACGTTTCTGGGGATGGATGCGTTCAAGAGTCTGACCCCTGTTCACATCTCCTTCTGTTCTGTTCTGTGTTGGGCAGTCGGTCTTCAGGCCACCCGTTTTGGGTGGCGCGGGGAAGTGCGCCCCAAAAATCTACGCATTGAATTCAAAGACAGGAGACCGGCCTACGTTGCCAAAAAGCTTGCGCTGTCTGGCGTGGAGCCTCCTTGCTTCGCCCAGCTACGAAGTCTCGGACCCACACAACATGACCAGCGTGGGGAACAAAATGTCGCCCCAGTGCTCCTATGACAACGTCTTCAGTGTCAGATCCTTGCTGGATCCTCTCCTCCGCCGTCGGCATCCTGGGACCAAAGGCACAGGGAGCCCGTCGGGGGGGACCACAGCAACTAAAATGCTTCCATTGCCCTGCACGGACAAGCTTCTGCTTGCGGACTTCTGGGGCTTCTAGCCCCCGAGCCTCTTCTATACTTAATGGTCTGTGCAAATGAACGCAACGCAGAAGGCAGCTCGGTGTACGGCGGAGGTGATTCTGGACCTGAAGGACGGAGCCGAAATGCCTTAGGCAGGCCTCACATTTTTCGCCTATCGCATAATGACGTGCTGGACTATAAATCATGTGAGCCTTGGCAAGATGCGCGTGTAAATGCTTTCTCAAAGGGAAAGCGGCCTGACACACATAGCACTCGAAGGGGCAGGGCGCTGTCAGGGCCGCAGCTGGAGCTGGAGTTGCCCGATGCTGCTCTACCCACTTGTCAAGGTCGAGACGGAACTGTCGGTGAGCAGCGGACACTTGACGTGGCCACCATTCCGCATCGTCAGCATATGCGGCTAAAAGGTCTGACACTGGATCGCTAGCCCTGATACATGTGCCAGCCGTAGGCACATACTGGACAACACAGCGGAAGTCAGCACCAAGCTGCTCGAGCCAAGAGGACGCCGGATGGTTGACCCAGTGGTCATGGAGTAATGCAATCAGGGGGTGTGGTCCTCGCAAAAACAAACGGCTCAGCAGGGCTGCACGCGACTGAGCCAAGGCTAATGGCGGAGCCTGCGCTTGGGCCGCTGAAAGCACCATGTATGCATGTGCTTGCTTATCGACAGCTTTGCGTGCGATCAGTGCCCGCCAAAGCCGCATGTAATGCCTCTCCCACGTACGAACCTGCCATGCGTTCGAAAGGATGAGAGCAGCAGAGGTATGGACGTATTTGGAGACGGACAAGGCCCGCAGGAGATTCCTGCGTACTTGCAAGTCGAAACGCCTGTGCCCGAACAGCTGCTTCCGGAGTGGACGCACCACACTGTAGGCATTCACATCTCCTTAAGCACTAAACCGCCAACCTCAGGCCCCTAAACCCTCAACCCCTCGGTAAGGCGGTGGCAGTCTCAAACTTCATCGTTTTCAGGTCATAGAGGACGACCTGGCACAGCAATACGCCAGCCGCTGGGTCCCGGGTGTAGGCTTGAAGGCTCTCTCAGGCTTAAGTCGTCTTGGCATGAAGATGCGCGTTTTCGCTGAGGAACCCAGGGTCCAGGGCTTGGGTCGGTTCATGATAGCTGAGTTAGGGTTTAGGGTTTCGGGAGGACGAGGAGATCATTCCGAACAAACCCCTGAAACGTCCCTGATGAAAGCGAATTCTTCGTCAATCGTGGACATGGGCCGTGGCAGAAACGCTCTCAGGGGTTTAACCTCAACACTTAGTGTCCAATATCTGCTCCTGGCAATGGTATATCTGTCGTAGTTATCATGACACAACCATACTTCCTGAAGGCCGCGTGAAGTAGCCGCACACCAAGCTTTCAGGAACGGGCGTTGAAGGGCCGACGGTACATATTTGAGATTCAAGGCAATGGAGATCTACATGTCCACAGCTGCGAAGACGATCAGAATGTACTTGGAGGTCCATGGGTAGTTATAAGTGGGGTTATTAAGTAGGGTAACTATAACTATAACATAATTTTAGGGGACTTATAACTCTACTTATAACTACCCATGAACCTCCAAGCAGGTCTTTCAAGCGAGCCCAGAACGACCTGCATATCTGTACTGCCGCTTGCGAGAAGGAGCAGCTCCTTCAAAACTCGAGGAAGCCTACGCTCTTAGATACAGGAACCCTTCAAGGATCCCCTGTAGATCCCATATGCTTCATGCTGGCGACAGAAAAAATATGAGGGGTTGATGCATTAGCAAGAATTTTCCCGAGGGCTCCTTCTCAAAACTATACTATGCATGCTATTCTAGATACCATCGTCATGATCACCATCACTGCAACAAAACTCCCGCCGCATCAAACCTCGCACCGAATGCCTGCCAAAGCCTACATCCAGAAACCCAAACACTTCAACACTCAACCCTGATCTGGTCTGGAAGTGAAACTCCGACTCCAACTCCCATGCGCAACGCTCCTCTGAACCGGCGAGGCCTCGGTAGGAGGACGGAGCTCGAGAGCCAAGAGGTAAGCATTTGAGGGCCATGCACCGGCATGTTTCCTACACAACCCAACATGACACAGCAGTCCATGAAAGGCCCTAAACTGGCACTGCAGGGACCCTGTTTTTCCTTCTAACTTCCTTCTTGAGATGAGGCTGCAGGGTCGAAGTTGTATCTTGCACTTGAGGGCTGGAGGCCTGTGCTTGACATGGTGGGTCGTACGTGAGCTGCATCAGTAGCATGGCCACTGCTCTACAAACTCTTACGTTATGAGCTCTTGGCCTGTCCTGGCTTAGGGTTTATGGGCTTCTTTTGGGCTTAGGGCTTTTTTTGGGTTCTTTTGGGCTTATCCCTGGTGTTTTGAACATGGCAAGCGATGCATCGCCGTCCTTGCGACAGTACCGGGCTCTGAAAGTACTCGGAGGTGGCAGGGCAAACTGTCCGCGTGGTCGCCATTGTCTGTATGCCATGAGAGAGCTTCTGTTGCATGATGGGATGAAAGGAGACAGCATCGTCATCTTTATGATGGTGTCCCAATACGAGCCCCGGGCATGTCACTCCGTCCCGGTGGTTCTTGAACTCTGCCTGGCTGGTGGGATTGGGCCAGGCACATGTGACTATTGTTGGAGGGGGTGTTAGGCTCTGCGATCTTGGCGACTGCTCGGAGGAGGTGGAATGGAAGCTTTTGCGAGCCTTTAGCTGCGGCGGTCTGGAACCCTCGTCTGAGTGGATCTTGACCTGGGCTTGGACTCAGCTCTTGACGTCCGAGGTGCATTGCTTCATTGAGGTTGTGGGGAAGCACTAGTCAGGTATCAGGCATCATCTTCGTTCGTCTTTGGTCATTACCAAAATTGCCGCTTTGGGTACGGCTGCGTTGATGCAATGAGAAGCCAGCCGGTGCCAATGCTACAACTAGCTAAAGGCGAGCAGCGGTGCCATCCCAAGAGGACGAGAAGAGATTGTTGGTGCCCTGCCACAGCAAGCTGTAAAATTCTTGAGTAGACAAGCTGACTTCATTGGATGATGGCACCTTCCAAATGTCCAGGCAGGAGATGTCCTGCATGCATTCGCAGGTAGCACATGTGCCTGATACATCAAATCGAAAAGTCTTAACCACAAGCGCATGCATGCATGCATGCATGCATGCATGCATGCATACAGTCATGCATGCACTCTTCCCACGGTCCGTCGGATGCTGGTCAAAGACGCTGAGCACGACCCCGTTGTTGAGGCCGTGCGACTGCACCTCGTGCGGAAAGCATGTGCGAGCGTGCGAGCAACTGCCAACATAATTGAAGGAAAAGGGAACCAGACGAACCGACACTAGACGAGCGAGCAGGAGCGAGGGCGAAGGGAGCCGCTTGGGATCAAGAGAGGTGATGCCCCGGCTTCCACCCCTAGCTGATTGGAGGCTTGCACTCATAGGGAAAGCTCCAGCTGCTGGTAGTCGGTTCCCAAGAGGCCCTTATTGTCTAAGTCGACGACTCGCCCCTTAGCGTCGCCCAGGTAGATCTTGCGGCCGTTGTCTGAAATGCACGCCGCGGTGATCTCGTCCTTCCAAGCAAGTCGGGGCTGAATCGACTTCTCAACCACAGGTCAACCAAGCTTCAGTGTCCTGCGTAATGTCTCGAAGCACCTTGTAGAGAACTCCTGGAGACAAATATTACGCAACGACGATTGCAAGTAAGCAATTGTGAAAGTAAAAAATTGTAATGTCTCTCGTTGGCACTTCAGTTCATCGGTGGTCGTACTATCTCGGTCTCAGGCACCAAGCTTCAAGCTTCAACACAACACTAAAACGTCTTTCACGAAGTCGCCTCGAACTCTGCAGCAGCAGCTTTCTGTGGGTATTCTTGCTGCTGTCGGCTCGGGTGAGAGTTTGTTGGTGCGTCTTTGATGCTTCCCTCGCTGTATGTCGGTAAATGTCACTGCCGTACCAAAGGTCCTGTGTTCGCGTTCCAAGCCTTCACCGTCTGCTTGCTGACCTCAGTCTACCGGCGTGTACCCCGCTTTACAACCAGAATCCCCACTTTACAACCAGAACCCCCACTTTACAACCCATGAGCCTTTCCGGAACCCCCACTTTGCAACCGGTTTGGAAAGCTTCTTAACAACCCTATTAACTGATAACGTCAAAGCCTAGAATCTCTAGCATCATCCTTTACGGCAGCCATGCAGGTTGGAAAGTGATGTTGGTTGCAATGTGGGCGTTCTTAACCCGAAACCACGATAGATATGTGTGTGTGTGTGTACATATGTATATATATATATATATATATTTAGATGCGTGAGGGTTTGGTATCGATGATACTGTTTAGATGCTCACCTCAGCGAGCGTGTTGTTGCATAGTGGTTTGCAATTTACGCACTTGCGGCCGTCAAGCTGTATCCAACTCACTCCCTGCAGGCAAACTCGGACCGAGTGTGTTTGTATGGGGAAAGCAGAAAGAAAACATGAGTTTTAGAAACGGATTCTTTTCTCACCAGAGCGCAGGTATGCTTTTTTTAGTTTGTATATATATATATATATATATATAGGTATATTTATATTAAAGCCAGTACATGAACTCGAACATTTTATTACATTTGATGTTGTATTTACGGTTTTACGCCATACAAGTACTTTCAAAAAATGATTTTCCTTTTTGTGTGCTTGTGTTGAAGAAAGCATACATACAACATGACCTTTTAGAACCCCCACCCACCGACCCACCACAGGCAAGGCTAGAGTGCAAAGCGCAGTAACATGTAACCAAATTCCTACCCTCGAACTCCACAGCACCACGCTTCACAGACGGACTCTTTTCTCACCAGAGCGCAGGTATGCGTTTTTTTAGTTTATATATATATATATGTATATATTTATATTAAAGCCAGTACATGAACCTCTTAATGTAGGATATAGGACAGGATATAGTGTTATTGCAGTAGAAAGTTCAGTACGGGGTTCCCATACGGGTTCTGCAGCATTTGCTTACCGGGTATAGTGTGCAAGGATAGCGTGGTTAGGGTTCTAGACCTAGTGGCTTTACGAGGGTTTAGGGCTTAGGGTTTAAAGCGTAGGGTTCGGGCGCATCTTCTAAACCTAGTGGCTTTACATAGGGTTTAAGGCGTAGGGTTCGGGTGCATATTCTAAACTTAGTGGCTTTACGAGGGTTTAGGGCTTAGGGTTTAAGGCGTAGGGTTCGGGTGCATATTCTAAACCCGGGTTCGGGTGCATATAATCCGGAGCAGCCCTCAACTACTGCTTTGCCTCCAGCCAGGCGCACAGAAGCACCCACAGACGACAAAGATCAAAGATATCATGCGACGAAGCAATTTTAGGGATGTTCGAGATCTTAGTAGTTTGGGGCCACGGTCGGATGAAGGCCACAAAACGCTTTAGGGGGTCAAAGAACCACCAAACTATTAGGAATCTAGGTAGGTTTGTTGTAAAAAACTCATGAAATCCCAATATATAAGTCTTAATCATGGCTAGACGGGTTGCAAAGTGGGCGTTCTCACGATCTGCAGTTGTAAAGTGGGGATTCTCACACGGAAAACAGTGTCTGTGGTTGTAAAGTGGGGATTCTGGTTGTAAAGTAGGGATTCTGGTTGTAAAGCGGGTTAATCTCCAGTCTACCGCCCCCCAGTCTCGGAACACCCTGTCTCTGCCCTCTGCCTGTCTTGGCTGCCAGCGTGCGTCGCTTTATTTCTGAGGGAAAGCAGCACAACTAACGCAACACGAAAGAGAAAGGCTGGCGGCACCAGAAGTCCTGGCATGATGTGAAAGCTTCCGAAACAGGAGTGAGTGGGCAAAGAGTACAACGTAATACAAAACAGATCAGTAAGAATGGTGATCACAATGTTCGTGGCTGGCACGAGTAGAAGCAGTAGTAGCAGAGAGGTAGCAGTAGGAGTAGCAGCAGCAGCAGCAGTAGCAGCGCGGGAGCAGGAGCACCAGCAGCAGCAAGAGCAGGAGAAGGAGCAGGAGTAGGAGTAGGGGAGTGGCATTAGGAGTGGGAGTGGGAGTAAGACTAGGAGTAGAATTGGGAGGAATCGGCGTGGCAGTGGTATTTATTGGCAATGGTAGTAGGTAGTAGCAGGCAGCGTAGGATTTGGAGGATCATCCAATAATGAATTCGGCAAAAACAGTGAACATTGAAGCCGGTAGCAACGGCTGCGAGGTAGAAGTAGTCCAGTTTAGTCATACAGACTCAAAAAATGTCGGCAAGAGCAACCTCATACAGTAGTCAACACTGGGAAGGATGCTGAAGAATAAGCATATGTCAGAACAGCCACTCCTAAGCCCCAACTCGCAAGGCTCGAGCAGTGTAGAATTCGCCAGCATTCGGATTGTACAAGGCGTCCGTCACGCCACCTGCTCTCTTACAGGTGAAGAGCATTCTTCGTGCTGTTGCGGGCCGATGCACCAGAATCCTTCCTTACTCCTGACCGACCGCGCGACAGTCATCAGCTTCTACCAGCCTGTGTCAGTGACACTCTCACCACCCCACTCGTCCATGTAGTCGTGGAGAATCACCTTTGTTGAAAGATCAAGATTTCTGCCGAGGAAAAGGCCGGCCTGAGCAACTCTCTGGAGAGCCTTTTGCAGAAGCACTTCCCAGCATCCCTACTGCGGTTTTCCTGTGTCTCACAAACCTGGCTTAGAGTTGCAAGCAGGATCTTTGTGCTTCCGTTTGCGCCCTCGAGAAGCGCTTGGCCGAGCTCCGCGCCCGGCTAGCACCTGCTGCAAGTCGATGGTGCGGGGGCCTGCTTTGTCTCAGTGAAACTGCTGAGAACACAACACTGCCGCCGACATCATCTTCTCTTCAGCACCACCCTTGTTCGCTCATCATAGCTATGAGTTAAGACTCATTGGAGTGAGTCTTCTTGTTACTGCTGTAGCTGTTTCTGCAGTTCTTATTCCATTGTTACAGTAGCTGTAAATTTCAGCGTATTGCTGTTCTTGCCCTTTCCTACTCATGTCTGAATCTACTCTTGTGACCTTCAATTCAAAGCTGCCCGTGCTAGTGGACCAAGGAAATCGTTCACAACTTGCATCCAACCTTCCATGAGTTGCCCTTACCGCGTGACTTAAACTGCTGGCGATGATGACAGGAGAAGGTTCAGACATGGTAGCCCAACATTTGGGCGGATGGATGCATAGCTGGCTGGAAGGATGGGCTGCTTTATTTCTGTAGGGTGTATTCTCGGTGCCACTGCAAAGACATGAACGCGATTGACATGACCTTATGCGAGGTTGTGGAAACTGTCAAGAATCCTGGATGATGTCCAAGACACATGGTGCAGAAGGTGTTCAGGTCGTTCAACGTGGTCCTGATGTCGATTAGCTGCCGCGGTGCTGCAGAAAAACAAATGCAGCACGCACATCTCCCAGGAGTGGCGCTTCGCATCAAACTCTTTCGCAGCTTCTAGCGATTAAAGCAATGGGGCCCAGACTCATTGCCACCAAACGACTGCACCTGACCGTGGATGCTACCAACCAGGCTTTCAGTGATCCGGGCCGGGATGCTTGGCACACGGAAGGACATGCCCTTCATGACCTCTGAACTTTTCAACAACTACCGTGCTGTCCACAGAACAGTCGCAGCAACAACTCCAGCCGTGGTCACAAAGACTCCAGTACTAGCACATGACAAGATAAAGCAGTCGACATCAAAACATACACATCTCAAGAATCCAGAACCACTATCACCACGATCACGAATACTGACCCCATCCTATGAAACGCTGAGCACCGGGTGCTGAGAGTCGGCACACATCGGAAGCTGCGCATGTCCCAGAGGCGGAAGGTTCCGGCGACCTGGGCCAAGGGTCTGAGCTTGCAAGGGTCGGGTCTGAAGCCCAGGGCAGAGTCCAGGGCCTAGGGCTTGTTGGGTTTCTTGCGATTTGGGGGTTTCGGGGAATTTGATGTGGTTTGGTGATCTGGATCGATGGTTTAGAGTCTAAGAAGCGGGCTTTGGATTTCTGGATCGGGGGTGTAGGCGTAGGATTTAGGGCCCCAGGTCGGGCTTGGGGCCTTCCGTTCGGAGATGATGCATGTCCGGCTGCTCTTCTGCTTTGCCTCTTTTGGAATCTTGAATTCGTTGCGGGTATGTCACTGCTGTTGCGATTGTTGACACGATGCCAATCGGAAATGCCCTAAGTTCTTAAGGATGCTCTTCCTGCCATTATTGCTGGGGCAACTACAGCAGTTGCCGGCACGAGAACGATCGGCATGAAGTGGACCATGCTCAAGACTAACCGACATCTCGACGAACACTATGGACCTTCAAGCTTGCGTTAGCCGCAGCCGCAGCAGCAGTAGCAGCAGCAGCAGCGTTGCTGCTGATTCTGACGATGGTGGGTTCTTGAGAAAGCTTTGCAAGCTGTGCTACTACTACCTGTGGCCTCCTCGCCAGCAGCCAAGTTTTGCCGTGAATGTTTGCATGAATGGTGGTCTCGTATGCATGCATGCAAACATGCATGCATTTATGTGCATGCACGTATATGCGTGCTTTTACTTAGGTGTATATGTATGTGTAGATACACATAGTATGGCTTCTGGCTCTGATACACAGAACATGCACCACACCTGGGGCTGCCCGCATCGGCCGACAGGATCTGTGGCGTCCCCGGCACGACGGACACACCACACAGTGCGTGAGTGTGGCCTGGAGACAGTGGCACTTGCCGGTACCCATGGTTCTGACGATCATAAGATGCAGGAGGAAGAAAAGGAGGTAGGGAAGGAGGGGGGGGGGCTGTTTTCGGACACATGCTGACTTCTAGTGCTAACCTGCTCTTGCGAGTAGCATGAACACCTTTGGATGAGGCCCCAGCACATATCTGCGATGCAAGTGCAAACAGCAAAGCAGCTGCGAGGAGAGACCCAAATCATCTCAAACTACCTAAAACCACACAAACCTTCCCAGGCCTTTCAATCTGAAAATGGGCACCCTCTCCACGTAGGGGTTCCATACCTCGGCAAGAAGACCAAGGGCAAGTTCTCTGTCTGTGCAGCTCTATAGCCGGCTGTCCTGAAATGCGAGGGCCTTCGATCAAGTCGATGCAGCTTGGACTGTCCATGCTGGTTCTCAACTGCTGCAATGCCCGCAAGGCATCATCTACCACCCCCAGTCGCTCGCAGTTTACTTTTTGGGAGCTTCGCCGGCAAGTATTGCACGACAACAAGAGGCACACAGTGGACCGTCGGGCGTGTCCTGTGCGACAGTCCGCGAATCGCTTTCCGATCGCTACAACCACTATGCTTCTATTGTGGAGGATGTTGTGGATTTTGCGTTGGTCAAGAGACGGTCGTTGTTGCCTTTGCTTCTGTTGGTTGTGCAGGTCCTGACCGCGCAGGTGGCAGAGTGACGGCGGCAACAGCAGCAACGGCAGGGGTGAGCATGAAGACGATGACGACACCATCCTGAACACGATGATTTTGGTGATGGCGATGTTGATCACGATGATGGCAACGTTGTTGTCGGTGACTGTAGTGGTGACAAAAATTCTTCATGATGATAATGGCGACGACGGCAGTTGCTTTGATGATGTTCATGATGATTACCATCATCATCATCGTGAAGATTCCAAGAAGGAAGAGGCGGAAGAGGGGGAAATGGACATGAGTGTAATGATGCGGGTGGCAATGGCGGTCATTGGGCCGACGCTGATGGTGCTGGTGCTGCTTCGGGACTAGCGATGATGCTGATGATGAAGACAACGGACATGCAGATGGAGGTGATGATGTGTGCTTCCTATTATCATGGTGATGGAGACGATGGCCATAACTGTGACCATGCCACGTTCCTATGTGCTTTTAGCTTTTCGTGTCTGTGGCGGTAGACGTGTACCATTTTGTTGGCTCCCTCAAGCTTCTACATGGACTCCAGCTTTCTTCGCAATCTGTCGCGCAAAAAATTGCACAGCCCTTCAGCTGTTGGGTTGCTTCTTGCGGTCATGCACTGCACGTCTCGCAACTTTCAGCAGGCAGCCTGCAAACCCTTTGTAATCTCAAGGCTCCTGGGCTTTGAATTCACTGCTACTTCTCAGCAGCGAAAAGACCTCCTGACAGACAAGAGCTATGCTTGGGTTGAGGATTCAGTAGGATTTTAGGAGTTTGAAGTTTGGAATCTTGCATTTCAGATGATCCGACGCTGCCAGGGAAGGCCTCCAGTCTTTCTTCTCTGCCAGGTTAAACAAAATGTGCCGCACTTCCCCACCCAGCAGCTTCTCTGACCGTGAGACTCAAGGCCCGAGAAGTGCATCCTTAGGGGTAGGGAAACAGTGCGAACTCTCTGGGACGGTCGTCCCCCAAGCCGGTGCTTGGTATCGCATGACGCAGCCGTCTAAGAGGCATCGGTAGGCAAGGTCGACTTCATCACTTCTTCGGAACACTTTCGGACACATTGAATTCTTGATGGCTGCCCTTGTGCGGAATGAACATGCTGCGCTGCCCTCGCCACATCTGCGGCGAACCTCTGCCTATTCTGCACAGGTTGGAGTTCGGACTGGGCTAAACCACCAGCGTCCGGCCTCCGAAGGCAGCCGACTTCTGGCCCTGGCCTGCACCTCTGCTGCTGTCCCGAAGTTTAGATTGCAACCTCGGTCAGGATGCTCCTTCTACCTCTACCTGAAGACGAACAGCACAGTGTTGACATCGCCGCGGTTGTGCTTCCAACTGCTTTTTGGCCTCCATAAGCCATAATTACTTCTCCTTCGAACCGTTTCGAAAAGGAGCTCACTAACACTTCATGCAATGCGCAGGCCAAGGCCAGCTCAACGCAATTTAGTTTGGAACATCCTGAAGACTGAATTCGGGCAAAAGTCTCCGAGGCGTGAGTAGTAGCTGCTCCAGATCCGCATACGAAGGAATGAGTCTGTCGTAGGCTCTGCCCGGAGCCCAACGTATACGGCAATTCGCCGTTGCTTTACATAAGCTTTACACTAGACGTGCGCGAGCTGCCGGCGGTTCGCTGCAGTAGCTCCTGTCCATCAGACAAACCAGGCAAGACACTTCACAGAATTATCGTGCATGCCAATGCATTTTGACATCAATCTGCGCTGCAGTCCAGCCAATCGTAAAAACACCCCCACACGAGAGAGAGAGAGAGAGATGGAGAGAGAAAAACATCACGGCATCTCTGATCATCTGAGCAAGAGTGATACCACTGGTAGCTGCCATCCTTCATCGTTGCTAGAATGATCCGTATGTTGTATGCTCGTGTCAGCGTCCCCCATGCACCCCGGCTGAGGCTCTGGAAGCCAAGCGAGCGCTTGCGGGGCCCTTACAATAAACTTGCATTCCTGTCCCCTGTGTCAGAAAGTGAACTGAACAGATGAACAGATCACTAACAGATCTCAAGCCCTTTTTGATAGTGCTGAGGAGCAGACACTCGACATAGAGCTGACGCTGCTTCACGGCATCAGCATCCGTTGCAGCTCATAGGAGCCTGTACTAAGCAAAAGAAGGTTCTTTCCTTCACAGACGGTACAGCACAGTAACAACCTTGTGTTTGTTAACATTGCCAAATCCTAGATGCTTATCCTAGTGGGCAAACAACCTTGCCACTCTCCATCCCAGACGCATCACACCCCTCATATGCACTCTCCAAATTTCCCAAGGAGCTACGCACACCAAACCTTGATTCAAATATTTAACATACATTTACAAAGATGGTGCTTCGTAGCTTTCTACAATAAAAATGAACAGTAGTAAAGACCATATATCATAATACAAATAACAGTCGTAATAGTAACCATCATAATCATAAGAGTGCCGCCGAGGCGCCCATGCCCGCGATGAATCCCAAGGCCGCCCAGGGGGTAATCCGCCGGGTGTACCAGAGGAAGCCAACACCCTCGAGACCCATCAACGTCACACCTCTTGCAGGCGTTCTTTTTTGAGGGCCCTTTTCCTCCCTGCTACAGTCAGAATACCTAGTAGGTAGAGCTTGCGGGCTTTTGGATTTGAGGGTGGCTAGGGTTAAGAACCTGGGGTTTCAATCTTGGAATAAGACTGCCCACACAAGACAGGGTATTTTCACGAAGATACCCCTTGTCAAACCTCTCAGATGAGTGAATGAGAATTGTATACAGCATATGTGTAGATATGTATGCATATGTATGTATCTATATATATACATATATATATATGTATATTCCTATCTGTCTTCCAGAACTGGCCAAACCCAGAGGTTCTTTCGGATTTGGGATTTGTTGAATCCTCGGCTAGGGACACAAAAACTTCGGCAGACGCCCAACAAGACTTCTTCGACCCCGCACGCGTGGGCATTAACACACAGCTCGGTTTGGCCTGCCACGGATCCCACGGCCAACCTCAGCCGACAAGAGAGCTTACCACAGGTTGGGGTTCGGGATCTCGGTGTAGGCCCGAAAAACTGCTGTAGCATTATGAAAGTATTCTTATCGCCATTTTTCTAGTATTGTTATGATTGTATATTATAGTATAGCTGTTGCTGTAGGTCTAGGTTCAACAAGACCACGAAGGCCCCCCGCTTTTGCGGCCAAAGCCACATAGACCCACCTGTGCCCGCTGCCAAGGCCACGAGCTGCCAGAGGGGATCGTCCATAGGCTCTTTGAACATCTGAATGCTTGCCTGGAGGAATGGTTTGGGGGTTTAGGGTTTTTTTTAAGGTTTAAATTAGGGGTTTAGGAGTTTAGGGTTTAGGGGTTTAGGGTTAGGGTTTAGGGGCTTAGGGTTTAGGGAATGGCGCGCTGACCCTGGAAGCAGGAATTGGTATCTTGCTCTTCCGGCATGCTCCAGGAAAAGAAGTCAATGACCCACACCACCACTAACACTACTACAACTACAGTATCACACCTTCGCTGTTCTTTCGAGTGCATTCGTGATGTGATGCATCAGCTTAAAGAGGTACCAAGAGCCGAACTCCGATGCGCTCAGCCGGGAGCCTGCACAAGGGGGACGTTGTCCACCACGGCGGAGCTGACACCCAGGAGCGAGGTCAGGGCCAGCGGGCTGCCATGAGTGAACTCCTCGGTTTGAGAAAGGACTTGTAACATATGTCTACAGGCATGTATGCACACATGCATGTACGTAATGCTGACATAGACATACGATATCGATGTCCATTTCTTTGATGACGGTCTTACCTGTCAGTCCATCTATCTGTCTATAACTGTCTATCTATCTATCCATCCATCTACTCCGTCCACGTATTCATCTAGACCTTTATCCCTCTATCCATCTATCCATCTTTGCTTCTTCTGCTTCTTCCTTCCTCAAGGAAGTGTACTTGTTGGAGACTCAGTAAATCGCATGCATTCTGGGACTGTTGGAGATTCGAGGGTTGGCAGCTTTAGCTTGAAAGACCTAGTGGCGGAGGCACACTCAGGCAATGCCCATATTCCCCGTGGCCGTTCGCACGAAAGCCCCTTTGTCGCGTGCAACTAACCTGTACGGGACCAGGATCCGGGCTGATGCTGGGAGAAGACTCAACAGAGGCGTCATGGAGTCGTGGCCCGATCTTCCAGACCACGGCCATATCTGATACAGTAAATCTCAGCTGTAACTGTGCAGAGATATCGACTGTTCGAGCTGCCATCATGGCGATTGCTATCATTGGTTCCGCCATGGAACATGCAACATACCAAAGTAGCATGCTGTGCAAGAGGAAGGCACCACTCTCAATGAAAAGCAAGGCCACCCGTCGTGTCACGAGTCTTAACTTGAACCGCGTGCAGGGTGTGCTGTCTCTTGCAGGAAGGGCTCCTCCATGAACTCCGAGTACCGGTGCAACACCTGCCAGCAGGCTTTGCCGTTCGCACACATCAAGAAATAAAGCCGCAAACTCCTAAAACTCCGAAACCAGAACCCCAAGCTCCGCAACCCCCTTCAACTCAAGGTCCTTCAACAGCTAGTCCCCCCACCCCGGCGCTCACAAAGCCTCCGCGGACTCGAGGGAAGCCACTGCCATGAGCACCCCGGTGAAGAAGAGCAGACTGCTCAGGTCCACCTACGACAGTGTAGCGAACTATTCGAGTTTGGGGGGTTTGGGGTGGTTGGGGGGTTCAGGGCTTCAAGGGCTCGGTATGGCTCTGTTGAGCTTCAGGTAGTGCGTTTTGGGAATCATGCTCAGTAGCTCCGCCTTATGGAGGGCGGCAGGCACGCCGTACTTGACGTGCTCCCCACCTCAAAGGGGTTCGGGCAGGGTTTATGGTTTAGGGTAGCAAGGCTTCCGTCCCAACTCCTGTGAGCACCAAAGAAATGCCATCACCGACACCGGCTTGCAAAGTCGGAGACTGCATCCACAGGCTCTATTGAAGAGCCCAGCGGCTGGCAGTGTCGAAACCTGCAAACCAGAGAGCTCAGAAAAAGGCACTTCAAGAGCTACAGCTCCGTCTGCCACGGCCATCTAAGTCCTTAAAGCCCACCTTCTTCCTCGTCGCGCTCATCGTCTGCGGCACCTGGCAAGGCATAGAGCTAAAAGGGAGTGACCTAACCTGTGCGCTTGCTGGGACCCTTTCCCGCGCCTAATCCGGCGATCTCTGTGACCAGCCAGAAGATACCCAGAGCCATCATCATGCCCAGATAGGGCGGCAGGCCTGCCAGACTAGGCAGAGCGATGCCAATCGACACCAGAGCAAAAAGGCAGCCCCGGAAAACGGTGCCTGTGACGATCTTGACCACTGGGACCGTTAGAATGGAGGCGACTCCTCGGCGCAGCAGGAAAGGCAACCTAACACCATCCATGACAGTGGTATTCTTAACCAGCAGCAGCATCACATCTGTCTAGCATCTCTGACGACGATGACCATGATCGTGATCACGAGGCTGAGGATTGCAAGGGGAGGATCATGAGGGGGAGGGGGAGGATGATGCTGCTGCTGGTGTGGTGACAACAACTTCTGCCCTCAACCCTGAAACGTGGAATCGCCTTCCGATGAGGACTGGTCTGCTCCAAACGGATTTCAGGACCAGCGGCCAACGACGAGAGCCATCACGTTGCTGCGTGTCGTTGGAGGGATCTCAGGCTCCCGCCTTTTGGAGTCGCGAGGGCTGAGCAGTAGGTTGCAGGGTCTAGGGTTGTTAAGTTTTGGGGCTTCAGGGCTTTCAAGGTTTGGGTTTTGCGGCTAAGCCAAAGCTTTCCGGGCCGAGGGTTTTGGATTTTGGAGTATGTCAAATATCCGCATGAAAATGGCACACCAAAAACCATGCACGCAAGCCCTCTTTTGCATGGTGGATTGGTGTGGCTGCCGACTCCCGGGATGTTCCTTCGGTCGAAGACCTCAGCCAAGAAAGAGGCCGTTTCGAAGCACAGGAGGGTCCCCTCCTTCAGGGCCTACGGCACCTGTGGATCGGGAACCCTCCTTGTACAGAAAAGAGTTCCAAAATTTTGTGCCGTCCAGAAAGAAGCCTGTACAGGAGGCAGCCACATCCTCACCGGGCGCCCTGCGCGGGCCCATGGGTGAGGTCACCAGGATCGTCGAAAATACGATCTTCCAGGATAGAGCGGATGAGGGAAAAATGCTCGAGCACGGGTTCCACCGGCAAGCAGAGAGATGGAGTGAAACCTTGAAAGTTGGGATGAGTCAGATCATCAGCCCAAGTGTTGAAGTCACGCTTGACGTGGGAGGGTGCGAGCTGCATACCATGCCGGTGCAGCTGGTACAGTATCTCCATGAGGATGACCGACGTTGGCATCCTCTTGGACTTATCGTTCAGGAGCGAGTACACATTCCCTTGGTTGTCGCTGACCAGGGGGAGCCTGAGGTTCGGTATGAACGCAGGCGCCTTCTCCATGAGAAAGTGAGAAAGGATCAGTGTGCCAAACATCTCGAGGGCAGCAATGCGCTTTTTCGGGCAGCCCTTGTCAAATGCCCATGGATGCCGCTCTGCAGTGACCTGGTAGTGGAACCAGAACACTTCCGACTTGGACGGGGAGTCCGCGTTAGAAAGCCAGCCGCCCACATAGGCGCTGCCATCATCTGAGGCGCTAGCATCACTTGCCCCCGACCAAATGGCAAGCGGGGCATACGGCGATGCTTGTCGGAACTTCTGGTCAAAAAGAGAGAGGAGCAGAGCTGAGAGTGCACGGATAAGCTTACCCGGACGTCCTGCTGTCAGGCAGGCCTTCTTCCAAGCCCAAAAGGGTTGGAGGAAAGGCTTGGTGAGGGGGCAGGCCGTTGTCGCCCACTGCAGTCTACCCAAAGCGCTAGCGATCTGAGAAGCCGACATGACTTTACCGCTTTTAAGCTCTTCAAGAATGCCGATGACAAGCAGGTGCTTGTCTCGGGCCATCTGCACACAGGGTCCTTTTGGGTCAATGACAAAGCCAAGCCAAGTATTAACCTCAGCAAGCAGGGTTTTCTTCCAGCTCAGAGGAGTGCCTAGAGCAAGCAACAGCAAGCAAATCGCTGTTGCCAGCAGAGGGGAATTCGATTTACGGAGTAGCCAGGCAAAGTCGTCGACAAAGACAAAACCCCAGTCGACCTCGGGAAACACGGCATACACAATCCTAAGAAGGATGGCAGCCATCCTTCCCCAGTAGAGCTGGGCACTGGCCATTCCATAGGTGCCTACGGTGTTAACCCACCATTCCTCACCAAGCTGGGCAACTTGGTAACGCCACTCTCTTAGGAGAATCTTGATCCTCCTGTGCGCCTTAGTAACATCAGCTTTGAGCAAAATCCAGTCCTCGTCAGAGCCCGGGAAGCTCCAGGGTCGGCCGGAGCCGGCACTGGAGTCTGCGTTGCCCGAGGGGCCGTCCTGTTCTCGGCTTGTCGCCCCTGGGGCAGTAGCCAGGGTTGCATGCTCTTCAGGATCAGGGCCATGGGCACCTGGTTTCCCACGAGAGCGAGATGCCCGAAGCCAGTGCAGGCATTGGACGCAGTCCATGACCGTCGGGGCCGTGGTTTTCTCTACGGTATTCTGCTGTATACGGAGATTGGCACCACCCTTAGACCCGTCGAAGATGGAACGGATCTTGTCCGACTCATCAATCCCTGCCATGGGGCAGGGGCAGAGCTCGTCCTCTGCACATTGGCAGTGCGCCGCTGCCTCGGCGCGGGTGCACGGTCCAATGACCATGCCCAAGGGGGTTTCCTCAACGAAGGTGGCCCGAATCTCCTCCCTAAAAGTGTCCGCGGAGGAGTAATTGGCATGGCCAGTGGGGGGTGGAGCTTCCACCGGGTCCCACTCCTCACCAATGAGTTCCGACTTCAAGGGCCAGACGCCCGGAGATTGGAGAGTAGGGGTATCCACTCCAAGAGGGACTCCTTCTTTTAGTATCTGCGGATACTCAGCATCGACATCTTGGATGTCACACAGGAGCCTCCTGATCACGTCCAAGTGAAAGGGCTGTCCAGCATCCGGTTGGGTGTGCCGGGGCAAGATGAAATCACGGATCTCGTTGAGAACAGATTCCGGGAAGGGGTGCTGCTTGGCACCCGCGGCCGTTGAGGCTAGAAAAGAGGGGACCAACGGCCCCGCCTTTTCGCGAATGAACTTGCCCAGAGCAGGAGCCGTCGGTCCTTTGCGAAGGGGTCCTACCCGGAGAGGTCTTACCTCCACCATCCCTTAGGGGCCTAACCTTAAAGCCATGGGTCACACGCATTGTGGCATCGTCTAGGGTAAGTTTCTCCGAGAGCGGTAGCGTCGAAGGCCGATCACACCCAATCATCGGGGTCGCAGCGAGCAAGTGATCGCCTGCATGGGTACCTGCACCAGGAAACCCAGCAATCTGACGCTTCCCCCCCAGCGAGGGTAGGGAGGGTTGAACAGCCGCCCCGGGGGGTGCTGACCCTTGAGCCGCCCAGTGAGGACGCTCCTGTCCCAGCGAGGGACCAGCAAGGAGTTTGGAAACAGGATCCGGCGGTGAATCCTTAACTGGAGAGCCTGTGTCGCGAAGTTTACCAGCTAGTGCCGATGCGATACACTGTAGCATGGCTTCAGGTCGTCGAACGTCCCCCGGCACGGGACGATCCGGTTTAGGGTGATGGGTGTGTGTGCAGGTCTTACCCTCCCAGGATTGGAGGGGAAGATTCGTCACGGCTCTAGACGGACGACTAAAAACCCAACCAAAGGAACACAGATCAAAGTGCAGAATACGAAGACCTAAATCTGAGGTCCAAGCACGCAGAGCCGAAGTGGCCCAGGCCGATGAGGAGCGTCGCTTGGACGGAGAAGTGGCTCCTCGCGCAGGGTCCTCAGCCATCTCCAGAAAACAGAAGACCTTAGTAGGTGCATTAGACGAAGTCGCCTTGAAGGCAAGCCAGGTAAGCAGAAGGAACCTAAGGAGCAGGGTGCTCTCCTCATCCGCCGAGTGGAGCGTTGCCTCAGGGAGAGCGGCAATCCCCCAGGCGTTCTCCGCCGAGCGGGAACTGCCTGGAGAGTACCCGAGTCCTGAAACCATCTATCCAAACCCCAGGTGTTGAGGTCCGGGCATCCTCCCACAAAGGAGATGCTTCCTTGCAGCGCCGACGCACAGAGAGACCCAAACAGTGTATTATTAAGGAGGTCCTTACCAGGGGGCTTCCTAGAGGAATCTAAGGCCAGAACTCTCGAGGAGAGGTCTGGGGCTTGAGCATGGAGGATCGCTTCAAGGGATGAAGCATCCTCACGGCCCGCGAATGGCAAGATTATGGCACCCTGAGGAATGCTGGCAGTGCAATCGGAGGGGGACCACTGGAGTCTCCGGACCAGGCGGTCGGGGACCCCATTAAGCCATTCAGGAGAACAATTTGCAGGCAGAGAGCCCGGGTAATGTTCCTCAATCCAAGGCCCGAGAGAGAAGGGCTTGTCATCCGAGGGAGCACTACCAGAGGGCTGCATGCCCACATGAATGGTGTTCCCCCTTGGCGCGGGGGCGGTCTTCCCACAGGGAGATCGCGATCTGTCCCGTGCCTGTACTCTTTCAGGGCCAAGGGCACCTGGTGTGGAGAGGGCACCACGTGTCTCCACTTCCGGCACGTCTCTTAGTTCAGGGCCAAGGGCACCTGGGACTGGAAGTCCTCACTTGTAGGGACAGTTGTCCGGACTGTGCTCATTCGGAGGGGCATTGCACACCCAACCGTCTTTAGTGACCGGGCAGTTGTGGGAGCGCCCACAGTTTCCGGGGCACTGCTTCTTGATGTGATAATCTCGGCAGAAGGGGGTGCCCTTAGGATTATTCCTGGACCAGGACTGCGGCCAGGAGTCTTTGCCCTTGCCCTTGGGTGTGCCCTTCTTACCATCTTTGCCCTTGGTGGGCTGCTTGAGAAAGGGCTGATACACAGGCTGGTACGCTGGCCAGGTTTGCTTGCCTTTCCAGGACCCCTTGCCCGGGGCTTTGGCAAAGGGAGTGCCTTTCTCACCCTTCGGAGTGCCCTTCGGACCCTTCTCCCCAGGCCGAGGCACGCGCTCGTAGACTTCCCTTGTCCAGAAGAGGGCATCAGCACGAACTTCCATCATGGCCTCTTTGAGCGATTTGCCCTCGTAAACCAGATTGTGGATGGCTCTCCACGCGTTTCGTTCAGCGTAAAGGAGAGTTTTCTCCGACGGGGCTGGAGTCCGCCCCGCAATGTCCGGACCCCAGAACCAGTCATACCAGTCATCCAGGTCATGCTTAGACGCATCGAACTGCGAGAACTGGGGGAAAGCAAGAAGACACATCGAAAGATTGTTGCGGAAGACGCGGTGCATCCTTTCCAGGTGTCGCCGAGTGGTCGGGAGCTTCCGCTGCTCTTCCTCCTCTTCTTTATCCCAGCCGTCTACTGTCACTTTTCGCCTTGTCTTGAAAGGCTTCTCTTCAAGCTCTGGCAAGGCACTGATGATGTATTTCGCATTGATGAAGCCGAGTTCTCCTTTGGAGCAGAAGCGGAACTGCGCCTTGAGAAGGTTGTCACTTCCCTGGGCCTCAAGTTTGGGCTTCGGGAGCCCCGTTTCCTTAGTCCAATCCGTGAGGAGCTGATGTCGGTCACAAAGCACTTCGAGGCCTGATCGATCCGAAGAAGCCTGGCCAGGCGTGACACTGGATCGAGGTGCATAGAGGTTCTTGGTCATTTCCTTAGCCGCTTTGATTGCCTGAAAGAGACGCATGGCAGTGAAAGCACTGCTTTGATCTGTGAAGCCATTGGTCCCGCTAGCAAAACCTAGATCCCTAGGGCCATTGGTTCTGGCAGCCGACGCATCATCCCAGCGGTCGGCGATGTCTTCCAGAGTAATGTAGCCCTCCTTGGCCAAGGCTGCCTGGACAGAGTAGGGGATCTGTTTCCTTGCCAAGAGGGTGGAGACAGAAGAATGCAGCTCTGCAATGTCGTCGGCATAAGCATCAGGGATGGCTTCGGGAGGTTTGGCTAAGGCAGCCATGGGGAAGGGCGGGTGGGTTTCAAATTTTGAAGGACCCACGGTCCACGATCTTGGGCCAAAATGGCAGAGCCATTTTGGCAGACGTCTCCTGACATAAGTCTTGCAAGTCGGCAAGCTTTGTTGCAAGTAACTAATGTCAGATATCCGCATGAAAATGGCAACCAAAAACCATGCACGCAAGCCCTCTTTTGCATGGTGGATTGGTGTGGCTGCCGACTCCCGGGATGTTCCTTCGGTCGAAGACCTCAGCCAAGAAAGAGGCCGTTTCGAAGCACAGGAGGGTCCCCTCCTTCAGGGCCTACGGCACCTGTGGATCGGGAACCCTCCTTGTACAGAAAAGAGTTCCAAAATTTTGTGCCGTCCAGAAAGAAGCCACAGCCGAAGGATGGGCGGCACAAAAGAACCCCAAAACTGAAAGATGTCGTCCATCTAAGGCTGGCCTTTGGAGGCCAGAGCCTTGTCAAGGTCCTGGTAGGTGACCTTCTCCGCTTCCGATGCCGTGTCCACAGAGTCATCCGTCAGGCTACCTGAGGAGGCAGATTCACTGGAATCTCCCGCAGGGGGAGCATCCCCCGCTCGAAACTCTGCCGGCAGGGAGAACTGAAGGAAGCACCTCGCACACAGGTTGTAGGAGTTCACGTCGCCCTGATAATCTATGGCATTAAGGGCCTCCACCTTGTCCATAGAGGGGCTCCAACCGCAACCCACAGCCCGGAGGTCCTGATTCAAGAGGTGGATCCGCTTTTTGTTGCCTCGGGCCACCTTGGTGGAAACAGGCGTGAGAGGTCCTTGAGGCGGAGGCACTTCGTCCGCCGGGATCTGCGTCATAAGCCAGCTCGACGCCGGGCTGTCTGCATGGCGAGAAGGAGTGGATGAGTCCCTCACTGAACGCGGAGGGCTCCCTCTTTCAGGGCCGCTGGCACCTGAGACCGGGAGCGCAACCGCAGCAGGAATCTCCAGGGGGTGCTGCGGTTCCTCGCGGGAGAGATCAATGACTGAAGTGCGGGTACCCGCCGTGTCGATCTGATCTAGGTTCGAGGTGACCTTCTCCCAGATGGCGCAGACCACGTTCCTCTTCTCCCGGGTGTAGACATCCGCAGTACTCTCCGCCATCCAGTTTCCAAGATACTGCCGTTGGTCGCGAGGGACGTGTGCTTGGAAGGCGCAGTCCGGCATGAACACCCGGAAAGAGTGCCAGGTGAGGCCCTCCCACAGGGCCTTGTCGATCTCCTGCCGAGACATGGCCGAGCGCAGCCAGTTCAGGGCGCGCTGCGAGGTGGCGGGCCTGGCAATGAAGCCGTCATAGTCCTTGCCAACGGTCGGGATGAGGTAGTCCATGGCCTCAAACATAGGGGTCGCCGAGAGCTTGCGCCAGGTGGAGAGGAGAGGAGTCCACCAGTCCTTGCCCGAGAAGGAGTACTTCGGGCAGATGAGTGGGACCGGCTTTTTGTGAATCGCCACCGCCGAGTGGGTCTTGGTCTGCCAGGCCGAAAACTCAATGGTTGTGGAGGTCACCTTGAGGGTATCTGGGCTAGTGTGTTGAAGGTCACTAAAGCGGGCACTGGAGCCCAGCTGGAACCTTGCAATGCCACAGATGAAGGCATCCATGAGCTCGATTCTTGTGGCCGAGCTCGAAAGCGGGCGAGCCGCGACCTCTTCCGCCTGGACCACAAAGGACTTGGAGGGGACCTGGGCTTTCCGCATCGGACGGTGCACTGTGCTAACGAGGGACTCCGAGAGGGCTTTCTTCTTCTCAGTGAGCCGAAAGACCTCGTCAACCGCAAGGAGCCCAAACTTCTTACCAAACCACTTGAGGGTGTCCCACACCTGTTGAAGTTTGTGAGGAGACACCTCCTGATCACGGAGAGTGTTGAGGAGGGCACGAACGTCGTGTTCCTTCCATGGTATGGCCTTGAAGCCAAGGCGCCTGAGCTCTTCATAGGAAAGGCATCTCATTCTGAGGGTGCGGAACCTAGCATCGCCCAGGAGATCCATGAACTCCCCTTTGAGCTCGAGAGAGATGAGAGTGGTGCCTGAGGGCATTATAGCTGCCATGTGCGGGATTTGTCCAGCAGCCGGGAGGAGATAAGAGAGGAGCCTTTCCCCCCATTTCTCCCGAAGGCCACGCTCCAGGGCCCTCTGGTTGGTAGAATGGTGCTCGGAGACATTCCCCGGTTTCCAGTGGCGCCACCGGCTCACCGTGCAGGGGGTCAGCAAGATCCCTTCTCGTAGTACGCGCCACTCACAGCGGTCTAGTTCCGCCCTTCGTTGGATCACCTCTGAAAACATGTGAGAGGGAGTGCCTGCAGCGACCTTAGTGCAAAGGTCCCAGAGAGAGGTGAGGATCCCCTGAGCATCTTCCTCCCCCGTGGGGCCTGAGAAGAGAGAGAGAGCTCGTTCCACAATAAGCTGGAAGACCAGTGTAGGGCGGTATGAAAGAACCACCGGTCGTGGTGGCCCACCGGGGACACCTAGTACACGATCCAGTTCCTGGGTAGGCCTACAACGGGCCATGAAATCCACAATTTCTTGCCCCCAGGGACGTGTCACATCAACTTGTTCCTCCTCGAAGGAGCGACCCGACCCCCTGATGATCGGGTCTAGTAACACTCCTGCAAGAATCTCGCCATCCGACTGAAGGGGGCCGATGCCTTGCTCAAAGAGAGCAGAGATGAGAGGGTCAGGGGCCCTGACAAGGGCCCTCCCAAAGGGAGATGGACAACAAAATACAAAGGTAGTCATCCTGAGCCACGGCGACTACGGGAGAAGGGAGAGGAAGGGAGAGAGAGAGAGAGAGAGAGAGAGAGAAGAAAAACCAATGCAGTCCAAGGGCACTTGTTTTCGCACGGGGCGATGGTCTGTAGGCCGACGGTCTGGCAAGTAGTCGTTCCCTTGTCGGGGAAAGGGGGGACCATCAGGGCCAAAGGCGCCTGGAGGTCCCACCCCTTTTGAGGGCATTCCTGTTGCCGAAGAAAAGGCCTGTGACATGGCCCAAGTCCTGAGTAGTGTAGGTACAAGAACTAAAGACATTCCCCCTCAGGGCCCAAGGCACATGACCTCAAGGAAAGCTACAGCAGCCCGAAGGGAGAGGAGACCCCCTTCAGGGCCATAGGCACCTGGCAGGGGTTCCCCTCCACATGCCTTGTTCAAAAAGGAAAACAGGGCTCAGGCCGGGCGGACCCGGGATGCCGCAAGCTCGTGGATCTTCTTGAGGCCATCCCGCTCCGGGTTGGAGAGCACCACCGACCAGATCATGTCGGAGACCTGGCCCATGAGGTTCGTCTTGCTGAACCGGAGCCTGGAGCTGAGGCTCGGGTTGACCCGGAGGGAGCGATCACGGAACTCGATCCGGTCCTTGACCCAGGACTCGTAGAGGTTCTGGGGGGGCTCGTCCAGGATGAGCTGGAGCTGGGCCGACTTCCCTTTGTGTTCCCCCGTGATGAGAAGGAAACGGCTGGCCCCTCTGCCACTTCGCCAGAACCCTTTGCAGTGGCGGCAAACGTAGCCCCCACGAGTCTCACCCTTCTTCTTGTCAACGATTTCCCACGGGGAGACGGAGCTGAGGACCAGGCCACACTCCATCTTGGCCCAGAAGACGTGGGCCGTCTTATCCCCCGTGTTCTTCTTCTTGTAGTCGTCCGAGGCCACGCTCGTGACATTGTCCGGGGTGATGGGCGGGAGAGCGCGCTCCTGCTCCGACGCCGGGTCCAGGGGGATCCTTTCAGCGCCAAAGGCAGCTGAGGAGTCCCTTTCCCCTAAGCCGAGGCCTTTGATGTGGCTCTCCGAGTAGCCAAGCTTACGGTAGATGGGGCCGGCGTACTCTGGCTTGAGGCGGGCTGTCCACCACTGCACGGTGTTGCAGCGCCAAGCCATCTTGACCTCCACCACCGACTCTTGACCCAGCGAGTTGGAGAGCATGTTGTAGATCTCCGGGAAGTGGCGGAAGGCCTTCAAAGGAAGGGTGATCCTTTCGTCACATACGGCTCTCAGGCGCATGTGCTGCTTGGAGTCATGGATGTCAGCAACAGGGAGATCCAAGACCACCTGAGGCGTACGGTTGATGAAGACCTTGGCGGGGAAAAATGATCCGATCTCGCGGTAGAGCTGCTTCCACTCCTGGTTTGTCGTGGGCACCGGGAGGTCGTGCAGAATCACAAACTCTTTGGCCTCCTTCATCAAATCCCGGTGGTCCTCTCGTCGCTGCAGGTTCTGCTGCTTGTTCTTGGCACCTCTCTTGTGGGACCTGACGGTGATCGGCAGGTGGCTCCACACCGCGTAGAGGTGCCTGGCAGAGTAGGTGTGGCCGAAGCAGGAGAAGAGGCTAACCAAGTCCCACGTCTGCACCTCCTTTCTCCAGTGGGTGTTCCCGTCCCCCTCGGCATGGAACGGGCCGATGATCTTATCCAGGGGGGGCCTCGTGCCCATTGCAACCTGTGCCTCAATCTCCTCCATGGTGAGGGCAATCGGCTCGAAGAAGGGCTGCCTGAAGGAGCTGGGGTGTGTCCTCATCTCCAGCATGATCTTCTCCCCTTCGGGCAGGGGCTTTGCCCACGTAGGGGGCTCAAGGGGCCCCGGGTGCTGCTTCCATCTGCCCCCGATCATGCGCTGCTCCCCCATGTGCAGCTCGATGATACGTTTGAGGCGAAGCATCTGGAACTCGACCGAGCCCACCGGAACTCCCAGAACTGCCTCCGGGGACTGCTCCTCAGGGCCAAAGGCACCTGTGGAAGACAGCCCCTCGCCGGAGTCCCGGGCGACGCGCTCACCCTCACGCTGCAGAGCGGCCAAAGTGGGAAGCTCTTGCAGAAGAGAGGCAGGGAACGGATTCCTGCTCTGGTTCAGCAGGAACTTCGTGTTCAAGTACCTTTCCTTAAGGGCCTCGATGTCGTCAAGCTCCATGTCCTTGAGTGGGCACTCCGGGTTGAACACGTTCATCTCCAGGGCCGCGCGCAGCTGGGTGCCCCAGGCATCAATGGAGTCCGCCACCGGCCGAAGGAGCTGGGAGCGCTGGGATCCCTCATCCTGCATGCGCTTGTTCGAGGCCTTGGCCTCTTCCAGGCTAGTCTGCGCAGCGAAAAACTCGTCACCCTGGTTCCCAGGGCCCTGCAGGTAATTTCGCTTAAGGAGGGAACGAAGCTTCTCTGTATCCAGCTGCCGGAGGATTGACGCACCCTTTGCCTCCTCGACACTCTGTGCACCCGCCTGCATCTCCACGATCACATCCAGCTGGGGGTTGATGTGATCCAAGAACTCCTCTTCCGTGGGCTTCTTGGGCTGTTTGTCCACCGGGCCCGAGCTCTTCTTGGTGATGTCCATCGCCGCCGCCAGCTGGGGATGGAAAGCCCTCGTCTCCTGGCTTGGTTGCCAATCACCCCGGAGGTGGGGTCTGTCCCCTGCCTCCTTGTCGGCAAACTGCACCTCGTCGAAGGGCTGTGTTGCCACCGTGTGAGCCAAGCTAAGCCTCAGGGCCATAGGCACCTGGTCGGCAAAGCTCAGCTCCTTCTGATCCGTGGGCCTGGGTGGCGGCTGGGCCCAGGAGCCAATGTCCACGGAGGCGGCTTCCTTCTGGGCCTCGTCTGCATCCGTGTGCCACGTGACACCCTTGGGGCCACAAAACATTCGCCAGGACGACTGGCCTAGCTTGATCTCTGCCGAAGGCGGGCCCTTGTCCACGGCGATGACCGACTTCTGGCAGAGCTTACACTTCCCCTCCACCTTGTTGTCCTGCCGCTGCCAGTCGGAGAAGCAGTTCGGGCACATGAGGGTAGCCCCCGTGCTGCCCGGGTCAAGTTGGCCCATGCTGCTGTGCCCCACTCCTCTGCGAGCACGGTTGTAGGGGGCGGCCAGCATCTTCTCCTGTGCCAGCTGTCGTAGATTTGGTACACCTCAAGGACTCGTTCCACAGCCGGGCGGCTCCACTGCTCCGCCTTGAGCTCGGAGAACAAGGAGGCGATCTCCTCCTTTGTCAATTGCTGGGCCCAGTCTGCACTTTTCTTGCCGATGCCGGGGAAGTTGTCCGGGAAGCCCTCGATTTTGAAGACCTTCTCCTCCAGGGAGCCGGCGGGCAGGGCCGAGTAGGGCCGGGGCCTGGTGGCATCATCCTTGGCCACCGTGTCGCCGCCCTCAGGGACAAAGTCACCTGTGGTTGGCACCTCGGGCCTATCCATGGGGTCGTCCGCCGCAGCACCCTCAGGGACAAAGTCACCTGTGGTTGGCACCGCCGGCTTGTCCATGGGGTCATCAGTAGCAGCACCCTCAGGGACAAAGTCACCTGTGGTGGGCACCTCTGATCCCGTGGTGTCCATGGTGGTGTCCTCCGTGACCGCCACCATCTCGCTGCCCTTGGCCAACAGCCTTTTCATGGCAGCTTCCATTTCCTGGAGTCGCAAGTCCATGCTGGTGTCATCCACCTCCAAAGTCGTGAAGGAAGCCAATGCCGAATTGGCCGACTCATCCTCGTGGGCATGGACATTGTGGGCCAAGGTAGCACGAGCCAAGGCAACTTCGTCGTCCGGCTTCTCCCATTCCTGATCACTGTCCCCTGTGTCGCGAGGGGGGATCAAACTCTCAACCGTCTCCATGCTGGAGGCCAAGACGTCATCGACATTAGCGACGGGGGTGAGAGCCATGGTCGAAAGTCGCAAGGGAGAAAGCGGGAGCGGTTTCAAATTTTGAAGGACCCACGGTCCACGATCTTGGGCCAAAATGGCAGAGCCATTTTGGCAGACGTCTCCTGACATAAGTCTTGCAAGTCGGCAAGCTTTGTTGCAAGTAACTATTAGAGTCAGAAGGTTTAACGCTTCAGAGTTTTACCGTGCTAGGCTTTACATTTTCGGGGTCTAGGCTCGAGGAGAGTTGCAGGGAGCTATTCGCAGAAGCTGTTGAAGAAATCTAGATCGCAGACGAGAACAGCCGCAGCTGCTGCTGCCGTCAAACCCGAGAAGACTTTCGGAAGCGAGTTTACACAGATCAGAATGAGAAACTGCCCTGAAGCCCTGCGCCGTGGCCTTTCCAGCTTCGAGTCCTGAGAAGCTGAACCACACCGCCTGGCCTCACAGAATCTTCGGGCTGGGAATGTCAGGGAAGGGGAAATGACACTTGAAGTCTTATGTAAACGGCTCATGCTGTGTTCCGCGGGTTTGCTACAGACTACCAAGGATCCGTTCTGGAGCTTGAGACTTGGGAAGCTTGGGGCTTTCAGAGTTCGGGTTTCGGTGCTTTCGGGCTGGGCTGCGCTGTAGGATTTCATGTCTGCGGCTTGTCTTGCTGAACCCTAAGCATGATCTTGGACAGATTAGCATACATGTTGGCTTCTTTGGTCAGGCTTAACCGTGTGCCAGTTACTAAGAAAGTGCATATGTACCCTTTCCTCTCTTTGCATTTGAAGACGGCCTGTTTCACTCAAACACCGAAGCCATGACCCAGCCGGGCGGCCTGCCACCAGATTCCGAAGAGGGGCAAGATGCCCGCCACGAAGGACGGGAAGAACAGCCACGCGATGGTTCCTGCAGGTGCTTAGTCTTTGGGGCCCTTGAAACCTTCGGGTCTGCAGCGTAGGGTTCTGAAGACTTACATAAGGTTTGTCGATTGCAGGGCGCGGTTCTAGAGAGTGGCAGGAGCGGGGGCCAGTAGTAATGGACTGGGAAGGAGCTCTGGGACTACGTCACTACGTCTGCTAAGGTGCGCAAGGAGGGGTGGAATTCCAGGTGCCTGGCAATGAGCACAAGGGGATGTGGGTACCGTTCCCCTCTCGCCTGCCTGCAGTGGAGATCTTGTGGGAAATCCACAGCATGGTGGTGGTCACGTCCCCAATGGGGCTCCAAGCTCCTGCCGGAGCTCAGGGCAGCGACGAAGAAGTGACAGTGTCTACACCCGGGAAGCGCTTCGCAATGCCACTCCTCCTGCATTCGCAGCCACGACCACGAGGCCGCCGCAAGAGTGCCTCCAGTCCTTCGCAAACACAAAACTATTCCATGATCTCTACAAGTGCTATCATCACCCACAGGAATAGACAAAAAACCTCGCGTCAGTAGTAGTACTTAGCGGCAGTCCCAGCGCTCGTATTAACAGCTAGGACTTCTTCTGTGCCTGTTCATTGTAGTTCCAGCCAAGCTCTGAAGACCTTGCATCCACATTCCTGGGCTAGGATACCTTGCTCTACATTCGACGGTGCTCCGTCGTCTTCCTTTGCTTCCCGCAAAGTCCGAGTCCTACTACCTGGGAGCACCGAAAGGATGGAGGCCGGTCGAGGCGATCGCAAAAGCTGAGGATCACATAGGATCACAACACGCCCTGCAGCCTGCTTTGTAGTTGAGTTGGGAGTCTTGGGCAAAGTAAACTCTTTTAGTCGATGCCGTGCATGCCTTGACATTCTGGGGGCATTGCAGCCTGAGCGTGGGACTTGTTGGTTTGGTGAGGGAAGCCCTTTCAAAACACATGAGACCTAAACCCCGGACCCCAGGGGAGTTCCAACAACTCGAAACCCGAACTGCCAACCCGAAAGCCAAAGCCCAACGCATCGAAATCCCCCTGCACACGCAAAGCCCCAGCTTGCTGACGCGCATCTCTGTCGTGGGGCACGACACGCTTCAAGATCTTGATGCAAACCTCAGGTCGGTTTGGGGGCCTTTCCAAGGAATCGGAGTTTACGGGCCTAAGAAGTTCAGAGGTCAACCGAAAGACAGAACATGAAGCTCCAACTGCGACTCAGTGGCGATCGTGGCAGTCAAGTTGTCGATGACAGAGCCTGGGGTAGTGGAGAGTCATCTATTTGGACGCAAACGAAAGCAGACAAGAGAATCACCGTATCTTCTAAGTTCAACTTCATCGCACAAACCTGAACTACGGCACAATACACCATTGTACAACGCAGTCGAAAAAGTAGTCAGTGAGACCGTCGAGCAGTCTACCAGGAGTATATCAGAGAGCATGGCTTTGCGATAAACTGGATGCATGTGTCGAGGTCCAAGGGGCTCAGGAAGAACGCCAGGAAGCAGATCATTGGCATCAAGCGGTCTGCCTGACACTTTGCAGCATGCACAACCCCTGATTACTCAGACGGAGACGTTTGCTCCCAGGGCTCACTCCGCGCTGCAAAGCTTAAGCTCACAGCGGATGCAAACATATCTTCGCCTGACGCCCGCCCCCACGGGGCCCAGCTACACTGTACTTGGGCCTTGTCACGCGTGTGCCGAACAATGAAAGAAGTCACAACCGCGAAGCCATCAAGGTGATCCTTGGGCCGATGGGCACGACTCTTGGGCACTTGCACGCTCCACAACTGGAAGAAGATGCGGCCGTCACGAGCTTGTGTTACGCAGGTTTGAACTGCCTGGTCCCTGACACCCACACTGGCCTAAATCCTAGATTCTCTAAATCCTTAAACCTCAAACCCTGAGGCCTAAATCCCTAAACCCCAAGTCTGTAAACCCGAATGACACCCTAAGCCCTAAAGCCCGTAAGTCCCTAAACCCCAAGTCCGAAAGCTGAAGGGCGATTGCCGCCCTCTCCATCCGAGAATCGATCGACTCGACGATTCCCATCGCCGGGAGGAGGAAGAGGATGACGCTGCCGACGTCGGACAAGCCTTTCCTTTCGACAGAGGGCTTTTTTGGATGCCTTTTTGAAGGCTGCGGCTGAGGGTTTAGGGTTTAGTTTGGGGTTTGGGTTTTAGGGCTTAGTTCAGGGCTTAGGGTTTAGATAGCTAGATCCGCGGAAGGTGCCATCGTGCATCTTGCTTCTCTCTTCCGATGATGACAGAGATACACCGATAGGCACACGGGCACAGCTATAAAAACTTTCTCCGGAAGGCTGTAAAAACCCCATCCAAGACGAGCGCGGTCACATGCCTGTAGTCCTGAACGTTTGGCAGTAGAGCATATGAAACCTAAAACCGCCAAGGGCCCCGACGCCAGTTCTCAATGCCAACTGTGAGAAAACCGGAGCGGAGAGGCGTCTTCTCAACAAGAGCACATGCTTAGAAGTATGATCTCGAATCCCACGGAAATGAGAGCAAAAGGATAAACGACCCAAGACATGCCGCGAAACCTCCAATACAAACCTTAAACCCTAAATTCCGAACCAAGAAGGGCTACGACAAATCGATCCACTACTGTTGCTCCAAGATTCGACAGCTCATGCTGCAGCTTCTCATGGCCCTGCCACGAGAGACAATCGCACAAGCCGATTGCAGCGGTTCTGAAGTCCAAGAAATCCGTCGGTCTTTGTATATTTACGAATGCTGTCGCCATCTGACAAGCTTTAAACTTTGCAAGGGTCCGTGCTACTCCAATAAACGACCACATGTAAATGACGACGACAGGCACCAAAGATGACTGCCCACTACTGCTCCTGTTATAGGTGCCATGGAGTTTGCCGGCCATCCCACCATCAGCATCACCACCACGATGCATACCACCACCACCACCACCACCACCACCACCACCATGAAAAACTCTGCCCAAAACAAAAGAGCCGATGCCTGCTATTACGACCATCGCCAGATTCAAAGCTGCGACTTCATTATCGGCTTACTTGATTGGGGTTCTTCCTATTGCGGGGAGCTACAACGAGTGCTCTTTGCGAAATCTATGTCGAGTATTACTAATGCCACAGGCGCCATCATTATGATCTTGAATTTTCACACTGCCATCTACTCCATAGTCACTAGCCTCGTCACCATTGTGACCATCGCCATCGCTATTGCCAGACTTTCTGTCGTCATCATCATCATCATCCTTACCAGCACTGGTATCATCACCGACATCACCATGATCAAGTGCACCACCCCATCGCAGCCGCCGCCACCACCACCATCACAGAAATCGCCAGGCTCCTCCCGAGCAGCAACAAATAGGTATCATCATCCACATCACCCACACAAGTAGTCTGCCTTTTTGGCCGCTGCTATATTGACGACTTCTGTTGAAACTCATGCTTTTGGCAACTATCGCAGCTGTTTTGAATTTGCTGCGCTGGCAAGCTGATGCCTGGCATTTACAAATAGCTGCACCCGCCTCGTGCGATATGGTGGGGTGATACCCAGCTGCCTAGGCTGGAAGCCAGAACCAGTTGCAGCTAGACTTGGGTTCAGGTGTACGATGCAGGGTGATCTACAGCAGGAGCCCAAAACAGAAATCCTTTATTACTTATCAACAACTGGAACCTCTCGTTTTGGATGGATAAGTTCAACGGGATCTGCAGCCATCGCACATGGTAGGTCCACATCACGGAAGCAAGGACCTCAGCTAAGCATGTCGAGTCATGTCGAGGCTAGAGCTGTGATACATCAGCCGTGGAACGCATACGGCCGCGTTTGGTTTGGCCTACTGGGCTACCCTGAGGACACCACCAGCATGATGGCTGACTTGTCCAGGTGGATCACATCCTGCGGCAGTGCTTGGGCTTTACATTTTGGGATTCGGGTCAGGAGCAGTCACGCCATCGGCTTGACTTCAAACTACCAGTCCACGATTATTGTGTCCCTGTCAGCTGCAGGCTCTCCTCCAGGGCAACCAGGGCGATGCCAGTAAGGAAAACCGCTGCCAAAATTTTCCTGTCGTGGCGGTGGTTTAGGGTTTGCTTGATGGCTGCCGCAGCACAGTGTCCGGAGAAGGTTCTTACCACTTACACCCTCAAACCTTAACCCTAAACGCCTGACCTTTTCAGCACCCTTCACTCCAGCTGCCAAGCTCGACACCTTGAAGCCTAACATGGAGAGGTTTTCGAGTACATTATGGTGCAACTCTATTTTCAAGGACTACAAGGGGATACTATTGCTAGTTTGTGTGACCCCTATGTTGAACTCTCTCAACACCGGGGAGCATGCGATCACTCCCGAGCCTGTGCACGTCGTCGTTGTCAATCACAGTGCTTGGCCAGCCGAAGAAAGCCTTGGACGACGACTTTTGATGGCTTCAGGCATGTCTGAGGCTTTTGGGTGGTTTGTTTATGGTTTCTGATTTCTGAGCGAGATTCCAGCATAGAAGCTTGGCCGCTCAAAGAAGAGCGTCACATCCTGAAACCACATGAGGTGCAAGCAGGAGGCGAAAATGAAGACGACTGCCCAGAAGGTCAAGCTGGAGATCTTCATGAAACGTCGGGTGGACGTCACGGTTGCCTTGACCTTGTCTGGAGCCGGAGTCTCTACAATTCTCGGTGACTGCAGTGCTTCTTCTCTCCTTCTCTGCACTATCACTCGTCACTGTTATTGCTGTGGTCGCCCTTTCTCTCGCAAAGCGACGATGATTCTCGTTTTGATGAACGTGAGGATGAGGATGAAGATTGTGATGGTGGTGATGATGACGGTGATGTTGATGGTGATGATGGTGATGATGGTGATGGTGATGGTGATGCTGTTGATGCTGATGGTGATGTTGATGCTGCTGATGATGGCGATGATGTTGATGATGATGATGATAATGGTAAGGAGGAGGAGGAGGAGGCGGAGGAGGTCTGCAGCAGGAGGATGGCAACCACGACTCTCGGTTTCTCGTGCGGTCCGTAGTGTTTGATTTTGTTGAACTGCCTTACCTTTGAAGAGGATTGACGAATAACAAGGCGACCACTGCCATCAGCATCACCAATTGCAACGGAGCAACGGGACCACTGTGGCTAGCAGTGAGAAGGAGCCCACTTGCCAGGTTGCACTTCCGATCAGCCATCCACGCCGAATGCGCAGCTAATCCTTCTCAACCCGATGCTTTGACCTACAGTCCGCTTGCTGAACTTCCGGAAACCTGAGTCCCAAACACTAGAACTTAACCGCGGATGTGAAGGCTCAAGCTCATCTGCAGCCGGGGCACGGCTTTGTCACCAGTACATGTTACCTCAACCTGAGCACTTGGCAGCCGTCCGCATCTATTGAAGCCAACTGATACATAAGCAACAGTACCGTCTCTGCTGCTGCTTCCACGACAATTACCACTGCTGCCGCAGCACTTACTATGACTTACTCAACTCCGACGAAGACGACGACCACAACCACCATGACGATGACGTCGGCTACTTCTGCCATGGCTTTACCAGGTTCTAGGGACCCTTAGGGGGGTAAGGGTAGCCCCCTAACTCCCCGATCGGCCAGTTTGCGTTCCCATCCCATCACGGCGCAGGCATGCAAAAGAGAAGGTGCACGCAGAAAGACATACATTACATAACATTACATGACAATATATAACAGTACATAACAGTACGCTCGTACATACGTACATACATACATGAGTACATGCATATGTATATACATGATTAGCAGTACGTGTACGTGTTGCTTCTCGGACATAAGCACCAGGAGACATGTCAACCTGCATACATGCGTGTGTGTGCATGCGTAAAGACATACAGGTATCATGCCGCTGTGAGTGACTGCCTTGTGTGGTCCGTGCACGTGTACACGGAATGTGTGCGAAGAGTAATTGCTACTGCAACTGGTACCGTACTGATACAAATCCGCTGGGAGCCGCACCTTGGTAGCAACGGACGGTGCCACCGAAGCTGTTGGGGAGTAGACTCGCTCCGTCTGGGCAGATAGAAGAGTTTAGGGCTTGGGATTTGCAGGTTGGGGCCCAGGGATTGAAAGCTCGGTGCTTCGGGTTCGTTGAAGATTTACGAAGTCAAGGCTTGCCGCATGAGGACAGACATGCCGCTTGGGGACGTGCATGATTTACCAGATGAAAGTGGACTTGCTTGCGGAGGCACATCAGCAACAGCACAGAGACCCCGTGAGGAATGGCCTGGTTCTACGATGCTTGAACTCTCCCAAACCCAAATCCCTAGACCCGAAGCATAGCACCTAAGCCCACAGCAGAGCACCCTCACCATCAACTGAGACCACTGCAGGATAGCAGGGGCTCACCTCGGGCAGGGCTTGATGGCTCAGGGACTCTTGAGCTTGGGGGCTCTCGCCGGGTGTCGGCCTTCTAACAGCTCGAGAGCCCAAGTCAAAGTCAGCCCAGGAGCCGTTCGTTGCAGGGACTCCGCCGGCAGGTCCTGCAAGGAGCCGCGGCTGTCTGTAGGGTTTAGGGATGTGTAAAGCGTAAGAGTTTAATCCTCAAATAGAGTCTTACTTGGGATCACTTCAGGAGGAGGTCACGTCGGGATGCTCCAGCTTAAATGGTTTTCATCTGTGGGTTATCAACGCCGCCAAGAAGTTCTTTGGGGTTTATGGCCATAACCACGCTCAGACGTGTGCATGAGCTTCCCGCACAGCTGGATGCGGAGCTTGGGTACTGGTTGGGTCGCGGATGGTGGATGGAGGGCCATCAAACCTATCCAAACAGCCGACCGGCTCCTGGACGCCACTTAGGCAGATGTCCCGGGCCTCCTGGGTTCTGGTTTTGTCAGAGCTCGGTGGAAGAGATGGAAATAGATGCAGAAGTAGGAGTAGAAGTAGAAGAGCTAGAAGTACAGGTAGAAGCAGAAGTAGCAGTAGTGGCAGTACCGTGATCATCCCTCTACGACTACGACTACGACTACGACTACTACTACTACTACTACTACTACTACTGCTACTACTACTACTACTTCTGCTACTTCTGCTACTGCTACTCCTGCCCTTACCCCTACCACTACTACTGGCACTACCACGACCACTACGACTGGTGCGGGTGGTGGCGGGGGTGCTGGTGCTTCTCGATCAGCTCAGCGGCCAGCGTGACAGTCTTCGCAGTCATGACGCACGGACAAGGATGTTGACAACCGCCTGCCAGGGCAGCGAAGCGCAGTGAATAGCCTTCCGTGTGGATCGATGGACTATTATACGTAGTATGAGTCTGAGTGGTAAGAGTCAAACACAGGCTGAATCATCATTCCTTCCTACTAGCATGGGAAGCAAATCGCAGATCAGTGGTTGAAAACTATCACGATCAGTCGAAAGCCAACACCCATGGCACGAGGTCAGGCAGCGAGTTGCGACTGAGGCACTTTTGGGTGTCTGCTACGGCCGAAAACCGGGAGAAAGGCCGGAGCAAAATCCTCGTCTCGTTGTAAAATACTGTCTGAGCCGAGCAAGCGGCAACGTTCCACGTGCAGTTTCTAGATTCTAGGCCAAGCTCATGCTGGTCTGCTGGGAACCCTCCAGCGTGAGGCGGGACGGAGGGAGTGGGAGGTCGGGTTCCGGCCCTAAGTTGCGGGGTTTCGGGCTTTCAGGATTGCACCAGGGCTTCCGCCAAGGCTTCCTGGTCCAGTCCCGCGGTCAGCAAGCAATGGTAATCCTCGCGACTCGGGGTCTAGGAGTCCGAGGAGTCTAGGGCCCCGGGGTTCTACATGAACCGGGCTTTTGTGAGGAATCTTCTGGCGCGTCTAGAGAGCGATGCTCATTCCTGAAGCCCTGAAGCCTGAAGTCTTGCGGTGAGATCCCCTGCCTCCCGTGGTTTGCCCTTGACAGAAGGCCGTGTTCCCCAACTCGAAAAGATATTGCACTGCTACGCCTTCCACACTCTGCTATGCAAAGGCTATCCGGAAAAAGAACTATCGCGTTTGAACCAACACCGTGTGCTCTCCAGGTTAAGGAGAACTAGCACCTGTACCAGAATGTACCAAACATGCCCTTACTAGCGTCCAGGAAGGTGCCTCCATCCCCCCCTTTTGCACAGACTGGTACATGCCCGCATGGATCTCAGAGCTGCTGCACTTGCGGGAGAAACCCGAAGCATCTGAATATGGAGGCCCTAGACAATCAAAACCAAACCAAAAAACCTGAAACCCCTAAAACTTAAAGCCCAAGGCCCTAGGGCCCTAGTTCCGAAACCTTTGGTAGAAGTTCCGGGATGTCTGCTGGGTCTCCGTGCCATGGAATATGCCAGGGAGAAGGTGCCCTGAGCCAGGCGCTTCGGGGCCAAAAGTCTTTACATGCTCACAAGCCCGATAGCTGTACCGCAGGAAGCGCAGCAAACCGTCTGACTGGAGATTTGGCACCTTCTTGTGTCCCTTGAAGGTCTTCTTGGGCTTCATCGTGGCTGTGTCCCACCTCACAGCTGCAAACAAAAAAATAAACGTCCCAGCGCCCAGGCGGAACCCTGGTGCGGTGCGGCCGAGTCGCATAAGGATACTTCCATCCTGGGGCAGAGACAAGGGTCCGAGATGCTTGAGAGCACGATACCGGGCGACGCCAAGCTGTAGTTTACCCACAATCTGCCGTGCTGAGGCCGGATCCGAAGATGCGGAAGCCAAGAGGTTGATGTCTTGTGCCATCAAAAGATCGTTGATGGCCTGCACGTCGCTGTCAGGAGAGCTGGAGATGAAGGAAGTGAAAGCTACTGGTAGCCGAGCACAGGTGCGGTGCTTGACGGGCCTTCTTGTGATTTCCTTTGCGGATGTCTGCAAGGGTCATGTTGTTCAGGTCCTTGTCTCCAAGCAGTCAGACTCACAGCCTAAAGCTTCTGACCGGCCTTGCAACCTGCATGCGCAGGAACCCACAGAAAACGAAAAGAAGCGACAAACATCAATACTAAACTTGACAGGCATCCCATCTACTAAGGGTGCCGTCAATCGCACCACTGAAGAGGCTGCGGGAGACGTTGTCCCACTGAAGGCAAAGCTGCACGTCCTGCCAAGAGCCCCACAGCCAAGAAGCCCAAGCTGGAGAGGGTGGTGACGGGGGTGATGGTAGTCGCACTGGTCGGGATGGTGGTGATGGTGGTGCTGCTGGTGAATGATGGTGGTGGTGATGATGATGATTGTGGGAATGATGATGGTGTTGATGATGATGTTGGTGATGTTGATGATGATGACGATGATGGTGATGATGTGATGATGTGATGATGTGATGGTGATGACGATGGTGATGATGATGATGGTGAGGAGGAGGAGGAGGAGGAGGAGGAGGAGGAGGAGGAGGAGGAGGGTGTTCATGATGATGATGATGATGATCATCATGATCATGATCATGATGACGATGATGGTGATGATGGTGATGATGCGATGATGTGATGATGATGACGATGATGATGATGAGGAGGAGGAGGAGGGTGTCGTTCATGATGATGATGATGATGATGATTATGATGATGATGCTGATGATGGTTATGATGATGATGACGATGATGGTGATGATGTGATGATGTGATGATGATGACGATGATGATTGGGAGGAGGAGGAGGATGAGGAGGAGGAGGAGGAGGGTGTTCATGATAATGATGATGATGTTGATGATGATGATGATGATGATGATGATGATGCTGACATGAGGGTGGTGATGGTCATAGTGATGAAGATGATGCCGAATATTGTGTTGGGATCATGATTCTGGTGGTGCTCCTGGGCGGATGATGAGAGCGATGATGTCGGAAGTGGTGTTGATGATCGTCACGGCTGTTACTATTCACAGTTCTGCGTTGATGATGTTGAGGCTCGGCTGCTGCCACAAGTGCCTTAGCCGCGAGGCGATTTCGCAGCTGGAGGTGTGAGTCCTGGCGCTTTGGGGCACAACTCGACTCTCACTGGGAGTCTTGGCACTAGTCGTGGGAATACTTCTAGTGATACTACCAATACAACCACTACCAGCAAAAGTAGTCCTACTCGTACTCGTGCCACTGCTGCTGCCACTGCCACTGCAATTGCTGCTGCTCGTACCACTGTCACCACTACCATCCCGTACTGGCTACAGGATCTCTGAATTTCGACATCAGAATTCAACGTAGATTCTAATCTCGTCCGGGGGCCCAAAAGCAGATCGTCATGTCCGCCGCCGTGGTCGCGATTTGGCTCCAGGCATCAACATAGCAGCAGTTGATCACCTGCTTCGGGGCTGACCAGGTACCAATAAACCCTTAAGTGAAGGATTGCTTCTGTGGCTGGAGCCTTTCCTTCAACAAGAAATGAGGAAGAATAAGCTGTGGAAGCTCGGAACTCTCCTCAAAATCAATCTAAGAAGGGATCCTCCAAGGCCCGAATGCCTGTCCACCCCGACCCCCAAAAGCCCGAAAGCTCTGCAAAGCCCAAAGCCAAGCAGATGACACCCCCCAAACCCCCAACTCCCCCAACTTTGGGCCCCAGCTCCAAAATGTCAGGCGACACCCCCCAAACCCCCAACTCCCCCTTCTTGGCCCTAGCTAGTCAGGCACAGCCACCGAGCCCCGGTGGCCAGGAACATTGTGCTTCAGAGTACAGCGCTTTGGCTCGTAGAGGCGGAAGCTGCGGCTGCCACGGGACAAACAAACCTCGATGGAGAAGGCTAATAAATATACATATATATATATATATATATATGTATATGTATGTATATGTATGTATATACGTATATGTATACTGATTTACTTGTGTATATATATATATATACATATGCATATAGGTGTATCATAGATATATACAGGGTTTAGGTTTATAGGATTTAGGGCTTCAGGGGTTCTCGCACTTCACGTGGAGTCTGTGCCGAACCTCAAAAATCGAAAACCTGCGCGCAGGCTAGTCAAGTGCAGAATCCAAACCTAAACACCAGATCCCTGGACCTCCAGATCCCTCAAACACATCCAGGCCACAGCCTTTACGCGTTCAGAAGCAAGCAGATATGCTTGCCAAGAATCCTGAAACCTGAATCCTAGATGCCATGTCGTCATCAGGATCCCAGAGCTTCGTTTCTGACAGGCGGCTAAAGAATCGATCGTCTCTAAGTAGACCAGCTTCTCAACTGGTGTCTCCTTGGCTCCAACGGGGGGGGGAGTCCGGGCCTCCGAACCACGAGCTTCCTGCGTGAAGTTCAGAGTTTAGCACTTGCAGACTGCCTTCGGATACACGATTTGGGGCGACCACAAGGCAGCGTCCTACTCTTTACCGTGTAAAACCTGAATCTCCCGCTCTTGAAGGAAGCCATGAAGTCTCCTGCAAGCGGCATGCTTTGAGGTGTCTTGGACCTGGCTGAGCTCGTAGGTTTTGATGCTGTCCACCGTAAACTCGTCACCACCTCCAAGCGAACTAAAGGTTTCTTCTGTTGCAGCCCTTTTCGGTGCCTTGAAGATGCTTCTTTTTTCATGCGGAGCTCCAAAGCTCGGTAGGGTCAGTATCCTGGAACAATCGTGGTGCTGGTTCCGCTCCGGGCTTCTCATGAACTGCTGGAGCTTGCCAGTCGGACTACTAGCTACACAATCGTGGGGCAAGGCGCAACCACCTTGCAATCAATGCTTGCAATCCCGAGACAATCAAAGAACTCTGGGTTGATTCGTTGTGTCATATGACCAAGAGAAACGTGTGCTATACAAGTCCCCCCTGTTGCCAAAGATCTCAGCTTCGGCATCAGAGAGTTGTGCCCCTGGTAAGGGAGCGTCGAGAGCTGCCCGTCTCAGCGTGCAGTCTAAAACAAAAGCCAAACAGTAAGTAGAATGCTTGAAATGGAATAGGTACTGGTCACCAAGCCGTGGGAGGTAGATGTGGATCCCATGCCAGCACTGGTAGTGGTGGTAGTAGTGGTAGTAGTGGTGGTAACTGAAGTACCATCACCTGCTGTGCTGGTAGTCTCTTCTTCCTCCTGCCCTGCATAAGAGTCCGTGATGACCGCGAGACGTCGCCCAAGGCGGCGAACCCCCGAAATATCAGTGGTTCCGAGGTCTGTGCCGAGGCTGTCGGACAAGTCCTCTGTCTCAGTCTCATTCAGGTCCTTTGTGTGCACCTTGCAGTAGTAGCGGGCCAGTCCCCAGACGATCCTGCACTCCTTGTTGGACACATTGCGAGGCCCCATTGTTGCATTCCTTGGCAGCCATGTGCAGCACCGGGACATTCGCCGTGACCGTGAGTGCAAGCGATTAACTTTTTGACATATCAGACCCCAATTCTCGTGGAGAAACGACACAGCCCTAAAGGCCCTAAAGCACTGTAGAGCCGGTCGAGGTGCGGCATGAAGCCATCCGAGGTCTGCTGGGCTTTTTCGGCGAGCTTGTCTAGCACTGCGTCAGAGCAATTCAGGGCATCCGTCAAGGTCTCCAGGAGGATGGCGTGAAGTTTGCCTTGATTTCCACGCTTCACACTATCACTATGAGCGGGTTGTGGGATCGTGACCTAAACCCTAAACCCTAGGTTGAGCCAAGGCACGCAGGACAATCTCCCGGCCCTCGAGCATGGCCTCACCGAGGGCCTTGACCTCAGCACGTTCGGAAAGGCCACAGCCAGGCATCTTAACTGCCCCTGCGCTTCAGGCCGTATTCGCATGCATAACTGTACATTGAATTTTCGTCTTTACTATCACCACTACCATGATTGACTTCGGCTCTGGTCCTTACTACTCTTGATATCATTACCATGGCTACTTAGTCTTCGCAACTGTGACTGCTCGTACTGATGATGCGACTCCTCCTCCTCCTCCTCTTCCTCCTCTCCTCCTACCACCTGCTATCTGCTACCTGCTACCTGCTACTGCTACTGCTACCTGCTCCTGCTCCTGCTACTGCTACTGCTACTGCTACTGCTACTGCTACTGCAACTGCTGCTGTTGCTGCTACTGCTGCTGCTACCGCTACTGCTTCTGCTACTCTACTCCTACTCACTGCTACTCCCACTCCCCCGCTCCCGCTCCCACTTGGGGAGGAGGGACTGGGACGAAAGCTAGAAGCGTTATCCAGCGAGGCGTTGCCAACGAAGCCAAGCATGCATACATGTTAACGGCTCGGTTTTTTACGCAGAAGCGGCTAAATACAATAAAGCGCCTCATCTCAAAAATGGCCGGGGCTGCAAGCAGCTCGTCACAATGACTCCCACCCGGCACTTCAAGAAAAGATTGTCGTCTGGATCTGCAAACAGTGCATCTGGCCAGGGCTGCAAACAGCTCGTCAAAATGACTCCCACCTGGCACTTCAAGAAAAGAGTGTCGTTGCCGGGGCTGCAAGCAGCTCGTCAATATGACTCCCACCCGGCTTGCCACTCACTGGCCCATCTCTGCCTCCTGCATTCGGCCGCCGTCAACCAAGCTGAAATGCCTGGCCGACCCACCCATGATGGGCGACGAATACAACAATAACGCCGATGAAAGCATCAGACCAACCGTGTGATCGAAGAAGTAGGTGCGTTCCAGCTGCAGCGACGCCTTGTGCAAAAGGCGTAGCCACCCTCCCTGAACCAGGAAGAGCTTGGCACCAATGGCCCGCCTGAAGGAGATCGAGTTGGCGTCCGTGATCTCCTTCCCTGTCAGCGGGTCCAGCGGCTTGCACTTCTTCTTCGTGCTAGGAAGGCGCCGGTAAGCCAATTGATAACCACACAGTCCGGCCTGGCGGGCAAACTCTGGGAACGCCTCGATGTTGCTTGTGAGCGCCTGCATGCTTTCCAAAGTCGACGCTGTAAACAAGAAGCAAGAATCCTCAGCCACGAAGAACCACTCATGATCACTCAGTCCATGAATACTCAAACAGTGTAGGATGTATGGGAGCCCAAAAAAGGTCCAAGCTGTTCGGGCTCTGTTTGCATTCTGCACCTTAAGACGTGCCATGAGGTCCGCGGCATGCTTGGATGTCGGATCCAACCCCCTCACCAAGTGAACATCCAAGCCCATGTCCAAGCATCGTTTCGCACAGATGTCGCAGTGCGTGTAGGCATCCGGATTGAAGCTGTGGAACATAAACAGGGTCGGCCTCTTGGCTGTGGCTGTCTGTACCTTAAAGCTGCGGATGGCCTCCATGATGTCTTCCTCCGGCCAGCATACAGCCCAAGCATCCGCCACAGTGCAGCCGAGGGCTTCCACGAACGGCTTCCAACTGGCATGGATCTGCCGATCATCTATCTGGCAGAAGATAGAATCGGCCTCGGCAGCCGCGGCCTCAGCGGCAGCAGCCTCCCTTTCCGCCTGGGCCTCTGCCTCAACATTTTCTTCAAACCAGATGGAGCGCTTCCTCGGTTGGTTCTTGCTCTTTGCGGCAGGGGCCTCTGGCTCTGCAGACTGTCTAGATGATGAGGAGGGCTGCTCTCTGCCGGCCATTGCCGCATCAACTTCTTCCTTGATGTCTTGCATTTCTGCAGCCAGCTTCTCTGCCTTTGGCGGCCGTGCACGTCTCTGTATATGCCGCTCCTTTCGTGCAGCAATCTGCTCCTCCGTCACATTGCCCTCTCGGAAATCTTTGCGAGACATGGTGGCAGAATGGAGGGCGAAAAATTACACAACTTGTTTTGTTCAATCATTATGACTAGAAAAAGTTCTGTTCCAATGGCATTATGACACAAACTGCTACCCTTGACGTTAAGTAACTTACATGAACTTACATTGATTTACATATGAACCACACACTTAAAACTTACAGGCGGCACATGACCAAAGTGCTGTTGAGAGCTCTTCAGGAAACGGCGAACATTAGGATGCCCACGAGATACGGGTCGCTTCAGCTTCTGTTTAAAGAGGTTGGAGCAGAGCTGCATATGCACAAACATTAACATACCATAAATACATCTATATATCATGCCTAGAAGCCAATGGCCTCGGGTCGGGCGCCCCAGATAGAACAAGTACACGACATCACAAACATCGTTGGGAATGTCGTGGGTCCCTATCGGAGCTAGCAAGCGCACATCGCGAACATCATTGGAGGCGACTTGGAGCCCAATCCGAGCCAACAAGCCCGCATCACGAGCATCACTGGGAGCTTCTTGGGGCCAACAAACGCGCATCATGAGCATCATCGGGGAGCCGTTTTTCCACCCCTAGATGCAACCTTTCGGTTGGTAAGGAACTCAGCTAGCCACGGAGGCTAGCTTTCGTGACTACGGCGACGACTACGACGACTACTACTACTGCTACACTACTACTACTACTACTACTACTACTACTACTACTACTACTACTACTACTACTACTACTACTACTACTACTACTACTACTACTACTACTACTACTACTACTACTACTACTAGTAGCCACTTTTACTACTAGCATCGCTGTTGTTACTAGTACAAGCATTACTGTTGCTACTGTTCGCCTTTACCGATATTCTCTTGCAGGCAATGGATTGGAAGTCGTGGGCCTTCGCGGCCACTTCCTCGGTCCAGATGGACATCGAGCCGCTGATCTCTTCCAGCTCTGCCTCAAAGCAAGAGCTTTTGGGGGTCAGGGTTTCGTATGAGATCGCATAGGATGCAGGTCGGGCTTTTGGTGGAGGTTTGACGGGGCTTGTGTGGGGTCCGATCTCGTTTTGCTTTCGGGCCTCGTTGGGGTTGCTTTTTGTCCGATGTGTGCATTGTCGTCTTGCTTGTGGCTCGGCTTTGAGTCTGACTTTGGCCTGTTGAAGGTAAACATGTCGAGGCGAGGGAGGGAGGGAGAGAGGGTTGTGATGATGATAAGGATGCTGCTGCTGGTGGTTGCTGATGGCTTTGGCGCCGACTGTAACGGTGGCAGCAGTGGTGGCAGTGATAATAGTGGGGCTGGTGGCCACGCTAGATCGCTCCTCCGTCTCCTGTCGTCCTCCTTCTACGACTATGCCTAAGACAACAGTTTACATGACCACGAGCACCGCCACCGCTGCGACTATCATCGTTGGCCGTTGATCTTGGCTACATGCGATGCACAAAAGAAACATAACCCCCATCATCATGCTTTGCCATTACCACCGTTCTCTTCATGACCAGCTGTTCTACCATGATGCCACTGGGCGGTGATTTCGTCCTTGCTTTGGTTCCGCCGTCTGCTCTAAGTATGCCCGGAAGCATGAGAAGAAGCACGATAGGCTTGCGAAGGTGATGTTGAGCGGTAGCCGTTGTGATGACAATAGGCTTGGTCGTCCCAGTACAGCCCCGCAGCTCGGGAATGGCACCTGGGCGATGGAGTCGCACGTCGCATTCACTTCGGCACTGTCTTCCTCTCAAGTCAGTCATTGTGCATGGGGGGAACGACTGCCAAAAGGGTTTTCAGCGCAGCGGAGAGGGTATGGCGGCCAGAAAGATTCTAGGAGACAGTATGCGGTCCTCTACTGTCGCAGCCACCGGTTCTGCGACTTGAATTGTCAATTACAGGTGGAAAGAAAGCCAAAGCGAGAAGGTCATCGGCGGATCAGTTGTACTGTGTAGTGGCAGCAGCAGTAGCACAGTCGCAGCAGTAGCAGTAGCTGGAGCCTGCTCTTGCTGCTGCTGCTTGTGTTTCTGGTAAAGCTGCTGCTGCCGCGCCAGTTGGTGATTGTGTCGGTGTTGGCGTTGGTGCCGGTGTTATTGGTGGTGTTGGCGGTGTTGGTGGTGCTGCTGTTGCTGCTGATCTTCGGGTAGCAACTGGAAACTAGTGCTAGCGGGAAGAGCAGGAGCTGTGCTGCTGTACTTGCTATTCGTGATGATTTTGGTTGTTGCCGTCGCTGTCGTCCGGACGCGGTCATTGCCGTCGTGCACACAATATCTTCGTGGTCGTCAGAATCAGCAAGCGCTCCTTGTTGCGTTGGGCGGTGCGGTGGAGCGGTCGGCAGTGGTTGCGATGGTCGCTTCGGTGGCGGCAGTAGTGGCGGTGGTGGCGGTGGTCGTGTTCGAGGGGGGCGGAAGTGGTTGCGGCTGACATCACAGCATTAAACTAGGAGGAAGAAGTGCTGTAATTGATGGTCGGCCGCGTGCCTGGCAAGCGGCCCAACTTTCAGCTGCCGCCTTCCTGGGAGTTGCACAACTTTGTAAAGCCTACCTACCTACCTATCTACTTACCTGCCTACCTAAATTGAGTAATCTATTCGTTCAACAGCTCATTCATTTACTATTTCATTCATTTATTCATTCACTCCTGTAAACCAGCTTACCTACTTACTGACTTTCTTTCTTACTTTATTCACTGCTTACTCGTTTACGCTTACATGTGCTGAGTTGCTCTTACTTACTTTCACTTCATCTTACTTACTCTTACTTACTCTCGCACTCTTGACTACTTACTTACTCACTCACTCACTTACTTACGTACTTAACTTCTCTTGCTTGCTCTTACGTGAGTTTGCTGTTTGACTGACTCTTCCTTGCTGTTACTCTTTCTTACTGACTTACGAAACCCCCCTATGGACTTATTTGCTGCCTTGCACGCGTGCTTGCTAACATGCAAGTACATACTAACACAGCCAGGTAATCGGAGAAACGGGCAGATGTGCGGAAAACACGCACATTCTACGTGCATACAGCATGCGAACATAGATGCCCCTGCCAGTTATCTATCGTCCCGCTGTTGATGGCTCTGTTGAAGCCACGTCCGATTGCTTCAGGCCAACACGAATCAATCAGACCAGGTGGCGCACATGCAAAACGCTATTGGTCATTCTCAGATCCGGGTCCGATGGATCTCGACTTGGGTGGTTCGCACTGGATCTGAATTTCACTGATGGAAACAGGGTCGAGTTAAATTCATTCGAGCCATCGGTGATGGACGAACCCCGTCGACTGGGGATTTACACACAGTACACTGGCTAGATCCTGAAAGCGCATGAGCATCGCAAGATCGGAACCCTCCACGAACAAGCAATAACAAAAGTAGCCGAAAACTGCCCGCAATAATATGCAACCTCCGGACCAACAACAACAGGAACAGTAAGCACAATCATCACATCAAAGATCCACGACAAAGTCCTGCTCGGGCCTGACAGCCCTTTGTTTCTGCATGCTTTGCAGCAGTGTTTGTGGCTGTTCAGCTCCGAGGTTACTTTCGAATCGGCTTAAGTGTCGTCGTTACCGCTGACAACTCCCGCTAAGGTCACGCTCAACTCGGATATCAGGAGGTCCAATGTTCATAGATGCCAACCGAAGGTACATTGTACGTCTTGGAAACATCTGCGTTCTTTCTGGCCGTTCCATATCGCAAGGAAACTACATGTACACTTTGGGGTTAAGTTGTTCGACCTAGCCCGGAAACGGGACCCGCAACCCAGAACGCCAGAACCACACTCGGAAAACAAACCAACAACCAAAGACTGCGAAACCTCTGAACAGGATGACCACCAATCCGAAAAAAAGACTAAGCCCGAAAGCAGCTGTCAATGTCCCGGACACATCTCTGCCAGCTGGCGGACCACTCCGAAGGCCCTTTCCTGCCAGGGTGCCAGGTTCTCTGGAGCCCAAAACAAACACTAAGGCCCCTATACTACATCCTTACAATAGCCCTTATAGTGGCCCTTATAGTAACCCCTTTAAAGGAACCCTATGAAACCACATGGTAATTATTAATAGGGCTCAAGAGCAGTGTCTGGCACTGGAGGTGCTAGTCATCGTGAGCAGCAGCAGCAGCAGTAAGTAGTAGTCGTCGTAGTGGTCGTGGTAGTAGCAGTGGCAGTGGCACTGGCACTAGCAGTGGCATCGGTAGCAGTAGCGGTACCGGAGGAGGAGCAGGAGTGATAGTAGCGGTGGTAGTGGTAGCAGCGGGAGTAGCAGCAGTAGTAGTAGCAGCAGCGGCAGTAGCAGCAGCAGTAGCACTAGTGGTAGGTGTACGAGTGGGATTAGGAGCAGTAGTAGCAGTAGCAGTAGCAATCGAAACAATGGTACTACTACTACTACTACTACTACTACTACTACTACTACTACTACTACTACTACTACTACTACTACTCCACTGTGTCCTTGAGGCCACTTTTCTTGAGCTCCTCCTTTGCTTGCTCGATGCACATCGGCCTGCTCCAACACTGGCAAGATTCAGTTGATAGCAGCAAGAGGAACAGTTGCACGGTCATGGATTGCAAAGGACGCCCAGGGGGCAACTTAAAAAAGAAGACAGGAACACTCGAAGAGCAGGCCTCTGTGTCTCATTGCAAGCACGAGCTGCCATGCCCACGGTGTTGCCTTGGGATGGCCGGTCATATGCTGTCATGCATGTGAATGACCGCTGTCGTTGCCATGTTGTCAAAGGGTATTGTAGTTGATGTTTGGTGGTGGTGGTGGTGGTGGTGGTGGTGGTGGTGGTGGTGGTGGTGGTGGTGGTGGTGGTGGTGGTGGTGGTGGTGGTGGTGGTGGTGGTGGTGGTGGTGGTGGGGGCGGCGGCGGTGGTGGTGTTGGCTGTGGCTGTGGCTGCGGCTGTTGCTGTGGCCGTGGCTGTGGCTGTGGCTGTGCCTGTGGCTGTGATAGCGGTTGCGGTTGTTGCTCCTGCTACTGTTGTTGTTCTTATTGCTGTTGCTGCTGCCGTTCCTGCTGCTGCCGGTGCTGGTGCTGTTGCTGTTGCTGTTGCCATGTTTCTGTTGCCGTTCTTGCTGCTGTCGCTGCCGCTGTCCCTGTCGCAACTGCATGTTTAGTTGCAGTAGTTGGTTGTTGTTTGTTACTTGTGCTGTTACTGTGGGTGCCGTCGCTACTGGCTGCCGTTCGTAAACTTTGTCTTCTTGTTGCTGTCGCTGGTTCTGCAGCGGCTGCTGGTGCCGTCTTGTAAACTAGAGTATGGTGCGTAGCAGTAAACTGCCACTTTTGGTTTAAGTGCTGTGGCTTGCTCCCCATCATGGATCTTATGCACATCTGCGCTGACATGGAAATGTGTCTGTGAATAGACCCAATCATAGCTTATCCGGGTGTGCTGTAGAACTCTACCAGTCCAGAAATACAGTACCTGTACCATCGCAGTATTAGTAATCGTATTGTAACATTCTAGAAAAACTCGCGATATCGGATAAGAGCATAGTAGATGCACTATGTTCGCATTGCTTTGTCGATTTGTTGCATCGAGTGTTGCGGCATTGTAGCCTCTATAGTCGTATCGCACAATGGTCGTGCCAATCAAAAAAAGTATAGCATCGGGGTATTATAACAAAGTGCCTTGGTGTACAACACTGTCCTGTGCACCAATGGCAAAGGCAGCGTTGGGCCTGAGTGTTCTTGGCACGACTGGACTGATTGCTGTTACTTGTCGTACAAACCCGCTTCTGGCAGTATCTTGCTTAACCGCTGCTGGAGGTCGTGCTGTTGCAGCTTCTTCTTTTTCCTGCCATTCTTACTCTCTTTCCTTCCGCTAGCATGAAGGCCATTCTCCAATGTACGTAAGACAGCCAGGCTTCGCTGGAACTTCTTCACGACATCCTCCACATCGTCTTTCAAGCCAGCCATGCCTGCACCAGCGCGCATCCTCGGTGCCCGAGAAACCGACATGTCGACAAAAGCTACCGCTTTTCTGGCTGGCTGAAACAAGGGGCGCCTGAGGCTGGCATGTCCCCTTGCCATAAGCCCTCTTTACGTAAGTCAATAATGAGGTACACAGGTTTGGGTGCTTTTTATGGCTCCAGGCACAAACACAACATGTTGCTTACCGGAGAAAGCATCGCATCCTGGCAGTCCTTCTTCTGGCCCTCGGTGGTGGCTGCTTCCATGCAGAGCTGGAATCGCTCACCGACGACCTCCACGGCTGCATCTTCTTTGGCTCGCTTCTCCTTGTTCTGCTTCCTCTCATCCGACAGGCCACGGAAGAGCTCACCTGCATGGTTCAAGCAGAAGCACGAGCAAAACTAACCTGCTGATACTCCCTTCATGAGAGGGTGAAAAGACCCGCGGTGGTTCTGTGGCCAAGCTTGCCTGCAACCTCATCCGGCTCTGCCAGCTCACCCATGCAGCGGTCGAAGCCTGGGCAACGGCAGCTCATAGCACGCCTGTGCAGAAAGACTCCTTCATGGCTCCATGCATCTCCGAGCCTGTCTTGTCGGATTCCTCCATGCACGTTCTCATGGCATCTTTCTCGGACTCCTTCACAAGGTCTTGCTTGATGCGCTTCCTGTCCTGCAGTCATTGACGGACGCATGCGAAGCTCCCTTCCTTCCGGATCCTGGACCGCCTCTACAAGCTTCCCCCCCACATGAAGTGAAGCCAAGTCTCCACATCATCGTCGATGGGCATCCGGCGATTGCTTGCATAGACCTCTCGTGTTTCCGCAAACAATGCTGCCTGGTACTGTGTCAGCTGTCTGTCACGGCCATGCTGCCTTCTGTCATGCAGCATGGCTTCGTCTAATGTTGTTCTGCATGGCTGAATGAAACATGCTGTGCTGCGGCCGAAGCTATGGCACCAGGCCGCAACATGCCGGTCTGCTTTAGCCTGCTATGTTGTCTTGTGATAGGACATGCTCTGCGGATTGACTTTACGAGCGAGTTCAAAATGTCCAGACAATCCCAGCCCAATGTGTCAACTATCCCGATGGTCTGTTGGTACGGCAAGGGACAACTACTGAGATCATCGAACTAACACAAATCAAGGATGTTATTGGTTGGAGAGGAACCTGCTCAAGAACCCGCTCAAGAACCCTTCGAGACTCCTACGTAACCAAACCTCGTCAAACCCTTACCATGACCCCCTGGACCTCACGAACCCCAAGTCACCAAACCCTTCTCTTAAGTGACCTCTGTAGGGTCGGCGCAGGTGGCTGTGTTGGACTCCTTCCGGGCTTCAGCACAGGCACCTAAGTGAAAGGAAGTGAAGGTCCCAAGTTTACGAACGCCGGGCCATGTTCTAAGGTTTACGACGATTTGGGTTCATGCCCCTACAGGCCGACGTCCCAAGTAAAGCCCCGAACCCAACTCCTTTGAACACTGCCACGCTCCTACTTCGGTGCGCCCTGGTTGAGACTCCAAAGTGCGAAACGAGTTCTTAAATCAAGACTTAGGGAAGCGAGACTGAGGTTGCATGCACTTCATAGACACGCAGATCTGCACGCAGAGTCAGACTGCAGACAATGAAAGCCCTCATGCACTTCAAACAAGGTCCATGCTCAGTTCAGCTGTAGTTGGTTAGAAGCATCCAGAGCTCTCACATCACCGGATGTCCAGATGCTATCACGGCTTTGCTTCGACCTGCTGAACTAAACTACTGTATGAGTTCGCGTGAGCCCAGAAACCAACACCCTAACGCAAAACCCTAAGTTTTGGACCCTATGGCGGCACATGCTAAACCCTGACCCTGAACCCCTAACTGCCCTCCGCCAACCCCACAAGCCCGAAATGCCCAGAATCTGCCCAACTCAAGCGCCCCAAAAGCCCCCAAAACCCGAAAGCCATGATCCCACGGCCCACACCACCGAAAGCCCTCAAACCACAAAGTCCCAAAACAACCTCAAACCCTGAAGCCTAAACCCTAAAACCCTAAACCCTAAAGCACCAACACCCCAAACCCCAACTTGCCCCCAAAGGCCCCGCTTGAGCCAGGCCACGGGCGGCCTCTTTGGCTGCATCCCGAGCACCGTCCATGTTCAGCCTCTCCACCTGTGGATTCGGGCTTTCGGCTTTGGTGTGTAGGATGGATTAGGGCTTTTGGGGTCTTGAAGGCTTTGGGATAAAAGGAGTGTTTAAAGTTTTAGGCGTTTTACTGGTTGCTTGTTTTTGTCGCGTTGGGGGCGTTGGCTTTTGGTGCCTGCAAGTAAGGCCCTTTTTGGTTTTGGGATTTACGGCCATTTAGGGGTGTTAGGGCTTTTAGCGGTTTTCAAGTGTCTAAGGCTTGTTCAAGTGTTTAAGTATGTGCGGTGGCTGCTTTTTCAATTCCGGTGAGCTTCAGGGTCCACCTTTGGGTTTCTTTCCCGAGAAACTCGGAAGCTCTGAAAGCAGCCACGGAGCGCCGCAGATCTTCTTTGTATTGATCGGCCCTGTTCCTACAGTACTTCGTTACCTGGGTGTGCGATGAAACGAGTCCGAACCATGACGGCGACGAGTGCCGCCAGTGCAAACGCGACGACGATGATGACGACGAAGTGCGGGTTCCTGCTGAAGACAAGTCTGTTCACTATCATGGCTTAACCCTTAACCCAGAACCACCCCGGCTTACATCGCCTCCATGTCCGACAGGTCCTCCTTGCTGCGGCCCATTGACTTCGCAGCCTCGTCCCGAATGCGCTCCATGCCTAGGATGCAGAAGACGTTCGCGGCTTCGGATTTGGGCTTTGGGATCTTTCGTTGTAGTTCTTGGGGTTTGGGCCAATGCTAAGGATGTCGAACCCTGCAATTCAACGAAACGCGGCCTTGCACTTCCCAGTTTCGGATGTGGGCTCTTATGACCGCTGATGGTTAAGTGCTTTACTCGAGCTGATTGGAGTTGGGGTCTGGAGTATCTCAAAGTAACCCCAAGTTCTTTCTGCGGCTTCACTGATGTCAATGCGCCAGCATCTGCTCGACAACGACTTCATGAGAACTCCTAAACTCCTGGATATACTTGCTGCTCGTGATCCGCTCTCAATCTCTCATTCGTCGTTTTCCTGAACCACGATGAAAACAGAACTCTAAACCACACATCTTAAGCCCTAAGCAGCCTCTGCTTCGGATGCCAAACTACAAGAATCTTTTGCAAGGCGAGGAGCACTCCTCCCGGCTGCCCTGGCAGTCCTTGCTGACCTCCTTGGCCTGACACGGGTTTCGGGTGATTCGCGGGGGGGAGTCGGAGTTTCGGATCTTCGGACTATGCCTCGCAACCCGAAGTTCTCTGCATCCCTTGCAAAGGGTTGGGTTTAGGGTTTAGGGTTTAGGGTTTAGGGTTTAGGGCTTAGGGTTTAGGGTTTAGGAGGTGGATCGAAGCTTTCGGTGCCCTGTGCCGCTTAGACTTCCAAGTGTCCCAGGGCATGGGAGCTCCCTGTCTGGTTCTTAGTAGGGAATGGGGGAATGGATTCTGGGGACTACTATTGGGGTACATGTAGGGACTACTTTAGGGATCCCTTCCCCCATTCCCTACCAAGCACCAGGGAGAACCCTTCGCTTCATGAGGCAACCATGGCCTTGTCACGGCCAGCTTCTTTCAGGGCCTCCTCCACGTCAGTGCGGGAAGGTGCTCCGCCTCAGTCTCTGGGAACTTCCCGCGGGCCCTGGCCCCCTTCAGTTCCATCATAAGCAACGTAGAGCATGGAGTCTATACTTATAGAGGAGAGACACTACACCGCATACAAAAATGTCATCATGATGTGCAAGTATGTGCATAGCATGTGTTTTTATGTACCTGTTGATTTGGGAACCTGGCCCTTCCTTCCTCCCTCCTTCCCTCAATCCTTCCATCATTCATTCCTGCATTCATCCATGCGTGAACTGTCCTCAGATGTGTGGACGGGCCTCTGTCCGCAGCTCGCATGCCCATCGTGCAGTCACCAAGGATCCTGACTTCATGGAAACTCAGGGCGCGACCGCCCTGTGTTCCGCGCGCCACGCCGAGGGCTTCAGCGGCAAGCGTGGTCCGGCAAGCTTCCTGAAAACTCGGGCAGACGTGGAGCTACCATGGCCTAGGGACCGTCAGTGCGCTTAGGCTGGCGTACTCCCATCCTTAAAGCGCAAGCCTCACGAACCCTGAATTCCAACCACAGCCTGAATGTCCCACACTCTGACTGATCGAAACACTAAACCCCTAACCCTCTCTAAATCCGAATCCGAACCCTGCAAAGGGCCTTGGCGGTGTTGTCCACGGCCTGGTCCATACAGGACCTCATCCTGGAAGTATGTTTCTTGGGAGGGCCGTGGATTTTGCATGCCTAGATTTTAGGCCTTACTGCTTTAGAGTTTGTGCCACTTAGGGCTTTAAGGTTTGGGGCGTCCGGGTGTACGATTCTACGATTTAGAATCTAGCTGCCAGCTATGGGATTTCGGTTTAGGCGCTGGGCGCCACTCTCCGGACAAAGCCAGCAGATAATCTCCGAAGTTCACATTGAATGGAACTCACATGTTTCTCCACGTTTCCTTTACGTTTGTTTCAGGTCTTGATGGAATGCAACATGCAAAGATGCCTCCACCCAACGCCTGGGCATCATTCCCTTGTACTGCACCGTTCCATTGAAGGGCCTGTTGCATGAACTTGAGTTTCTAGAGTTACTGTGACTCTGTTCGTAAAGAAGAATGTTCGTGCGACAAACCCTCATAGCTGACATGAAGATTGGCATGGCTCCTCTCGCCGAGCTCGCTGGCCATCTCGTCGTGCAGAAGCTGGGGCACGCAGGACAGAACAGCAAACACATCAACAGCAACAGCAGCATTTTGTAACACTGGTTGACATGCTGGCAGTGATTGGCAGGGAATGAGTGCGGGAGTTTGCGCTCTTCGTGGCCTCCCGAACCCCAAACCCGAAACCCCTAATCACTATGCGAGGCCTTGCGGATCATGTCGTCGGTAATGGCAGAAGACTCCCGACCTCAGCGTGCCGGAGTTGGGGTTCTGGGGTTCTGTGGCGGCTTCGGGCTTAGGACTCATGGGCTTGTGAGGTCTTAGCGGCTAGGTTTAGGACCTTGGCTTCGTCGCTCCAGTTCGCTACGCTGTCGACTCCTTGAAGCAAAGCCACCGGTGACCGCGGCAAGCATGTCTTTGGCTGCGCTCATGCACTGCTCCTGGCAGGGGTTTCGCGGAGGCTGCCTTGAACAAATTTCAGCTCAGTCCGACCGGTCTCCGAAGCAACTCAAGCAGGGAGCCCTCCTCACAAAATCTCTGCATCATTAACCCCAAACCTTTATAGCCAAAACCCTGAAACTCCTCAACCCTAATCCTTGTAGACTGACAACGATTCTGTAGCAAACCCAAACACCGAAAACTCAAGAGTTGCCCCATCAACATGCATAGAAAACACTCTTGCGCCACCCCTCCTCCCGGATCCAAAAAGAATGAGGGTACCCTTAGCAGTATAGGGCCCCAAAGTAGGGGCTCTTTTGAGATTCGGGTCGGTCCTTGGAGTCCTCTGGGCAAGCCTCGAGCATGGTCCAGATCTCTTCCTTCACACCTGCTAGGGCCACGTAGGGTTTTGGTGACGTTTTGGGGGCTTTGGGGTCATACTCACGTGTTCACCGATGGCTCAAAGTTCGAAGACGGCGGATGCTGTAGCTATGACGCTTGTCACTCATTACTCTCATTGCTCGTGCTGCTTTTGCTATTCTTGCTATTCACCATGCTCTTATTGCAACTGTTGCAGGTGGCAGCCTTACTACTCTTATTGCAATACTGCAACTGTGACTAGGCTTGCTGACTGCGAACAAGATATGATGACAGCACCGATGATCTCGACAGCCAGCTACGCTTACTTGTAGTGTAGTGCCCGTAGCTAAACTCGAATCATGTACCACGAAAAGCCCTGAACTCCAAACCCTCTTAAAACCGAAAGCTCAAAAACCCCTAAACCCTGAAACCCTAAACCCCGAAAGCCAAAAGTCCTAGCCCGACCGAACGCCCCAACCCCGAGGCGGTTTTTGGGCTGCGCCTTCCTCCAGGTACTCCCTGACCTCGGAATCCTTGACCTCGCCTCGGCCCTTGCCTTCGTGGCTCAGGGAGGCAAGCAGAGGATTTTTGGGTTGAAGGGTTTCGGGGTTAAGGACGTTTAGGGTTCAGTGTCTTTTCTTTGTGAGGGGGGACGGGGGTGGGCTTTAGGGTTTTAGGGTTTTCAAGGCTGACGGGCTCAGGAGCCGTCGGGGGTTTGGGGGAACTGAGGCTTGGGGATGTAGGGGTTTAGGGTCGAGGGTTGAGGATGCAGGGCGAACTTGGCGGTCTTACGCTGTCTTGGGTCTCGGTTCGCGGCAAATCTGTGGATCAGTGCTAGGGTGTTCGAGTAGGATCAGGGTCGAGGGTGGAGGGATTGGCACAGAAGATTTGCCATCGGAGTGTGGGATGGCAGGCAGGCCTCAAACAACACTGGAGATCTGAGAAAGGTCTCTACAAAGGATCTTGTAATAAGGCCTTTACGAGGTAGTGAAAAGCTGAGCTCTTATCTCGGTGGACGGTTCGGAGACGGGTAGGATAAGATCGCGACACCTTTAGAAGCCAAATAGCTTCCACGTGCTATGCGACAAGACACAGAGATAGAGTTTATCTCCCTCGTTGCGGAAAGTATGAAGTATGATCGGATCGCTTGAAGCCTTAGATGCCGGAGTTACTGGACCCTGAACTCTACACGCTGGAACATCGACCCCCAACCCGCAAAGCGTGAAGGTTGAAGCTTGCAAGCCCTGCACGGTCACCTAAACCAACTGAATCAGCCACTCTGCCCATGGATTCGCCGATGGCATCTCGGATGTCATCCGAGGAGAAGCATGCTCTCTTCTGTCACAGGGCGTAGGATTGCTGCACTCTGTTTCAGGCCTTAAAGCCTAAGCCTGAGCTTGCGAGACCGCGCAGACGGTGACGACCACAGCGACGACTGTTGCTGCTTCTTCTACTACAACTATTCCTAGTCTACCTGTTGCTGGAACTCTTGAGAATTTTGATTGAAGTCAAGATGTGCCAATCGCCTCTATATCTCTCTCTGCCTGCCCTCATGAAAAGAACCATTTGCGCTCATGACTCCATATCATGCATTTTCGTCTGGAGACTGTGCAGTACAGGTAAGCTGAACCCCGTGCCTCAGTGTCAGAGCCCGCCGCATCCATGCACAAGCGGACTTCCTGAACAAGAAGCACCGGACGATTGCAAGCACTGCAAGGAACCCTAGCTTTCGAAGATCTTTTGGAACCAATTCCGGAAAGCTCAAGACCCCAGACTGCGAGGCAGCGTGCCACACGCCACGCACAACTGTTCAGGCTCTGTCGACCATCTTGAGTGTCATGAATCATGAACGATGATGCAGCAGACCTTGTCGAGCCTCAGCCTGACCATGCTTGACCAACCTTTCTTTGGCTCCATGACATCAGCAACAAGCAAAGGGGCTTGAAAACTCACAGATGCGCTTGGGACCACGTTCAGAAGTTCATATCTGAACCCTAACCGCCCCAACCCTCACGGCGCAGGGTTTAGGGTTTAGGGGCTCTGAGTCCCTCTTGGTCCTCTGACACCTGCTCCGCAGCTCCTTCTCGGAACAAGCGCCGGAGCTCCTGGCTTTGATGGCTTTCGGAGTCGGGTCTCCAGAATCCAAGGAATTTGGGTCTCGCGTTCAAGGAGGCAGGTTGCATACAGGAGCATCAAAGCCCAGCAGCTTCGGGTTCAGGTGCATACAGGCGCATCCCAAGCTCCTCCTCGGGGATAGACTCGAGGGTCCGACCCGTCAGCGTGGCCAGGGCTTGCATGGCTTCCGCGCTGGACAAGCATGCCTCCTGGAGGCAGGAAAGACTCCTTATCCTCTTGCGCTAATCCGAACTGTGCCAATGCTCTCACTGAGATTGTGGGATTTCGGAGTTTGGAGGCTTGACACAAGCGAACGAGGGGACGACAACAAGGATACTGCGCACGCCATGCACAGGAATGAAACAGAGCTGTGATTTGCTCAGGCTTACAGAGCTTTCAGCTTTGAGGAAGAGAAGAAAAAGGCAGGACGGCGGATCTTGTTTGGCCTTCGCGGCATCGGTTGTGGCAGCAGCCGAGCAGGTGCTGACAATGTGCTTTGCCTGCAGGGATTGAAAGGACATGCTGACTTACTGAATTTGCAGAGCCCGGGATATGTATTTATATATATATATATGTACATGTACACCTTGAAGCACCCTTAGGCGGCCTTCTCCCCGGCAATCTTCCTGATCTCCCGCTCCACCTCCGCGTCTGACAGCGTTTCCTGGGAAGTCCGGGTTCGAGTTTAGGGCTCAAGGCGCGGTTGAAAAGCTCTCGGTCGGGATTCGGCCTTGATTGGTGGATTTGTCCTGCAATTGATGTTGCCTTCCGCTTCCTCCCTACTCACATTGCGGAGCTCTTGCAAAAAACTTGTCCCGTTTTGGCCCTTTGAATCCTCGAAGTCCCGTTTAATATTGGATGCCTAGATGGAAGTCTCAAACAAAGCAAACCCCCACGTCGTGTTGTTCAAGCGAGTTTCATTTTTGAGTGTCTGCACCAGGCTCTTGATCTGATCCTTGCACTCGTCGAAGCTGCCATTCGAGGCCGCGATGTCCCTGGTGCAGTTTTCCAGTGTCCCCAGGAGCGCCTTGGGGGCACCTTTCTCAAGCTCGAAACGCTCCTTGACCTTGTCCGGGGGGGTGCCACCGGTGGAGTTGCCGAAGCCCTTGGTTACAGAGCTCGTCAACACGCAACAGTGGCAGTGGCAGTGGTGGTGGTAATAGTAGTAGGAGCAGGAGCAGTAGTAGTAGCAGTAGCAGTAGTTAGTAGTCGTAGTGGCAGTCGTCGTAGTAGATGCAGTAGTGTCATGGTGATAGTCATAGTGGTCGTCGTAGTCGTAGCAGTGCACGCTAGATCTACTCATCGTAGTAGATGTGGTTGTCGTCGTTGTCGTAGTCGTCGTCGTGGCGGTAGTAGCGGTAGTAGTCGTCGTCGTAGTAGCAGCAGCAGCAGCAGTAGTCGTAGTCGTCGTTGTAGTGGGTAGAAGTAGCCGTGATAGTTTAAGTAGTAACAGACTCATGTCTCATGACAAGAACTGCTTGTCCCTGTTTTTGCTCCCGTCGTAGCCAAACTTGCCAAGAATCCTGGCGGCATTCCTCCAGCGTCTTGCCTGCCAACCTGCACGCCACCAGCCCCTGCTGGGCCTCTTCTCTTTCCTCTCGAACTTCCTTGAGCGGTCGCGGTGGCGGTGCTTCGCGTTGGGCGCTGATGGTGTACAGCAAGGCGAATGCCACGATTCCACCAAGCTTCATGGCGTCTCCAAGTTAAAGGAGCAGTTGAAACAAGGGGCAACGTTTGCTACTTCTTGAGCGCACGGTTTGCCTGCAGCAACACACACACGGATCGGCCACAAAGTGCGAGCAGGCATCAACTGTCAATATGACTCTCAGTCGAAGCTGCATCTCCCTGCGCCTGACATGCCCTGCTCGATGAAGTAGTTGGACACGTCTTCCCAGCTCACGGCACCCTCTCCGTGAACGTCCACGTGCTGGAAGAGGTCCTGGACCGAACCGGATTTTGTACGGGAGATAAGATCGATCGACACAAAAGCCGTAATAGAAGACACAGACATGACAAGCAAGAACCACGTGATGCAAAAGCCGGCAGATAGGGAGGACACGAAAACGACGACGATAACAAAAAAGCCTACGACTACCACTACGAAGGCGAAGGCGACGGTGGCGACGACAGCGGCGGGCGAGGCATGTTGACGCCACCAGCGGGACGGGGCCCATGAAAAGAAATGCAATCATGATGATGGTGGTGAAGAAGAAGAAGACGAAGATGAAGATTATGATGATGATGACGACTACACGCACGCATCAAGTCCAATCCTAATACTGTTGACTATGTTGACGCCGCCATGCTGGGCAGTGAACCCCGTCGTGATCATCATGATCATCACCGCTGACATCCTCATCATCAACATCATCGTCATCACCACCCTGGCCGTCATCTTGAAGCAGGCCCATGTCGTACGGGTGGTTGTGGTATTGGTGGCAGTACTGGCACTAGCAGTAGCAGTAGCTACTGCTAGCACTAGAAGTCGTCGTCGTCGTAGTAGGAGCACTAGTAGTAGTCGTAGTGGTAGTAGTCGTAGTAGTTGTGGTAGTAGTAGCAGCAGCAGCAGTAGTAGTAGTACTAAAAGTAGATGTGGTAGTGACTGGTAGTGGTAGCGGAAGCGGTAGTGGTAGTGGCAGTGGTAGCTGTGGTAGTGGTAGTAGTGGTAGTGGTGGTCGTGGTCGTGGTAAGGGTAGTGGTCGTTGTCATGGTCGTTGTTGGTCGTGGTGGTGGTGGTGGTGACGCTGGTGGTGGTGGTGACGCTGGTGGTGGTGGTGGTGGTGGTGGTGGTGATGGTGGTGGTGGTGGTGGTGGTGGTCGTGGTGGTCGTGGTGGTCGTGGTGGTGGTGGTGGTGGTGGTCGTCGTGGTCGTCGTGGTCGTGGTGGTGGTGGTGGTGGTGGTGGTGGTGGTGGTGGTGGTGGTGGTGGTGGTGGTGGTGGTGGTGGTGGTGGTGGTGGTGGTGGTGGTGGTGGTGGTGGTGGTGGTGGTGGTGGGGGGGGTGGTGGTGGTGGTGGTGGTGGTGGTGGTGGTGGTGGTGGTGGTCGTGGTGGTGGTGGTGGTGGTGGTGGTGGTGGTCGTGGTGGTCGTGGTGGTCGTGGTGGTCGTGGTGGTCGCGGTGGTCGCGGTGGTCGCGGTGGTCGTGGTGGTCGTGGTGGTCGTGGTGGTCGTGGTGGTCGTGGCGGTCGTGGCGGTCGTGGTGGTCGTGGTGGTCGTGGTGGTCGTGGTGGTCGTGCTAGTGCAAGTGCGAGTGCGAGTGCTAGTGCTCGCGCTAGTGCTAGTGCTAGTGGTAGTCGTAGTAGTAGTGCTAGTGGCGGGAGAAGAAGGGAAGAAGAAGGAGTAGAAGAAGAAGTAGTAGAAGGAGTAAGGAGTAAGGAGTACGTGGTAAGTAGTAGGCAGTCAGTAGTACGAAGTAAGTACTAAGTAAATAGTAAATAGGATGTAGTAAGTAGTAGGCGTGGGTAACTTGTAGCAAGTAGCAGGTAGCAACCATCGGGTAGCAGGTAGTGCGTAGTAGGAGTAGGAGCCGGAGTAGTAGTAGTAGTAGTAGTAGTAGTAGTAGTAGTAGTAGTAGTAGTAGTAGTAGTAGTAGTAGTAGTAGTACTGGTAGTAGAAGTAGTAGTAGTAGTAGCAGTAGTAGTAGTAGTAGTAGTAGTAGGTGCAGCAGCAGCAGCAGGAGTAGTAGCAGCAGCAGTAGCAGTAGTAGTAGTAGTAGTAGTAGTAGTAGTAGTAGTAGTAGTAGTAGTAGGTGCAGCAGCAGCAGCAGGAGTAGTAGCAGCAGCAGTAGCAGTAGCAGTAGCAGTAGTAGTAGTAGTAGTAGTAGTAGTAGTAGTAGTAAAACTAGTAAAACTAGTAGTACTAGTAGTAGCAGCAGTAGTAGTGGTGGTGGTGGTGGTGGTAGTAGCACTAGTAGTAGTAGTAGTAGTAGTAGTAGTAGTAGTAGGTGCAGCAGCAGCAGCAGCAGCAGGAGTAGTAGCATTCATTCACCATGCAGCGAAAGTGTCCAGATTCGCCTAGCGAGCTGACGATAGCCTGGTATTCGGGGTATCGGAACCTCTTTTGGGTTCTGGAGGGCAGTGCCAGCTCCATCCACTAAGACTACACTTGCTCAGCATCAGGCTTCGGGTGGAAGTACCTGACGAAGCCACACTATATATATGTTGCCATCATGTTCTGTGCCAACTGACTTGGCTGTGCAGGAGTCATCAGTGATCCACCATTTTTCTTCGCCAAACAGCGGCTGCCCGCGTACTATAGTTCTGTAATGCCCCATGTCAGGAGTGGCCCCATAGTGAAGCTGTACAGCGACGACCTGATAGTGAACATATCGAACTTGCATAGTGCTCAGCCCTGCAAAGAGTGGCATACGAACTGTAGTCGAGGCCATAGCCATTGGTCTGGTGTCCCTGCGCATGTCTCCCTCAGCATTCGTGAATCGCTGAAGTTGTATGCAGAGTAGCGAAGACGGGGTCAGCAGTGCATAACGGGCTGTGACCTGAGCACTCCACCCATCAATGGCTTCCTGAAGCTCCAAGCTTGGACCTGCCGGTAGCGCAATCGGAATTGGAGCTTGGGTAGGCCCCGTGTCAAGAGTAACAATACCTCCAGGTGCAAAGTTTCTGGCCTCCCAGCCACCATTGAACCCACTATGCGAGAACCTGGGTAAGAGGTACTGTATCAACTCAGCAGCATCATGCTGACGATGTACAGAAGGCCAGGCTTGCAGCAGCATAAGCCACGGTACCGAATGAAGCACCTGAATGGGGCAATTGGACGAATCAGTGATTGGTGGACACAGCATGGTAAGAGCCTGCGGTGGAGGCGAGATGTGTGCATCATGTAGCCTGGCCTGAAGGATTGTCCACAAAAGGGCATAGATGGTAGAGTGTAGGTAGCACAAATTCGATGGATTATGGAGGATCAATCGAAGAACTGCCTTGAGACTGGGGCGCACACTCAGTACGGCATCTGATGCTGCCACACTTCCTGGACCAGGGTGTCGTAGTTCGGTCGGTCTCGGCGAAGCCTGCATCCCAGTGTGTGCCACGATGCTTGACCGATCCACTGGTTCAGCGTGCTCCACATGGCTCCACCCTCTGGACGAAGTGACAAGCATATCTGGAATTGGATCCAGTCGGAGGTCACCTCCGTGGTGAGCTTCCGCATGGACTTGAATCTCACCAGGGTCTCCTCCGTAACAGCCTTCCTCATCTACTTCCAGACACTGTTTGGAGGGATTCCAGGTGAGATGTTTCCAATGTTTCTGATCGTCGATCCAGTTCAGGTTCTTGGCTTTGGCAAGGGCATCCTCGTCCGCGATCATAGTGGTCAACGTCTGATGCAAGGTGATGAGCAGTTGCTTGAACAGCATGAGTTTGAGGGAGTAAGTGATCTTCTCGGGCTCTTCCTCTTTCATCTTCCTCCACTTCTCCGCTGCATCGCATAGGACTGGCACCATCCCTTCTGGTCCAGATCGTACAAAGAGGTAGAGGACCAGATCCTGACGGATGGCTGAGATGATTTGCTCCTGACGAAGGACCAGCTGAGACAGTCGATTCATCCTGCACTCCATCCATTCGGGATCCTGACTTCCCAGTGGCTGCAAGTCCTGTGTCTGTGTCCAGGGATTGGGTGGATGGCTTCCGAAACCATTTGTGTAACCCATGGCCGGGTGTGCACTTGGTGGACTTGGTAGGCCCTGCTTTCCCTTGCCTTTGCCCTTGATACCCTTGCCCTTGCCCTTGTTCCGATCCTGCGGTGCCAGGCGCTGCCTCTTGGATTGCTCTGCTGGTTGCAGCATATCCCTTCGCGGTTCCTGTTCCCTCTTGACCGGACCAGCCTGGGCCCAAAATTGCCTCTCCTGTTCGTCCAGCTCCATGGGATCCGCGGTAAGCGTCATGATGCGCTGCTAGAAATGCACAGATATGCAGAACATGACACTGTTTCCAATGTCGATCTTTGTTGATGTTTCGCTGATGACAGTATCGACACGGGACTACAGTGTGTCGGCGGAAACCTGTAAGGAGCTTGAGAGTCGCAGGTTGGCAGTCTTTCCACTCTGGATGGTGCATGGTAAGATGATACTTGATGCTGGTGGGAGTGGCTAGCCACTGATAACACAGCGGGCAATGGTGCTGGAGATACGATTGGATCTCCGGCTTCTCAAGGAGGTCAGTCCACCTGCGTGTGCGTAGTACATCAAGAACATGAGATTGCTGATGAAGGGGAACAGCCTCATGACTCGGTGTGGTGGAGTTGTCCTGCATTGGAACGTCTGTGACAGGGGGTACAGGTATTTCGTCGGGAGTAGCAGTAGGTGTAGCAGCTTTATCCTCCTGGAGAATGTGGGTCTCCTGAGAAGATGCCTGAGGGGGCAGAGTGGCTAATGCAGGGACTGGCAAAGGGCCGGATTCAATTGATCTCGGAACCGAGGATTGGGCATCATCGGGAGATTGTGTCGCGAGTCTACGGAGTACCTGGCACCGATTTCGTTTGATGTGTTTGACAAGTCCATCCCATTGTCGGAAGGGATGGGCACAGTGTCTGCACGTTGGAAGTCCTTCTGTTCCATGAGCATACCTATCAAAAGGCACTGGGACAGCAGCTGGTGTCTTAAGTCCATGCCATTTAGCCTCGTGAGAGCGTAGAAGCCGAAAGGAAGTAAAGACCCGGTGACATTCCTGGCACTGGTGTACAGCAGGTTCGGTGATGCCCTCTTTGTCACCTTGAGGTACCTGCCATTGGCGTTGTACTTGTAGGTGGAGCGTAGCAGCAGTGTCTCGAGCTGTTTCCACCTGGGCCTGGGTCACGAAACTCGTTTGAGTACTCAGACTAATCAGGCTGCTATGCAAGGCTGCGGCTTCCCTCTGGAGATGCTCCAGTATTGTGGACAGAGAGCATCTATGCAGGAGGTCATGTGTGGATTCTTTCTGAAGATGTGCAAAAGATCGAGTGATGGCTCGAACCTGCTTGGTCATCATTTGCTGCATACGCTGGATATCCTTGGCACCTGGGTTGGATGCCGCGATGCCATAGAGCAGCGTGGGAAGCACTGTGGATTTCCATAGACTGAGACGATGTGTCTGAGCAAGGTGCCTGGTAGAGCACAATACACCACGAAGTCTTTGCCATGCCTGGTTCGCAGCCTGTAGCCGATAGGTGACTGCTTGTTTGGCCTGGGAATGATATGAGATGCGAATGCCTAAGTACGTGTGGTGGTCACGCAACGGGATTTCATACACCTTTCCCAATGGGCTACGAAAACGAAGTAGGTCTCCCTCAGGTGTGTGTTTGAGATGTCGTCGCAGCCAGCCTTTGATGAAGCTTCCCTTGTGTCTCAGCAACAGTGCTGATTTGGCCGAGTTGATGACCATACCATGGGCAGCAAGAGCATCGAGGATCTTACTGAAGCGATACACCATGTCGTCCAGCTCACGAGTGTTCTGCATGGTATCCTTGAGATGTATATCATCTGCATAAATCGTGGAGCTTTGCTCTAGCCAAGGTGCTGTGAGGAGCGAGTCCCTCTCTGCAAGAAGCTCACGATATATCTGTGCCAGGGCAAGTGTCCAGAGCAACGGAGCCAGTTTACACCCTTGTCTAAGTCCTCTTTGGGCCTCCACCTTGGCAGTGTGCCCAAGGTGGGTAAGGACATAGGAGATCTCGGAGTGCCAGGACATGATTTGGTGTCTTAACTCAGCCGGAACTTCGGATGCAAGTAAAGCCTTGTCCAGCAGGCGCCAGTCCATAAGGTCAAAAGCGCTGGACAAGTCCAGCGATAATTGTGCACCTGCAAAATGTGGGCAGGGTTTCGGCTGTTGAGCGTGACGATCCACAACCGTGGGTGTTGAAATCGAGCAGCGATCCTGTACATACTTGCAGTGCGCAGCAACCCGATGTATGGCTTGGGCAGCATTGCGACCCGGCAAATATGCAAATTGTGCCTGATCCGCAAGGAACCTCTCTGCATAGGGGCGCAATTTCGCCTGTAGTATGGAAGCATATGCGCGGCCGCTGGATTCAGTTAACCCTATTGGTCTGAGATTCTTTGGTGATAGTGGTCGCGGAATCTTAGGAACAAGAGTCAACCATGCATTTCGCCATAGCTCTGGTATATGAGGCCATTGCCGGCACCATTGGCACAAGAGAGGCGCGACAATGTCCGAGGTCAGCCTCCATAGAGAGTTTGTGGCTAAATTCGGAGGTGTAGCTTTGTGGGGTGACAATTGCGAAAGTGCCAGGGTCATTTCTGCCTCCGTGACTTCGATGTGAATGGGCGTCCGCTGGGGGCCCTGGATGCTGGTATCCTCATCTGCAGCATATAATTTACGATAGCGCGTTTCCAGCTGTTGAAGCTGGGTCTTAGGGTCTTGCAGATGACCACCAGAATCTCGCAATTGAACCTTCGTCTTGGAGGATTTGGGAGCTAGGGTGCGTATGCCAGCATAAAGCTTGCGGGAGTCACCCGAACAGGCAGCGACCTGTAATTCCTGGAGCCTGCCATGGAACCAGTGCTTCCTAGCTTCTTTCCCGGCACGACGAAAGGCCTTGTGTGCCGTCTTGAAGTGATGATAGCACCTGGATACATAAAGCGGATTGTGCCGATCTTGAGCTTTGGCAGTCTTCCAGGCTCGGTAGGCCTGCCACGTGGAGCGAATACCATCCTGCATAGGTGGTGTCTGCCATAGTGCCAGCCGGTGCTGACCTGTGGGCGGCGGGAAAAATTGGGATGTGCGGCTTTTGGTAGATGTGCAGCACGTCGACTGCCCATTGGTCATGGAGTATCCGCAGGTGTTGCACCCTACCCGGTTGAGGGTCGGCGTAGACAATTCTGCAGTTACGGGTAGTCTGCTTGTTGAATAGAATCAGGAGCCCAGCAGATTTGTTATCAGCGGTCGGAGAGGTGTACACATCCCACGTAGCAGTGGGAAATTGGGGTGCCACCTTGTTCGTCCAGTGAGTTTCCTGAACACACACGATCTGGGGACGTTCTTCAGGCTGCATATTCTCAAGTGTTAATAAGAATTCCTGCCACAGGGCCTGGGACAATCCTCCGGCATTCCAGGAGAGGAACAACAAGCGACCCTGGGAGACTTTCAGAGCGGCCTGCTGCATACGACGCTCAGCCGTGGGGGCGGGCCGATGGCCCCGATAGCCTCTGCAGAGCTGCTGCAGGGTACAGACACGGCCCCGATATACCGTATGCTGGGCCTGGTCCTGTGCAGCACGTCGTACAGCACGTTTGTAAGATCGCTTCCTTGCAAATGTGTACTCTGTGGGGTTGGCTGCAACCGACCTGGGTTCTCCTGAGTGACCCGCTACTGCAGAGTGCAGTGGGTGTGCAGAGGGCACTCCCCAGACCGACCTTGGGAGAGCTAGCATGGTCGAGAGGAAAAGGAGAGGGCGAGGGCACAGCTTAGGGAGAGTCGGCATGCCAGGGGCCTCACCAGACCTGTCAGTGTTCGGCGATAGTAGATCGGGTGGCAGGTGTTGGTGGTTGCACTCCAGAGGGAGGCCTCCTAATACGAGGAAGGCCGGGAGAGGTAAGGTGTAAAAGTGCTGGAGCCCAGATGGCAACAAGGCGAATAGGAAGACCCTGTTTGTAGAGGAAGAAATAGCGAGGCTTTGACTGCGGTGGAGCATATGCAGGCAGCGGTTTGCCCATGCCATTCGGCACGCCACAGGGGCCTGCAGTCTGGGCTCCTTGACCAGCCCACGGTGAACAGATGGCTGAAATCAGAGAGGAGGTCAGGCTAGGGGAACAGGCTGTACCTAGAGTGACTCCTGGGTCAGAGCGAATAGTGTGGTTGTGTGGGGGGTCCCGTAAGACTGCCCTCACAGCAGAGTGTAGTTCACTGGGCTCCTGCCACGGCTTCCCGTCCCTCACCACGAAGGTGAGTTTCGGTCTCGTGAGCGGGTGGCAGCCGCTCACAACCCTCGCCCCTACCGACTGTTCGGAGGCTAGATGGACAACCAGCTGGTGTCTGAGAGATGACAGGTTGTCAGCCGTACGAAAATGTCGGTCTCCGGAATTGGGCCCGGAGTAGCTCAGAGCAGGTTTGTAGAGAATGTGAAAGGGGCACCTCATAGTGCTAGTTGTCCCTGTTGACAAAAACGCTTGCGTCGGCATCGGTGTGCGGTGCAGCAGGCTGACTACACAGCTAGTCCATAGTGTGTAAGTCCAGTGCCGTGTGAGAAGCTTTGTTGGGCAACTGTGCTTCATAGCCATGATCGCGGGATCTGATCTTATTAGCCTGCGAGGTGCTGGTTTGTTGCATACGGGTGGCATATGGTGTACATCGACGGTACTCAAGCCGGCACCACTCACAGCATGGGTCCGCCAAACGATAGGCAAGCCACGTGCCCGGGATATCCTGCACAAGTTGGGTGATTGATAGTCCCAGGGTGATGCCTGCTCGACCCTCTGGCCTGCGCCCAGTGGCGAAGACAGACCTGGAGGCAAGCTGAAAGAACAGCTAAATGGAGCTATAATCCTCCTGGAAGTGACGGTCGCAAGAACTGAGAGCCTGTCGGGTTGTAAACCAGCTCCTGGTGGTGGAGGTGGGCATCGAACCGAGGCAAGACCAGCAGATGGTCTGGTGTGACGAAGGCACACCAGACATTGTTCAGGTTGGTCTGTCAGGAAAGCATCCGGCCACCCCTGCCAGGCGTGTGTACTATATAGAACACCAATTGTGGATTGAACATGCAACAGAGAAGGACCTGTTGCCAATGCAGCTGGCATACCTCGAGTCACAGGACATCGATAGTCATCACGGTGTTGGGAGGCACCGTAGATCCATGTACATGTGAGCCCGACCGGCATGGTAGTAGACGTACAGGCTGGTCGTTCAAGGCCTGGATAGGCACATGTGGAAGAGCTCAGTGGCCCTTCAAAGC